ATTTGTGATCGATGAGTACATGTAGAAAGCAAAAAAAATGAGACTGGATGAGACCGATTTAGATCCAGATGATGATGATTTAAAAATGTTTGAAGGTTTCCCAGATGATTTCAGATGAAGGGAAAGATCAAGAGATAGTAAAGTATGTTTATAAGATCACAAGGAAGATGAAATTGGTTGCAGGAGTAGGATATGTAATATTAGGGCAGGGAATTTCTTGTGTCGTCTTTCTCAATTTCTCAAGAGAAGAATAGGTATCACAGCCCCCAATCACAAGTGACTGGCAGCCCAGTACCTCCCGGCAACCTCAACATGTTTGTAATATGTTATTAATTTGTTTTGAATTGGTTGTTGAGATTTTATCACACAGTCTTTGACAAGTTTTTGGTTGACCAGTAATCAGGTATATCTTGACTGGTCATTGTAATGTCCTTGACCAGGCATGGACCAGATCTCCACAAGTTGTTAACCTGATCTTGAATATATATGAGTCACACTGAGCTGACAGATTCTATTCACCATATGTGTCCTTTCCAGCAGCATTGGTGAAGTCCAGATAGAATGCCTCTCAAGATTTTAGATACAAATTGGCATCATCTACAAATCAAGAGTGTTCAAACAGAAAGGATACCCAAGCGCAATTGGGTCAGACAATTTACATCATCCTATGACCGTTCAGCAGCAATCATCCATCCATATCCATGCCATCATCCTCATCTCCACCTTGCACAAATCCCTGGTCGAACCAGAAAAGTCAGTCAAAATCCAAAATCCCAATCAATTTGAAACTCACCAGATTCATCAATTCAACTGTTGAGAGTGTTTTGCTTTGAATATCAAAAGTACCTTTTTCGTTCTTGATGACAACTAGCTGCCCAATGACCTTGTCGCACTCAATGACATGATATCCTCCGTGCTTGTCATATAGCACTGAGGCATTCAGCAAGTCTGGCAAAGAATAGTACGGACTTTTGTGTTTGTCATCATCAGAAAGAGGTAACAATGAATTGACAACAAGGAGTGGATGTTCAGAATTGGGAAGCTTGATAATATCCGTGATACAGCCCTTCCTTTTGCATGAGTTGTGGAAATATGAGATGTAGCTATTTCCAGGTGTCTTCTTGTGAGTACTATGTGGCTTGGTTGAAATGAGGATCCTTGTGGTCACATCAAATGTTGAGCGTGCAGTGTACTCTGCCCCTACATGACCATTCTTTCTAAGGGTCTCAAAGGCAATAGGACTGAGTTGTCTTTCTTTCCACAATGTCTGTTGCTCTCTTAAGAGGTATTCTCCAATAATAGGATCATTCTTGAAGGCGGTGTGATTGTTATTGATCATGGCTTGAAAGAAGCTATGTCTGGAATAGTGCTGAAGTAACGACTCGCCCTGCCGTTCTAGTCATGGAAAAATAAGTTCAGCCGAGTTTGGATAGGCCCAATTTTGAGATAAAGACATACCCTTCTTTCCATTTTTACGTGCTCCAACTAGGCTACCAATGATCCTCTTGCCTGCCCAGCTAGCCATATAAGCAGGCGGCCCAAGAAGTGTTGAGATGGAGCCTATGTGTTCAGCAAAATGCAAATTGGGCTTTTTCATCATATGGGGCCATCCATCTCCAAGGCTTGCTTGGTGCTTCTCAACCAATTTTGTGAGCTTTTCTCCTTCACCATGTTTGAAAGATCGCAAAGTACATATGTTACCAATTTGAATGAGCTGCAGGAGGCAGTCAAGTATTTTGGCAGAGGTGTCTCCAGCCTCTCCAGAGCTGAAGTGAGGTACCCAAGCAAGTAATATATAGACTTTAAATAGATATTGCCATTCGGCTGCTTTGGGGGTACCAGCACTGGCCATTCCAAAGTTAGGCTTAGGTCGAGTGGTCCAAGAGGGGGCAATGGCATGTTCAAGACAGTGCTGAAGCAGATCCAGTTCATAGGGGGTGACTGATGGCACAATAGCGGGTACAGGTGGTGGGGGTGTTGGAGATCGTTCCACTCTTGCTCGCTTCTTTCCTTTGATGGTGCGGTCAGCTCCAGCTGAAGATGATGGTAAATTATGAAGATCTGACGGTGCTGCTGATCTAGTGTCGTGAGAATGGTGTGATCGAGGTCTGCGCGGGGGGCGCATCTCAGATGTCTCTGCTTGCTGGCTGCAAGGTGGGCTAGGAGGAGGTGGTGGTGATAGTCGAGTATTGTACTGACGCCGATTAAATTGGTGAGAGGAAGACCTAGAGGTAAAAGTAATGGAAGTGGGAAGAAGAGGAGTTTGAGATCAACGACTTGATTATAAGTATAATCAAAGTGGTAAAGAGATTCCTCAAAATCAAAGATGGTAATGAGGGAATATTGCAAGGTTGCACGTGAGAGCAAGAGCGCGCGTATGACGCGATTGGCTTTCTCATCCATTGTCGTAGCTACGTCACGTGGCACTATAACCTATTCTCGTATCTAGAAGTTTCCTCCTAGTGCCCAATAAAAACAAACAACGGTTGAGCCATTTGATTCAGTCAAATCATTCAACACCGCAGATTGGAACTCATATTATTGGTATTACGTGATCTTGGACTCATAGAGAGGACTATTTTGGGTACAACAAAGTGATGAAAATAAAGGAGGAGTCAAATGAACAAAGGTTAAGGGAATGTTACCGCACAAGGAATTATAAAGTCCTACTATGTATGAGGAGGCTATAACAATGGACTGTAGTGGAACTGGTGGATGTGTTTCTTGTATCAAGCCAAATCAATCAACATCTGCTCCTTTTCTGATTGAACAACATGTTCATCGACTCGAACGCACACGAGCCGGTAGAATTCCCAAAACAGTTCCCTTTCACTGGGTGTGTGGTCAGTGAGATGATTGCGAAGGTGATTAAAAGCCTATCAAAGGCGAAGAGCAGATAATTTGGCTGTGTAAGCTTGGGTTGTTGATCTACAACGGCCAAAAGATTTCAGGACAAAGCGTACTATGATCAGTGGGAAATGAAAAAACCACATCTTGAAAAGTCCTCTTGGGTCCTCAAAACCTTCCAAGCCGTATAATGCATATGAAACAATGCTATGCAATGTGGTTGTTGTGACAATATGGAATGGATGCTCAATGAGAACAAAGACCCCGATCCAGGGATAAACCATCATGGTTCTGTAATATCAGCCAAAAAAGAGGGAATTTATGTAGATCAGCTTAATGTGCAAAACAATTATATACAGAGTCCAAACCCTACGCGAAGAGGAAAAATATCTGGAGAAGGAGGTTGGTGAATGATCAGTCTCCTCGGCATATAATGATTGTGTTTGCGGAACCCTGCTCACCATAGAGAACACGGCAGCCACGAAGAGGCCAGATCCTGGGATTAAAATCGAGGAGTGTTCAACTGGAAAGCCGAATGAGTTAGCAAGGAATGAAGAGTTCTGAAGTGGAAAAGAGGCATTTACGAAGCGGGAACATAATGGTGGTTGACGCGCCAATGCAGCATAGGAGGCCCAAGGTAACCCCAATGCGCACGATTAACATCTTGCGAGTGAGGATCGGAACGGTGTCAGCCATTTTGTAAGTGTAGTGGGCGGATGATAAGATAAGAAAGGTTTGAGTCTGAGGATTGGAAAGAGATCAAAACGATGAAATGTGGAAGCAGAGTAATTTTCAGTGCGTTGCGAGTGGGACAAAAGAATCTGAAGCTGACCACGTTTACTTACATGTATGTATCTCAGACTCGATGCTCATCAGTGCAAAGCAATGTCCGCTAAGCAGTGCCATCTTCAGTAGAAATTGATTCATTCAGTCAATGTGCCTATCTAGCATTGACTGTCTGAGGCGCGGTCTCATCGTGTTAGCTTTACTCTATAAACTGACATACTGGGTTCGTTTCACAGCAGCCAGCCATCTAATTAGGTGCTTGATTAGGACAAACGGATATCACTCGATCGTGCTTCAGGAACGCATCATTGCAACCGTGAACATCTACATGCATGCCGCGCCATCCCGATTCCCTACAAGCCCCTGGCAATTGTCCCAATTTTGCCCAGTCGACTACAAAGCGGTTTCTACAATGGAAAACAAACATGTTTGCTCGGAGATAGAGACACCGGCACAGACTGGCACACTTTGCATAATTCCTGGGGTAGCCAACCATAGATCAGAATTATAAAGAAAACACAGTAGACAAATGTGCAGATGTCATAGACGAAAACGCGGTGGCGAAGCTTCTGGAGACGCCTAAAGATTTTTTATGGTTGACGCATAGGTTTATTGATTTCAAGTGTGGTGTTAGTCTTCGACTTTTTATCTCTTCCACTGATGGGTAAAATTTTAGGCAGCCATAAGGCCCAGGGTAATCACAAAGAAGTTGGACATGTCGCCACAAGTGCAATCCTGAAATCAAAAGGACTTGAAAACATATCGTGACAATGGCCTTCGCCTATCTACACCTTCATTCTTGCCCTTTATCTTCATCAGCTGTAGCGTTTCCATATCACCGTGCAGCTTCTTGAATGAATAGATTTCTTGGGCTGTCAAAGTTAAGTATTATGCCTTGACTCGATTTTAAAGAAGATTAACGCTCAGCTTTGAGACGCCAGCTCCAACTGCTTCAAGTTTGATTCAAGGGAAAGTCTTGGAGTCCGATTGCGCTGCGCTCGTGACTGTGAGTGTGACAGAGACGGAGTGTGACACGTCAAGGCGCACGAGCTACACAGACTTTATGGCGACGTCAATGGCGTCGTCAAGTGAGGAATTTCGTTTACATAGTCTCTCATAATCTTCAGAAGAATCCACGAGAGCGATGATCGCATGCAAGTCCACGCCCAGGCTTGACAGACCAGGCTTGACCCCGCCAACGCGACACTCGTTTCAGCGCCACACAGTCACCCCTTTTGGTTACTATTGTGGTAGACCACACTGCAAACAAGTACGTCTTTACTTCTTGGGGAAGTCATAAAGGTGTTTCTGTTCAAGTCCATGGTGAGATTTTTTGAACCTACCATCCAATTTCCTGTACCTCAATTATGTTTAAGCGAAGTGATATTGACAGCGCCTTGGCAAGAATGAATTTTTTCGGCTTCAAGACTAAACCTAGAGCCGACTACGAGATTGTAGCTTTGGAAGACCAACCGCTGGGAGAATCAAGAAGCCATGAACAAGAAGAAGAACATGTTCAAGAAGCGAAGTCATCGAAATCAGATACACAACATTGGGCTAATGGACTGAGAGGCCTTGCGGCTTTGTGTGTTATGATCCATCACGGAATTGTCGCTTTCAACTCTGAAGCTACTTTAGAGACAAATGACCCCGATGGCACCGTCCATTTTTGGCAGTGGCCTATCTTACGATCATTTATATCTCCCAACGTTGGCCTTTTTCGCTTGTCTATCTTTTCGCATTTCTTTCTTCTCTCAGAAAAGTACTAAATCAATGCCGTTTTTCTTAGTTCTTGGTCACATTATTTTTCGTGTTATCAGGTGTGTTTCAGAGAATTATACCAATTCAATATTTTTTGACTTACCATCCTTCTTTTGAATCAGGCTATGTGTTATCCTATCGCCCTCTTCATCGGATTAGTACAAAGCCGTCAGACTCGATTTCTGTTCGGAATTCATTGGCATCTGCTTGTTTACGCAGAATCTTCAGGCTGGCACCTCCTCCACTGTTTTCAATCATCATCTCACATACTATTCTATTGGGTGGAGGTTTTGATCAAACTCGGGCTGCGAAGTTGGGTACTTGGTGGACCACTGATCATATTCCACGTTTCGTCACCCCCAACTGGCACGCGCAAACTGTAGAGTGTTTGAAAACCATGGTGAGTCTGAGTTTCGTCAACCAGATCAACTACCAGAAAAAATGCTTATTGATTCACGTCCAAAAACCTATAGGTGAATCTATGGTATGACTCGCAAACCAAATCTCAATATAATGTTGTTTTGTGGACAATGCGTGAAGAGTTTCTAGGCTCTCTGAATGTATTTTTAATTCTATTGGCAACATCAAATTTACAACGTCGATTTCGCGTTATGCTAGTGATCGCACTGGGACTCGTGAACCTTTATAGGAAAGCTCTCGGTCTCTTGCCATTCCTATTCGGTATCCTCATTGCCGAAATACAGGTCTCACGATCCGAATCTAGCCCATTGAAGATCAACAGAAACAAACCATGTGGCAATCTTCGTTCATTGGCCATGGCTGCGATGTTGATGGTCGGTCTGTTTTTCGGATCTGTACCATACTTCGCTATGACCAAGGCTTCTTGGTCGCGTTCCATGTTTCAGGCCATGTCAAGATATAGTAAAGACGAATTTGAAGTGAAGCAAGCTTACAACACCATGGGCGGATGTCTTACGGTTTTATCGATATCACAATGGCCTGCTTCTCAACAGCTCTTCTCCACTCGACTACTTCAATTTTTGGGAAGAATCTCTTACTCACTATATGTGGTTCATGTTCCACTTTTACTTAGCGTTGGTGTATCTCTTGTTTGGCGATTTCGAAGTTGGGGAATCTCAAATACTTTATCAGTCTTTCTTATGACACCTTTTTGGGTTGGATGGGTGATTGCACTTAGTTGGTTCATGGCAAAATTCATTGACGAGAAGGCTATCACCTTCAGTCACGCATTGGAACGAGCTTGGGGTACAAAAACTACTTCAGATGAATCTAGGCATCCAGGAACAAGCCTCCTTTCTACAACATAACGATCAACTTGTTGCTTGTCCAAAACGAAGTGGGTAATACATTCGGCACACGAGGGAATCCCAACAAGCGCAACTCCAATCAAACTTAAAGCTCCTTTGTTCAACTCACAAAGTCTGTTCATTCCCGCTCTCATCCCTTGACACTTCTAGCGGTGACGGGCAGCAAGATCGTCGTCGGACATGATTGTCAGTCTTGGAAACGCCAAATTACAACTTAAATAGTAACACCATGTACAACTCAGCTAAAATTCCTCTCACCCCATAAACCTCATAGCCATATCTCATTTTTTATTCTTGTACATATATATCGAGAAGGAGTTGGTCTACGTAATTGTCCGGGCGAGCCCAAGTGAGGTTCATCTTGTATATTTTGAGCTTACGTGTTCGTAATTTCAATCATCCAATAGTTTTAGGCTTTGAGAACACACGGGATCATAGTCATTGATGTCTTGTGCTACGGAAGACATGGAAGACATCTTATACCATATTGACATTTCTTGAAACTTCAAGGGGTGAAGGGCATCACGATCACCAGCTTAGTTGGCAAAGGCATGTTGTCGCGTGAATTATATATCAAAGTAAAATCTTCATGGTAACAACATGCACAGCCTATGTAGACTTCCCCTACCCTAAATATAGCCCATATTCTCTACATTTTTACAGATTGAGGCTCACTTATTGAGACTGAACGCGGCGAAAATTGAATGATGCTTTTGTGGAAATTTCGTCCAAATGTGTATCTTATCCAAGACCGCAGACTTCATATGTGAAGCGCATTCAGGTGATCGGTTGCTTTTATTGTGCTCTCTTTGTTAGCAAAACATGTGTTTTTGATATGGATTGATTGATTGGCCTGTTTTACAATTCGATTCGAGAACTATGTAATGTACATCAAGTCAGCCAATGACAGAATCTTCAAGTACGATTTGTAAAGAGTGCATCAATCTTGTCACCTTACAGTGCATATCGCCTAGCGTAGATTGAAAGTGTGAGAAACGTCAAAGATTTCGTTTGTCATGAGGGTGCGGTAGTGATCTTGATGTTCCACTTTTGCTGATATTCTTGCAATTCAACACTCTAAACACACCATGGTCGTTCATAATCATCAACATTAAAGGATCGTGATGTATAATGCGATGATAAATAATAAATGAATGTAACAAACCTTCTTTTGATAATGTGACGCCAATGATTTCAAAACTTCATCAATGTTTGACCTCTGTTGTTCTAATCCTGGTAAGATCTCCTTGACTGTACGTCCCACGAGGACTCCTCCGACTAATCTGAAGCATTTTCGATCTGGTTCTGCCTTTTTTAAAGTATCCATCACCACCCTGAAGATCAAGGGTCACGTAAGATGTCATTAGTTTTTCCCATCGTCGGATTTCTGAGAGTTGCTTTGAGGAAAGGGCTAACCCATATTCTTCCAAATCTCGGTCAAGTTGAGAGGCTTTAGCATCTAATGTTCGAATCTCTTCGCGTAAAGATCGAACGGTCTGCACGAGTTCTTGTTTCGAAGCAAATGATTAACATTGTTTAGTACTTCTAGTGTCCGGAAAGATATTGTGGATACATGATTACATACCCTGATTTGATGGCCTAGGAGTTGCCATTCTTCTGCGGTGTGGGTGAATTAAGCTTTGGATGTGGTTGTTGATATTTATATCCAATCAATCATGAAGTCATTCTCTTCAAGTTCAACAGTCCAGGATTATAGAGATGTCAAGGGTGTAACATCCTTTATGACAGGTATGGTTGTATTTGCTTCAGTTGTGGTTTCAGTTGTTAGGGTTTCGTCACTTGAATGAAACTTTTTCACTTTTTTCACTCTCAGTCTCGCTGAGTTCAATCGAATTGTAGCTCAGCATCCAACAAGAGATTAGTTTGAGGTGATCTCTATCGACAAACTCACATTTATCTTGAGCAACAACCTCTGCAATCAATCATTCATCGATCTCTTCCGATCATGATCGTTTCATCTCTCTCAACACCTCAACCTCTTGTCCCATCTTCCTCATCGTTACCTGCTACTAAAGGTAAAAAACGTGCTAGGTTTGTGGACGAGAACGAGGATGACCGTCGAGATCAAATTCACAAACACAGATTGGAAGAGCCACCTGCGAAGAAAGTAAAGGCAGTTGAAGATGCATTCGAACATCTAGATGCTTCTGATAACGGTTAGCATCCCTTTGTTTTATATCTTCACTTCCGCTCTGTCTCCTCACTCTTCAACATTTCTAACTCTACGTGACTTCGATATGAACAGAGGTGCTTTGCAAAGGAATGTATCAAACTTTTATTGATACCGCCTTCATGGAGCGCTCAAACGTGAGACTTGTCTTTTCTTTCGGGCTGGGAAACGTCATAACCCGTCTCCACCCGCTCCAATCAAATATCTCATCCACCGTATGCTTTCCCTTTGTTTTCGATTTATGATAGGGCCAATTGGATAGATACGAGCAATTCCTTGAACAATTTCAGCATTTACTCTCGCCTGGCAATACAACCGCTGCATCCTTACCATCAGCACCCTCAATCTCTAGAATCCAACGTTGGCTCACTACCCTGACATCCGTCGTTTCCAAATTGGATCGCACACATTCCGTCTTGGTTAACAAGGTTTTGAGTTTGCCATGGACTGTGATGGATGATCAATTTGTAGCGGTTTATTCTAGATTTGTTCATGGCTTGGTTAGTGCTCGTAGTGAATGGATACATCTTGTAGTAGAGAAAGTCGTACAGGGCCTACATTATCGTAAGCTAAAGCTAATCACTCTTGCCAACTTGACAACCTACTCACCTATCATATACTGATATTTTTTTCGTAGGCTGTGTCCCTCTCGAGGTTCGCTCATCAGTCTTACCTAAAGAAATCACTCGAAGATTAATCTATCAACGTCTGCATAGCCTATTGCGCTCAATCTTACGGCTTGTCCCCACACTTCCTTCTATCCTTTGGCCAATACTCGAGTCCAGCTACCCCAACAAGCGCGAAAATAGGGATGCACATACTTGCTACACTGCTAACCTACTGAAGATCACGACCTACTGCGATGAATTGATGGAGCAGATTGTAAAATTGACAATTGATCGATGTGTAAAGTTGGATGTTGAAATTCAAGTTGAAGTTGAAGATTGGGAAGACGATGACGGTCGACTAGAGTCTGAAATCTTTGGCAAATCTGTAAATGAAGCTTTCGACAAATCATGGGCTGACGAAGAACCTGAACCTGAAGATGATGCGGAACTTGATGCCGGCGAATGTCTTGAGCTGGATGACCTCTCTTCTGATGACGGTCAATCCTCTGATGAAAACGAACCGACCAATGCACCATCACCTGCATCAATACGGAAAGTTAAGGAATTGGCCGCTAAATTAGATGGCATCTTACGTTGTATTTTGGACCATCTGCAGTATATGAGTTTTGGTATCTCCCTCAAGCAACCTGTCCCTGCGCTCGATCAATCCCAGCCGGAGGCAGAATCATCCACGCCTTCTCCGCCTGTCAGTGCCGCCCCGGAACCCCGGTTTCAAGCCGAGAAAGAACTATTTTTCGACGTATTATTGTCATCATTTGAGTCTTGCATTCTAAGAACCCAACGCACTCGCCATACTCAGTTCGTTATCTTTTGGTATGCATCTGTGCATCCTGACTTTGCGGATTCTCTCCTCGCTACCTTGGTGGAGTGCGCCCTATACGCATATGACGACTCGACACACCCGATCGTGACCAGAGTAGCTTCCTTAGGATATATTGCCAGTCTGGTTAGTCGAGCGCGATACATTGATAAGCAAACCACAAGACATGTGGTGTCACTTCTATGCGCAAGACTCGAAGCTGGATTGGTTGGCGAAGGAAATGGAAACTCTTATGCTCTCTGGTACTCTATCGCTCAAGCAGTCTTTTATATCTTTTGCTTTCGATGGAAGGATTTACTTGTCGGTGAAGATGAAGAGATTGAGGATGAGGATAGCCTCAGTCCGGGAAAACAAGTAGGTAGATGGTTGACAGGATTAAAAGTATTGGAGCGTGCGGTGTCTAGTCACTTGAACCCATTGAAGGTAAGTAGTGTCTGCCATAGTTTTGAAAATTTTTGATAGGCTCCATGACTGACATTTAATCTCTGTTTCCAATCAGGCTTGTGCTCCAACTGTTGTTTCTCAATTCGCCAAAGTTGCCCATCAAACGAATTTCATCTACTGTTATAATATCCTAAGATCTAATGATCGAAGTGGTCTAAATAGTAGTGGTAGTAATAAGCTCTTACCACCACCACCGTCTATTCACTCACAGAATAATCTACCACCTTTAACAACTGATCCGATCGTGAGGCAAGTATTATCAGAATCTAGAATGGATTCCTTTTTTCCATTCGATCCTTGTCGATTACCACTCACATTGGTTTATCTGGAAAAGATTTATCGGGTATGGGAAGGAGCTCCTGGTGATGCTGAAGATGGTGATGAAGAAGATGAAGACGATGAAGATGAAGATTGAAGTATTTAATTGGGTTTTATGATACACGTTTTTCATTTTGTTTACCAAAAAGGAAGTCAAAAATATATAATTTATAAGCTGAAACCTTTTTTTAATGTTTTTTTCAATTGATATCTTGATATTCATTCTTCTAAAAAATTGTAATTATAGTACTTTTTACTTGATGTGCTTCATGATACACTGATTTCGCAGATTCGAATGTAAAAATATAATTGTTGATTGATTTTTTAAAAGTAAATGATGATGAAGTCTTATGAAATTGATTGATTTCTCCTGATTTCTTCTTGATCTGATCAAACCTTTACCGAAATCGCATGAAAATGCACTGTATTGGAGACTTGGTCAAGGCCGATGGAAATGGACTATATGAAAGGAGGAGGGAATATCAAAAATAGTCGAACGAGCGGGGTTATCATTGAGTTTGATTTTCTAGTAAACTAATCTGATTTATTCAAATTCGTTGATTACTATCAAAGGAAATCCTCCAGTCTGTATGCGCTCATTGGTTTTTGGTTCTTGACCGGTGCTTTTTTGTGCACTCTCAAGTATACCCATCACTTACGTTACACTCATCATGTTTTGAATCGCTCAAAATATAAGAGATACCCGTACTTGATGCTCGCCCAAAGAAAACACACCCATCAGAATCATCAGAATCATTTGTTTTGTATACATTTTCCTCATCTTTCTAAAACATATACTGAAACTGAACATCCAGCACCAAATGTTTTATTTCATCCTCCCTTGACGTTTTCTTTGGATAAGTTTCACTCATACCAGCTCTATGAAACAAAATTGGATCAACAAGTCTTACATTCATTTGCATCTGATGGAGTCCGGTCACGTTAAGCTTTGGATCTGATTCTGAATCAAATCAAGTATGGCATTGGCAGTAATATCATTTGCAAGAGAATCGATTGCGTGAGAGGTGCAATTAGGTGGCTTCAACGTCCACGAGCCCCACATCACCATCAACTTATTCTTAAAACTCGATTACTCCGTTGATTTTGTACGTATCAGATATATGGAGGTTCCAGTATGTAAAAAAACGCAACATCAAGTCTTGAAAGTTGATATGGACAAATATGTAGTCTCAATAATTCCAGATAAGACCAGATAAGACAAGGTGTATGTGTAGATAGCGGTTAGAAGAGATCAATGACAACGCATGGCTTTGTTTCAACTAAATTCATGCGTACACTCCTTTAAAAGCCTATCTGGATGCCCTTGTGCAACAAAGAATTTTCGGCATCACCCACCAATACGTACAAAGATTCAATTGATATGGGATCCAAAATGAGACCTCATGAGGTGTGATATGTAACTGGTCCAAAATGAGACCTCATGAGGTGGTTGAACTTGCACCGTTTGAAACAGAAAACTTGACTTTCCCGATCACGATCGGAGAAAACTCGGGCCGGGCTCAGCTGTTAAACGCGTGGTCATGGGAATGGGGATGGGTGTCGCTCATCACATAAAAGGATTTGACTTTTTGATATTTTTGTAAAGCCAGAAGCGTTCAATCAACCTCAGCATCACTTTATAGCAACTTTCATTCGCCATGCTATTGCGTTCCTCTTTGAATCATCGTTTTCGAGCGTTCAGCTCTCAAGTTGTAATCCCATTGCGTGGGTTTGCCACTCACTCAGGTCCTCCTTCTCTCACCAATGCTGGTCTCGCTCTCGACCCAGACTTGGCTCGTACTCAGGGGACTGTTCAACTTTTAGAGGATATTCCAAATTCTCATCTGCCCGAAACTCGACATGGTTTACCTGCCTTCACTATCTCCCGTGATAGGGGATTCTTGCCGAGGGATGATCCTATCATCAATCTTCCACCAGCTTTTTCGGCGCTTGACTCCCTTTTACAACGTATGACCCTTATTCAACCTGACGGTCAACCCGGTTTATTAGCCCAAGGCACATTTGGACAAGCAGTGATGGCTGAATTATGCGACAGTAATGTCTCCCTTGAGATCATGAAGGCCATCGATCTTGCAATTGCCGAAAACGATCAAAATCTGCTCTCGGCTCTCTTCCGTGACTATAGTTTCTTGACATCGGCGTATTTGCTTGAACCTGTTGACTTGCACTATAAGCAAACTGGTGAATATTGTATTGGGAGAGACATTTTACCTGCTCCTATTGCAGTCCCTTTCAAGAAATTGGCCGATGCCTTGGGTCATTTTCCGTTAGTAGTTGTCTTCAAAAAAAATACCATCACGTCTTATCGCTTCATTTCATCTGACTTTTTTCGTAAATATTCATTTTCGCATCTAGGTACATGGAGTATGCCTCAAGTTATGCCTTACAAAACTTTGCTCGAATCAATCCTGAGAAGCCCATCTCTTACGATAACTTGAGATTAATACGTGGTTTTCAAGACCGTAACAAGTCAAGCTCAGAGAGCGGATTTATGTGCGTGATCCATTTTCTGCCTTATTCACCTATATGTCTTTTCTAACTGTTTTCCATTTCATGGCCAACAGACTTGTTCATGTCGATATGGTTGCCCATTCGGGCAAACTTATAAGTGCGATCGAAAAAGCGCTCGGAGCTGTGGCTACCAGTGACCGAGCGAACTTTAATATGGCATTGGATCAAATGTATCAAGCTTATCAAAAGATCAATGCCTCGATGCATACTATGTGGGGTCACAGTAAACCGGCAGATTATTTGAAGTTTCGTAGCTTTATTTTTGGTACTGGACCTGGCAAGCGTCTCAACAAAATGTTTCCAAACGGGGTCAGTAGTTTCTCTTGTGATCTTCTCCCTTTTGTGAATCCGGTATTTTGTCACATCAAATCTGATCTGTGACAATTTGCTCCTCTCATTTCTTTAGGTATTCTATGAGGGCGTCAGTAATGAAGCATTGTATTTCAGAGGCGAATCTGGTGCCAAGTACGTTGGTTGAATGTATTCAATACCACGCAGATTGGTTGACTGGTCCTCTTTTTAGTGATTCGATGATCCCGGTGGGAGATAATCTTCTAGAGATCACCGCTCGATTACCGCAAAATGAATTTACTGCGATTTTACGTGACTTCCGTACATATCGCCCTAAGACTCAGCGTGATTATGTTGAATCTGTCGAAGCACGTGCGACAGCTTATCAAGTTAAACGATTTGCTGAAGCGGATCCTACTAGTTTAGCACTCTATGTGCTCAATGTTGATCAAATCCGTGAATTCAGGGATAGACATTGGAAATTTACCAAGTCTTATATCCTTGAGGTGAGTCAGATGCGATACTTGACATGGACATCTTCTATTTTGTGCAATGTACCTATACTGATTTCCCCAACTCTTGTTCAGCATACCACTTATGGTATTGCGACCGGTGGTTCGCCCATTGCTACTTACCTACCTTCCAACCTCACCACTGTACTTAACGTACTTGGTGACGCTAGTAAGATGTTGGGCAATAAGCCATTGGTTGACCAAGTTGACTTGCCTTCCGAATATCTTATGGCAATAGATGAATGTCGTGCCAAGGTAGGCCCACAAAAAGCTGCCTTGGATAAAGAAGTAGCAGCGATTGTGGCACGACAGACTGCTAAAGAATCAGGTCATGATCGAAACATTACTTCTTTACTTGAATCACATCCCGATGAGAAGAAAGGATTACAACGTGGACCTGTTGGTTGCGACGGTGTGGGATGATTTATAAGATGAATGGAAGACTAGAGGATATCAGGTGAATTTGGACTAAGACGAGTAAATTTTAAGATTTCTTGAGGAGGGATTGCGAATCGTTTTGATCCTTTTTTGGTATATCAGATCACTTGATATAACCGTATCTTGATATTTACTTGCTTTTATCATCTTCTTTCTCCTCTTGCCTCACAGTAGTCTTTATCTCAGTTTCATATGTTATGTTGGTTACAGTTCAGATCAGTCTTTTCTTTCAAGATTCACTCGTGCATATCTTTAGCTTATTTGATGAATGCCCTTTGTCCTCTGCCTAAGATGTGGATTGAAATGCAGTCCTAAAGTATTGATGATTCTCAAGTTTGAATGCCGGTCAGAATGGTTTGATGACTCTTACCTTGATATCTGTGGCAATTGATCGGCAAATCTTGTCTAGATGATGTGAGAGCTTCCAATTACCTCTTATAGACTGCTAAGCAATTATCACAAAGTATGAAGACCAGCACCTCAGACTGCAAGATGGTATTTCAGCATATGTTTGTTGCTTTAAAGTTTTGCCTTTGCACTTGCGTTCAAACAAAGCCGAGTTATACCAGACAAAGATGCAAAGGTATTCGATTATCGGACATAAAGCTGCTTTGTTTTAGAAATGACATATGACGATGGGACCTTTGAGTCATGCACGAAATATTTTCATCAGGAAATTCTACCTCCAATGCGATTGATATCGCTGACATCAGGAGACCCCGATGAGAATGGAATCGGTATTTACGGGATACAACGGTACTACCTCTTACTACCTCGAGGCTCCAATGTGATTGATATCGCTGAAATACCCCGATGAGAATGGAATCGGTATTCTTGACATGTTTTTTTTGAAACAAAGTACACCAGTGCGTCACACTTAATTCGGCAACACTGTTGAAAGCTCGAGCCGCATTTTCACCTGACCTCAACTTGAGTCCCTCGCTGCTTCTCGCACGCTTAGACTTGGTTGAGTTTAAGAAATGCCGCACAGGATTTGGATAATCAAACGTTGAACAAAGGATCTCAGTAAAAGCACCATGATGAATTCAGATGCACGTTGAATATGATTCAAGTAACATGGTCCTTGGCTTCACCGAGTAGACCGTAGGCAAGAGAGATAAATGAATGCATACATAATCAACGAATTTCAGATGGAAAGGAGAAAGTGAGTGGTGCTTGCCGAGTTTGAATTCAGAATGCCGTCTTTTGAACACCTCGACAAGGATTGGGTTGAGATTAAATCCTGCTAAATCGAATTCAAAATGACAATCTCCGACCGCAGACTTTGTGAAAAGTTAACCTGGTGATTGTAGTTAATGAAGCTCAAGACCACAGACACTTCGCAAATCACCGTTATTGAATTCTCATCTTGGTTTGATCTTCCCTAAATACCTTTCAAGACAAAAGAACAACTTAATTCTAACATCAACTCATCAAATCCCTCAGCACGGTGAACTTGTTGATCTAATCTGGAATTCATCAACTGTTTTTTTAAAAACTTTTTCCCAAACCCTCAAGTATCTTGACAAATTGATTTTGTTATGTAAGCTGTCAAACTGCTCATCGCCTAGAAACTTTTGTATTTCCTCTTTGTGGACTTCAAAGTGCTGCTGTCTTTCAACGCTTTTCGTCTCTCATTCTTCACCAAGCTTCATATTTGAATCCGAGTGTTCTTTAATTCATATTTTTAGTATTTCGTATTCACAAGCTCAGATTTAAAAACCTTGACTATTTGTTCTTCACCTCCATTTTCTCACTCGTCGTATCAACGATAATTGCACACCCAGTCAACCTGGTCAACCAACTCAGTCAGCAACCGATCGACTGGTCAAACAAAACACACATTCTTCAAATCAAATCAACCAAGCACAAAGCAAAGCAACGCATCCAACAATCTTCATCGTTCAAACTATCGCCCCTATACATCGGTTCCCCCTCAACCGACGCCTTTGACTGATTCACAACTTTCAATTTGCCTTGCTCCTGTTACACAACAACAGACAACAACTCATACACTGAAGTCTCACTCTACAACTCTTTCTTTCCTCATTTGTTGGTCCGCTTTGCCAGGGGAATCAAGTGTGAGTTACGACTAGGTATACATTAACTTCAAGCGAACGCTAAGCTCATCATCCTCAACATCAATCCCCCATCGTTCACCTTTCTTTCCTACATGTGGTGGCTTTTCTCAGTCGCTTTCACCATCACATCCACAGGCCCATTCAGTTCCCCTATCCTTACAGATCTTCCTCCGGCCACCCCACAGCCTTCTAGTACTCATTGAACCGCTCTCGATCTCTCTTGGACGGTCTTCTATCCCTCTGTGCAAGACTCTTTGAGATAAACCATCAAGATTCAGACGAATTCCTATATCTCATATCTTGCAACGCAACGACCATCACTGTATAGGTAAGGTGGCTTTGAATTATATCTTAATTGCCTCACCTCACTCATCATCTCGGGCCTTCTTCATGGTCTGAATTACGTAGTTGGGTTTCTAGTTTTTAAGTTCACCCTTGACTCTTTCACATCCCGAACATCGGTGACTCTTGTCTCATACCCTTCCGCCGCCTCAATTCAATCCCACTGAGCACACTTCTCAGAGTCTACCCACGATTTATACGCCCTACCTCACATAATCAATTACTTCTCGTATCCTGTAACCTAGAAACTTCCTACAGCCGTATTCCTTTGCGTCTGGGACGCTTCTGAATCGACTTATCATTTTTTACAAACCATTTATTAATACTTTCATTCCCGACCCTTTAATCCATCTCGAGTTTAGGTAATGTCCCTCAAGGCTGAAATTGAAACTTGGACTGCGGCTCTCGATTTCTATGATGCTCAAGACTTTGATCAAGCCTTGGCCAAGTTTGAGGTTAGACTTTTGCTCTTGATTCAATACATGGGATCTCTCGACTTACAACCTTTGTTTTAATCTTTGTGTAGGATATTGCCGATTCCTCAAAAATTCTATTCAACATTGGTCTCATTTACGCTACTCTAGGCGAACATGAGGTAGCTGTTGAAAATTTTCACGCTGCTACCAATCTCGACCAATATCTTGCTGTTGCGTATTTTCAATGCGGCGTCAGTAACTTCTTACTTGGACTATATGAGGAAGCTGTAAAGGACTTTGAAGACGCTCTTTTGGTTTGTACTCTTACGTTTCTTGTCCTGTATACCACATTCTCTTTTCAGTGGCTACAGCACCATAAGTACTCATGCAAGTCAGCTGAGCTAATCATGTTATTCTGTTCATAGTATCTTCGGGGCAACTTGACCATTGATTATGATCAACTCGGTCTTAAGTTTCGGCTTTACTCCTGTGAGGTGCTCTTTAACAAGGGTCTGAGTACAATCTACATGGTAATCCCTCTACAGCTTCATTGAAAGGTGCCATGTCAATCACTGAGCCCTTCAACACTCCATCTTCTCTAGGGCAACGATGAGGAGGGCTTAGCAGATATGCAGGAAGCTCTACGAGAAAAGCAGACAGCTGAACATGGTGTAATTGACGAAGCGATTGCCGATCGGGGGGATGGATATACAGTTTTTTCTATTCCAGTTGGGGTTCTTTATCGACCAGCCGCCAATAAAGTCAAAAACTTGGCTTCGAAAAATTATTTGGGTCAAGCCAAACTTGTGGCCGCTACTGACGCTAGTGAAACGTTTGTGGGGTTCACCGGTGCAGCTCGAGCTGCAGCCAAGAATGGTACCGATCTCATCACCTCCTCTGGACCTTCAGCAGATGACTCTTCACCCGCAATACATCGTCGTGGTACTACTGCAGCTCGACTTGAAGGTACCTCTCGAGCTGGGGCTGTCACTGCCAACGATCTGCGTCGTAGACCGAGTGACAACACCGCTGCCGTTACTCCTAATCGACTACAGAGAAGCGCTACATATGGTACCGCTGCCAGAGCAAAGCTTCCTCCTATGATGGAAGAGGTTCCTCGGTCTTCTTCAAGGCAAAATCCCGAACGCAATAATTCCAGGCGTCCTTCGGAGAGACCGTCTTATGGAGACCTGCTAGATGATTACGACGAACCACCGATCGATCGTGGCAAGGCTGACCGGATAGCTGACTGGGCGAAGAATAACTCTGGATCTGATCGGGGATCTCCTAGTACCTTTCAGCCTCCTAGTCGTAAAGCTTCTTTAAGACCTTCTGGAAACGGAGGCCAATACGAGGATGAGTACGCAAGCGGAGGAGACTACCCAGAAACAGTTTCCAGCTTTACTGCAATGACCAAGATCCGTGTCAAGCTTCATCACGCTTCTGATACACGTGGAATGGTAAGTATCTCATCATCCACCGGCTCAGCTCGGTCAACAATGTTTTGCACTAACACTACATTTTTATCCTCTCAGTCCATAGATCCTGAAATGTCTTTACTGGCTTTCATTACCAAGGTATCCAAAAAGTTTTCACTGCCGTCAGATGTTTCAATGCGGTACCGCGATGAAGAAGGCTCCATGATCACTATCTTGGATGAAGACGATTGGGAAAGCGCTGTTGATACAGCCAGATCATATGCCAAAGGACGAGCAGAAGGCAAGATTGAGGTTTGGGTTGAAGACACTTGATCAGAAGAAACTTGAGCTCGATTATAATTTACTCTTCGGCTTTTCTTGAGCGTCCTTTCTTCACATACTGTCCCTGCAAGACCCTTTTGCGTCGGGTTACACCATGTCCATTCGGTCTTTATCACTTGCTGGGTTTCGGACGTTTTTTCATCACAGCTCATTGTCCTATACCTCCCTCTTTGCTCTTCGATATATGTGTGTTTGTGTGTACCTTCATTTCTTTGACAGAATCCCATTACGTCACTTTCGTATGTGTGTCAAACACGATTTCTTTCCTCTCTGAAATCCTCGCATTGTTCAATAGGTTCGATTTTGATGTGATCACATCACTAACTAATGCTCTCGCCCTCTATATTTGTGTTTGGAGGTTTTTTACTTTTTTTTTTGCAATGTCTTTTACCGTAGCAGAGATTTTTCTGAGCTGTATATAAGCCACTCTTGGAGCTCACTGAGACTATTTTTGAAACTTTTAATACAAATGAACCTTTGGTTTTCCTTTTTTTAATTACTTTCTGAAGCCTCATTGAAAACGAAAATACATTGATTAAGATGGGTTTGCTTTAAAAGATCTCGAGTTCAGTTGCCTTGATCCAGCAACAAACAAAATGTCAAGAATTGGCTTTTTGAGCAACCTTAAAAGTGACACATGTAAAATTTCCCTAGTTTCAAGAGCTGGAATCATGATTCAACTGAGTTGAGCTGGTTTATGCCAATGGCAATAAAGTGCCGACCCAGACTCAGAGTTTGAGCACATGTAAATACCTTTGAATAAGTTCTCAAGCCTTGTATGGTGTCAGCACAGTCCCCGCGGTTAGTTAAAAATGTTTTTGAAAAGCGAGCATATTCATTAACATCATCATTACACTCATCGTTACTTCATCGGTTTTGTCAGATTGTAAAACCAGCTTTGATATTGAAGTGCTTCTTGGTACAATGTAGAAAGCGAAGATTTTTTCTCTGAAAAGAGGACCCAAGAAATTATGTAGAGAACATACTAATCTTGCAGATGCTCTGCGTTACATTATATGATTTCATTAATATTTCTTTTCGTTATGCAAGAATTGAGTTCATGACTATCAGCTATATATATATTTAGAAATCAAACGTCCGTGCAAAACCAATGTCGAACCAAAAACCAAAAGTTAACAGCTTTGTTCCAACATAACATGAGTAGACGATTCCTGTCGAACGACCACTGAAAATCTGATATCTACGTTAATGAATACAAGAAATAGAGTACGGTAAGGTAGAAACTAGTTATGAAAGATGAGATGATAGGAACTCCTATCTGAGAGTTTCTTCGAGCAAACAATGGAGTGTGTTTGGGTTGGAAACTTTGCGAACGGACTGACTGAGTTGAAGCTCGTGTGGTCGACGTACATTCGGTGAATGGGACGAGGAATGAATGGTTTGACTTGCGTTGAGTGATGAAGATAGGTTATTACTGTTGGGATCGAGACTATGTCGCTTGAAGATTCGACCAGTACTTTGGGATAACGGATTGGCTAGAGGGTCGTGGGTGAGAATGGACGTGGACCATGCTTTCTTATAAGAGGATGGCTCCGGTAGTAACGTTCTTTTCGTTGGGCTCTTGATGTTAGAACGTTGGAGGGCTATGATGCTGGATTTGGGATCCATGGAGGCGCGACTGGTGACCTAGAGCAAACAATAGAAGTAAGACATCGCAACGACTTACTGATATATTGGACGTTCGACTGTCACTTACATTTGGCGAGGAATTCCTGAGTGATTGCGGAGTAGAAATGTTACCACGAATTTGTTGAGGGGTTAGTGGGATCTCCACATGAGTGATAGGTGCTCGTGTCTTGAGTTTATAATAGGCTTCAAGGGTGTTACCAAAGAGTAAGAGTAAGATCAACCATTCTATTAAAACAGAAAAGAGTGATTCATCAGCTGACTGCTAGGACAAAGTCGTCACAAGATAGTTTAAAACATATGCACAACGCACCTAGTACGAATACAGGAGTACTGAGACTAGGGAAACGAGAATCGATTGTATCAAGCAGCTTACTGGTAAGACGTATGATCATATCAGCCTATCGACTTTTGCAATGTCTGATAACAGTAAATGTAGAGCACTTACTCAAATGTTTTGGTCGAGGTGAAGATGAGAAGGAAGACAAAGGAAATGAGATTGACTCTCAGTCTCTGACTTAATTGAAGTTGACCGAGTTTGACTCCGGCAGTAAGGTTCGGGTTCAAACTGATGGGAACCTTTGAATTGATTCTGGGGGTAGGAGTGCTTTGTGAGACCGAGGATTGATCGATTGATTTCGAGGCTTTTTGATTAGAAATTTGAGGCAAAGAAGACTGAAGAGGACTGAAAGCTTGTGACTTTGACAAAGTTGAATGAGACGTGGATGGAAAGTGACCAAAGAGTTTATGATTAGATGAAATTGTAGAAGAATCTAGGTTTGGTTTAGCTTGATCGACGAGTTCTTGAAGCCAATCAGGCGTAGATTTTTTAGGGGTAACAAATACGCTTGAAGTTTGATGAGGAGGAGACGAGTGAGTTGGCAGCTGGTTGAGATTGAAAAACGATTCCGATTGAGATGGTAAGCTGGGATATTTGTTGTTTTCGACTGAAAAGGAATGTGACTTTTGTTCAGATGTTGGATGAGAGATATGAGAGTTATTGATATCCTTCTGTTGTTGAGATCGATCTGAATTGAAGAGTCTACGAGGTGGAATTTGAGATGGAGAGAGACTACTAGATAAGATTGGTTGATTCTCGAAATGAACTGATCGAGGATGATTGTTCTGATCGTGGTGATGAGATTTTGTCCTATCGATTGGAGTAGGAGTATTAAATGCTAATTCAGATTGAAGGTTGAATGGTTTTCTTTGATTCGGTGAGATTGAGTTGGTGAGAATCGACATTTTTGTTTAAAAATCTTGTGGAAGAACAAAGCTTGAGGCGAGACAGCGAGTTCAAGTATCAAAGCGAAAATATAATCCACAACGAGGATTTCGGTGCTCCCATCGGGGCTGTTCAGGTGGGCCCCGACATCCATCCGGACATTTTTCTTCTTCTTTTTTTCTTCTTTTTTTTAAGGGCGCGTTCACTTAAGGAATTTCTGACCAGAAATCACATCCTGTGAATTTTTTAATCCAAAAAATAAACATGCTCCACCAAATAGACACTTTAAATTTTGCAGAATGTGATTTCTCACCAGAAATTGCTTAAGTGAACACGCCCTAAGGGCACATTTGGTATGGCTTAATTTAAGCAACTTATGGTGTAATTTGACTTTTGAAAGTCAGATTTTGAAAAGTCCGTTTGGAACGGAAATTCTCAAACTTTCCAAAGGTCCTTTGGTACTGATAAGTAGCTTATTTTGCTACTTAAAATAAAGAGCCCAAGAGCTCCTTATTTTTTTAATAGGCTACTTATTTGAGCCAAAATCAGGCCATTCTCCTTTTTTTTCTGAAAACGGACAAGTCCACATTTCAATACCCCCCTCCTGTCTTCAACTCCCATTAACGTTGTCATACAAAACCACACTTGATCTTTCTCATTTCACTTTTCATCATCTGATATCAGCACCAACAGTGGCTTGCTAAGCTCAGCTAAGGATTTTTGCCACCTTGGCTTAGCTTAGCTAGAAGCCGCTAAGGAAAAATTCACTAACACTAATCTTAGCGGATTTCCGCTAACGCTAAGCCATTAGCTTAGCAGGCGTAAAATGACACCCGCTAAGCCAATTAATTGGCCGCTAAACCACTAATAGCGGCTTAGCGGCCCTTTTTTGCACTTAAAACATGTTTTTTTGATAGCTAAGCTCCTGGCTTAGCTTAGCGCAGACCCCCCAAAGGAAAAATCAAAATTTGATTAGCTTAGCTTGAGTGCATTAAGGATTTAGTAGCTTAGCAATAAAAAATTGCTAAGCTAATGCACGGCTAAGCGCTAACTTAGCTTAGCCGTGCCACCGTTGTCAGCACACACCAGTTCCAATCCCATACTTTGCCTATATTTGCTCTACCATGGGTCGGGTCAAAGCCACCAACAATAATCAAGATCCTAAAACCACTGCTCAATGGAACACCAGCCGTAGTTTGGCTTTCATCAATTGCCTTCAAGAGCAAGCACATCTTGGAAATCAATCCGATAATGGCTTTAAACCAGTCACTTGGACTGCAACCATCAATCGCTTGAAATTACAGTACCCACCTGGTTATGATATTAATCAACTAAAGAATCATTGGACTGTGGTAAGTGTCCATCTGTACTATCTGTCCGAGGATAGTTAGCTCACCTTTTCACTTGCTGTCTATTCTGGATCACCAGCTACTTTAAGGCAGGTTGTGAGATTAGGAAAGCTTCTGGTGGTGGTTGGAATGATGACAAGCAAAGAGTCATAGGGGATGATGACTTCTGGGCAAATTGGCATAAAGTAAGTTCTTATTCATGTTGATTCTACTATACTAAAGTTCTTTAAACACAATTTGTTCTTAGGGTCATAAGAATGCTTGTCAGTACAAAAAGAAAGGTTTCCCATTGTACAATGCTCTCAAAAACCTCATCGGTCATATCACAGCCACTGGATCACATTGTACAGGGACCAATACCTCACGCCTGAGAAATCCTGAGAATTCACTCACCCAAGCCGAGCAGGATCTTGACAATGATGATGCCCCAGACGGTAAGTAGAATAGATTTCACTACTCTGATCACCTCTTCGAGACCAATTGATTAATTTCATGCTTGATACTTCCTCAAGTTCCATTTGAGCTAGATCACCACGGTGCTTCTGGCTGGCATGGAGGCATTGGGGCTTCAACTCAAGCTCAACCTACCTCCTCAATCAAACCTCTCTCTTTTGATCAATCTACCTCATTGATGGAACCATTCTCGTTTCATCAACCATTCTCCTTTGATCAACCTACCTCCTCAATCAAACCTTTCTCTCAACCTACCTCATTGATTCAACCTCCCATTTGAAGCAGTCAACCTACATCATCAATCAAACCTCCTATTTTGAGCAGTCAAATAGGGGATTCAGCAAGAGAAAGAACCCCTTTACCTTGGGTGGACCTAAAACCAAGCCTTTCAGCCCTGAAGAAAAGAAAAGTATCCAAAGCCCCCCTAAACAGCCAAACAACTTGGCTTCTGAAATTACAATCATGAGCTCAAATCAAGAAAAGAGACTTGAGGCAGAGAAAAAATATGCTGAAGAAAGAAACCAAAGAAACACTGCAAGATTACAAGCCCACCAAAACGCTATTGAAGAACGAGCTCAATCTTGCCTTCAGGCTTCAACAGTGGCAAACAAAAAGTTCCCTCATTGAAAGCCAGCATTGGAGCTTTTCTCCATCAAGAAAGCAGACGAGTTTCCCAACATAAAAATCCAAATGAAAGCAGCTGAGCTACTAAGAGATGAAGATACCGCTTCTTTCTTCACTAACCTTGATGATGTTGAACGCTGAATATGGTTGAAGTTGAAAATGGAGGAAAAATCAAACTGAGTTTTTGCCAAGTAAGATAACATTTCTCCCATCATCATCTTCCTCTTGCTCATCTGATTCATTTTTTTATTCTATTCTGCTGCTTGATTGACTAGGACCCCTCAAATTCAACCAGTTCAACCAAGAATGAATTGCTTCAGCACATCCTCTCTTTTCTCAATTCTGAAATACTGCAGCAATTGTTAAACATCAAATTTATGGGCAGATCATTTTTTATTGCCAATCTCAACAAATGTAAACTAACAATTTATACCTATATATATTATTGTACATACAACATCAACTGTTTAGTTTCTCCTAAGTAATGAAATAACTGTTTTTTTCAACGTCAACAAGATGATTCAAAAATATTTTGCCTATTGATGACGTCCTTGAGCTATGTAATTGTCCCACATTTGCTCAGCCAAAAGCATTTGATCATCATTTGCATTCTCTCTGTCTGCTACAGTAGCTACCTCAAAGTGTTCAAAATCTTGATTGACAAGATTTTGATCGCGGGCGTCTTGTTCTCAATCAAATTCCTCAAAGAAATGATCCTCACCAGCCTGTAAGATTATGTTTTGTAGTACACATAGTGCTACAACTAGATCTGCTTGTTGATTGATTGGATAACTTCTCATGAACCGAGTTGAAGGAAACCACATCTTTGTAACCCCAAAAGTCCGCTCAATACATCCTTAAAGCCCAGAATGGCGCTTATTGTATAGTTCTTTAGCATTCACAGGCCCTGGGTTACCTTCAGCCCACTCTTTAACGTGATATCAAACACCTCTAAATGGTGCCAGGAAGCCAGGCTTGTTGGCATAGCCGACATCAACTAAACAATACCTTCCTGTGATCAAAAAATTAGTATTGATATGAAAACAAAGCATATAAGTCCATTACTCACCAGCTGGTACTAAAAATGCACCATCCTTCCCGGCCACTTCAAGAACCCAAGCTTCACTGCTGCCTCCCTCAAATCCTGCCATGACAAAGTTAAATGAAATGTCAAAGTTGCATCCGGCAAGTACATTTTGACTCAGGATACCCTTTTGATTTCAATAAGGCGCTTCTTCTTGTTCTGGTACACTTTCTGGAATGTGAGTCCTGTCTATTGCCCCAATACATCCATCAAACCAAGGACTGAATTGTACACTTGAGGTTATCTCTTCAGGTATTGGCAATTCTGGTCCAGGCTGTCGGATATATCTATCTTTTAAGTCTACTAGAGCCAAGACCACTTTGTTATAGTATCTAGATATGGTTTCTCCCAAATGTTGGAAGCGCTCACAAGCCAAAAAAGTTGAACCGGCATTTCCAACAATGTAAAGCACCACCAACATATTTACCTCGGAAAACAAAATCCGAGGTATCCTTGGATGCAAAACCTCGGACAGAAGCTTCCCAAGGTTTTGATCCGAGGTAATTCTCAGGGCAAAAAAAATACCTCGGGCAAAAACCTTGGACAAGGTCTGTCCAAGGATTTGCCTCCAATGATGCCTTGGATTTCTCAACCCGAGGCATCTATGCTGGCAGTGAAGGAAGATCATAAGTTGCTCAACAGATGTTGTATGAATGGTGTCTTCTAGATAAGGCTTCATTACAGGAAGAAGTCTATGGAATGTAGCTCGATCCATGCGGCATACTGTTGAGATAGTCTCATGACATGTCTGTCTGTCTTCTTTTATTCTGATTCACAGTCCTGTGTGACTATCTTGTGCCATGTCAAGTCCTACGTGACTAGTGTTAAACAACTGTCCTACGTTGACATCATTTCATTATTTCATAAAGCATTACATAATCTGTGCTTAGCAACTTGTCAGCTGTGTGATTTCTACCTTTGTTAGTTCTCTATATAACCTGACTGGAACAGCTCAGGAAAGGTGTTCTCTTCTTCACCTTTCCTTCAATCTTTTCTCTTGCTGTTCCAGGTAGGCTTTCATATTTTTCTTTCTCTGTTATATGTGCAATAACAAAGGTTCTTACCTTTCCTTCAATCTTTTCTCTCGCTGTTCCAGCTGTTCCAGATTGTCAGAAACCTAAGAGGTTATGAGCCCATCAGCTACCGCCTGAATACCCGAATCTTATCTCGTCTTGTCAAATACACTATTGAAACCATATTCATCCTCTTCTCGTTCATTCTTACTCCTTTGATTCGGAAAGGTCCGAAGGATAAGTCTACTACTATCTCTACATACTTCTACTGTCTTCTAATACTATGTCAGTAAATACCGAGGATTCCAAAGAGATCCGTTTCACCGGTATCACTTTTCTCAAAGCTCCCGGAGAAAACTCAAACTATCTCGACTGGGAATTCAAAGTTGAGTTGGGTCTAGAGGCAGTCAAACTTTCTCATGTTCTCGTTCCCATTCCAGTCAAAGATCGACCTAGAGAATGGAGCGAAGAGAATACAAAGGCTTGTGCCCTTATCTCAAGATCGATTGAGGATGCTAACCTCAAATACATCAAACCACACCGTCATGATGCTGCTGGGATGTGGTCGGCTCTTTGTCTAGCCCATGAAGACTCGACTTCGGGTGGTCGCATGCACCTTTTGCATAAGCTTATCACGACTAGGATGGAAGGTGACGATGTAGAAGCTCATATCGACTCCCTTCACAAAACCTTTGAACAACTTGACTCCCTCATCACTACTGACGCGCCGCTTACCGTGGATGAAATCTTCTCCACTTCGATCATGGCATCTCTTCCTACTGATTGGCTTCCAGTCATCACCCCTCTCATGCAACGTACTACTGTTGTGAACTCGGCCACCGTAATTCAAGCTCTCAAGAACAAAGCCACACGTCGAAAGACTTCTTTGAACCTAGCGGCCACTGCTGAGGTTGTAGCAGCTCGAGCTAATGCTGCAAATCAATCTAATCCTTCATTGTCTAAACCACGAAACACCAAATTTTGTACTCACTGCGAACGTACTAATCACGAGGTTCAAAACTGCTGGATTCGACAATCCAAACATGGCAATCGACCATCTAATCAAGGATCATCCTCATCAACCAGAGGTGGTAAACAATCCTCTACTTCCCGCTCTTCCTGTCCTGCCACCAAAGCAGGAAAGACTTCTGTTGTCTCGTTAGACTTCAGTGATGATGATTCTTACATCATTGACGAAGAGGTTGTAACAACCCGATCAGCTAAGGTAGTCACCTCCAACTCAGCCTCTATCTCTGACTGGAACATAGATTCCGGCTGCTCCCTTTCTATGACTCCGCATCAAAATGATCTCTTTAATCTTGAACGAACAAACAAATCGATTCAATTGGCTGATTTATCATCCATCAAAGCCAATCACTCGGGCATGACCACTTTGGCATTGGACAATTCAAATCATAATCATCGATCCCTACTCGTACCAGATCTTCATGAACCTCTTCTCTCAGTCTCATCTATGTGTGATGATGGTTTTGTAGTCATCTTCAACAACAAATCATGCTCTTTCTACCACTATGAAGACGTCAATTTAACTAAAGCACCTGTTGGAAGAGGATATCGCAACGGCAATCTCTACTATCTCCCTTCCAAGGTAGATTCTTCTAACTCAACATCAACCTTTGTCAGAAAGACTGACTTCTCTCTTCTCAATTGGCATAACAACCTAGGAAACATCGGCCTGAAACGATTGAAATCCTTATTGAAAACTCATGGCATCAGCCCATCTATCATGAATGAAATTGATGTGCAGCGATGTAAAGTGTGTGTTGAGTCTAAAATGGCGAGAAATTCATTTAGGTCAAGGGCAGGTTATCGTGCTTCTGCTGTGGGGGATCTCATTCATTCTGATGTCTGTAGTTTTGAAATTGTGTCCAGGGAGGGCTTCAAATATTTTGTCACTTTTATCAATGATTTTTCCAAATTCACTATCATTTATCCTATGAAATCTAAGAGCGATACTTTTTCTTGCTTTAAAGTGTTTTGTGCGAAGTTTGAACTTCGACTATCCAGATCAATTAAGAAACTTAGGATTGATAGAACCATAAGCCCCGTTGGTTCTTAAGCCCACGGGGTAAAGCGGAGGTAGTTCCCAGTGTAGCGGTACAGCCCCGGCGGGGAGCTGTACAAGGGGGTGTGGGAAAATATTCACTTTACGAATATTACCCCACACCTCACAAGGAACTATCCCTTATTAGCTTTATTCCTCAATCATTTCTACGCTCACACTCCTCTCTGCCGATCAGGCCTCAAGTTTTTCGCGAAATCTTCTCGTTTCATTGCTACATCATTGATTACAATTCAGTTAAAGAAGACAAGAAGAGAAGATGTCGATGGAAGATCGTTTAGCGCAGGCGGAAGCCAATTTAAGACAAACAAGAGGAGCTTCAGCAGCACTAGGGATTCAACCAGGCCCAGGTTTGGATCTGCAGCGTAAGAAAAAGAAGACAACAGGTCAAGAGGAAAGGATTGGAGAGGAAGGCGCGAGCGGAGGAGAGGTAGAGAGAGTTCAAGAGGAAGGAGGCCAAGGTGTTTCAGGCGAGCGACAGAGGGAGGCGCAAGAGGATCAGCGAGAACACAATCAGGATTCACTGGAGTCGGACGATGAATCATGGAGGCCAGGAGGGGACAGAGGGAGAGATCGAGAGGCGGAGTCAGAGGAGGATCAGATCTCGGTCGAAGAAGGGGGAAGCCTAGGTAAGGACTTTCTCTCCGTCATCAAAATCCCATTCATCATTTCCCCCAGACTCTGTACAACTTGGAAGGGGAAACGCCGCCACAGAGGAGAACGGGGTCACCTATCAGAGGTCGCAGCCCAACGTGTTGGAGGGGGAGCCTAGCAGAGGTCCTCTAGAAGAGCTTTCCCCAGCTAGATGAATAGGGTGGAAATGAGAATTCCAAAAGCACCAAAGACGCAAGAGGGTGGACAAGAAACTGACCCAGATGTGTGTCCGACTCGCAGCTGAAGGAGACCACCTATTGGTGACGCAAGCCAGAATAGAAGAGCTGTACGCCTCAGGAGAGAAAGAGGAAGGAGCGGCGTTGTTGGCTCGGTTCATGGACAGCCTGGTGGAAAGGACGCCTAGACCAACCCCCCGGAGGCTCGGAAACAATGCCCAATCCAGAGGCAGGACTATCGTCGTGAAGCGGTCCCGGCTAGAAGACGAAGTCCGAGCAGAGAAGACTTGATCCAAGAGAACCTGACAGAGGTGTCAACAGATACCGTCGACAGTGCCCCACCACTCCCGGGAAAGCGAAGACGGTCGGTATCTGTGCCTGGGGACGACTCAGAAGGGAGGAAGACACGAGACCAGAAGGGTCAATCAGCAAAATCAGAGGCAGAGTTGGTGGAAGCACTGCTGCTATCCGGGAAGGGGAGGATGGTATTGGCTAATGGTGACGTAGTGGAGAACGGGAGGATCATCGTACTGGACGACTCTAAGGAGATGGATAAATCTTTACCTCATCTATCCCCCGTTTTACTGGTGTACCTGCAGACTTTCAAAGCCTACATTCCGCTGTCGGTCTTCAAGCGAACCTTCTTAATTGAGCACGGAAATGCTTGGCAAACACAGAAGGCGCCCTTGGCAACAATGATAATGGAGAGTGGAGCCACGGTGAAGGTATACGGGAACGAACCACCAATGGAGGAGCTCACGATGCAGTATGAGCAGTGGCTCGACGCAATGTGAGAGAATGTGGGTTGGATGGTGGCATTGCGATATTGTATTAGAGTGAGGCAAGGTTTGATGAGGATGATGGTTGACAAGAAGATCTACAATATAACAAAAGTTCAATCAGTCATTCTCAATGAGGTGAAGCAAATCTGCGAGAACAACAATGAGAGAGCTTACCGTACGAACCCATACACACCGGGAGGACCAAAGGCGGAGTACAACCCTGAGACCGGCTTGTTGCGAGTAGATAGGTCGTCTAGAAGAGCAACCACCTCGAGCGACAGACCGAGCTCGACGACGTATCCGAGATCATCGGCTTACGAGACCGCGAAGAGGTCCAAGGAAGGCTGGCTTCCGGACGCTGAGTATAAAGAGAAGAAGGCGGCGGAAAGGAGGAGTCGAATGAAGAGAGATGGTGAAAGGAATGAGCGTCGCTATGGGAAGAGCCCAGACCGTCCAAGTGACAGGAGAGATGACTGGCAGGAGCGTCGCACAAGCCCTAGCAGAGGTTATAATAGAGGGTTTAATGCCAAACGTAATGATTACAGAAAGAGGAGCTAGTGAGTACCACTCCAAGGATATGATGAAATGAATAAAAAAAAGTGCCTACCTGGCCAGATCTCCGAGAAAGGAGCAAGAACCGGGTACACCCGTGATTCATCGTAGAGAGTCTGATGTGCCAACTGTTTTTTCTGGATCTTGATACACCAGCCACCGAGAGCCGAGCCAATCACGTGAACCTATGATAGGCATGGAAGCTGGGGTTTTTCAGAACAAGCCTGTTAGGGGCGGTAACAAACAGCAACGGAACACTCCGCCTGATAAATGATCTCTCATTTCCCCAAAATGACAGGAAAGTGAAGTCAGTTAATGCAAAGGTAGATAAAGGAGAGTTCGTGACGTCATGGGACGACTTTGACAAGGTAGCACTCTTCTTACTGGGGGCAGACGGACCAGTGCTGTTGGGTATCTACGATTGGGCTCACGCGTATAGACAGATCCCGACAATGATGAGTCAATGGCCGTTCCTGATGATACTGGACTTCAATGAGGACGTGCTGCTGGACACACGAGTGGCGTTCGGCAGAGTGGCTGGATGCGGCACCTTTGGGCAGGTTGCAGATGCGTGGAAAGTTATCATGAAATCGAGGTTTGAATTCTTGAGGGCGTTCAGATGGGTGGACGACACACTCTTCATGAAGAAGGCGGACGGCTCGAACAAAACTAAGATGACAGACGTGGTGAAACTTGGTGACACTACGCCAGATCAGAAATTTACCATGGAGTTCAGAAAATTATTTTGAGATAGAAAATTCTTGTTGATTTTCTGAACTCTTGAGATCAGTACATCAAAGATGACACAAAAATGAGATCTTGCTATTTGTTCCTGTACACAATTGACATTCAAAATTACTGTGCATACACCCAAGCTCTCACCCTACAAGCGCTGCGGTTTTCATGCCCGCATGGAGTCAAGATCATTTCAAGAATTATGAGGCACTGTGCTGCAGTGATGTTGATATCTACCAGAAGAAACAAAGTCTCTCTTGAGGATTTCAAGGGAACATTGGTTTCACTAGAACAGCTCAAAGACAAAGTCCTTTGAAACCTCTTCATTCTGTACATACATCTCTACTTGTCACAACATTTTGAATTTCAATGAGTTATCTATCTAATCCACTATGGTAATGAAAAGAAAAAATCAGAACCCAAGATTCAAAATAAATCAGGTACAAAACATGTGTGTGTCCTTACAAAACTAACAATGATAAGCTATACCAAATCAGCGCTTGAGGATAATCATACCGATTGTAGGTACCTCTACATCCTTGTTCATTTCCCCTGCTTTGTACATGATCCATGTACATTGCGCAATCACTTCTTTTAGCTTGATGACTTTGTTCTCAGTGGGACTCCACATTCTCAGAGCACACTGTACATCAACGTGGTCAGTGAAGTTGAAAGCATTGAAATATGTACTAGGTAGGGAAGGAAAACATTGTACGTGTAACCAAACATCACTGATGCTCTCGGATTTTACTGCAGCTCTAAGATGAGAAAATATTGAGAACACTCGGCCAAAGGAATCTGTACCGTCTGTATTTTTGAAATAGATGCAAGAGTTGTCCGGATTATCGGTGAACGTCGAGACAAATCCATCATTGTAGTTGATGCGCTTGTAGAACTGTCCTTGAGCCGGTACCGGGGCGTATGCAAGTGAATCGCTTTTGCTCAGTGAGGCCCACTTGTCGGGGCGAATCCAGATACATCTTTCGCCTTCTGTATCATTCAAGTATGCGACTAAAAGATCAAGGACAACATCTGATAGAGGCGACATCTTAGAGTGTGATGGACGATTTGCTCGGGGCGCAGGTTGTTTGTATAATGCTTGAAGGCGCACACTATACTGCTCAAGGGCTTCTGGTAACTTGTCATCTTCAATTAGAGCTGATAGATTAGATGCCCGACAAAATTGTTTGAGAAAAGTAATTTCGAGCTCGGCTGGAACGAAGGGAGTAATAAATGAATGATTAGTAAGTCCAACCCCCATAAAGAGTCAAATCTAAACACATTCTGACTCACTGATATGGTTATTATGGCCTGCTTTGAGGATCTTTCCCATCAGACGCTCGAAAGGAAACGACCACCACGCACGCACCGGTCCAAATCGTTCTAGGCAATCAGCGAGGTGAATAGCCATATGATGATTTGGAGCGAGTTTGCAATGTTGAAAGATTAATACAGAGCTTTCTAGGTATTTTTGAATGTGGTGGCGGTAGCGTTTGATTTGAAATGAGTCCATGACACGCTTGAGACCAATATTGATGAGTGAAACTAAGTGAATGAAGTTCCTTAGTAGGGATCTTTTTATATGGTCTTGGCGAGACCACATTGGAATAAGAATGAGCGGAAGTTGCAAAGTCAACAAGCTCCTCCATTCGTCAGCTTTCAATTTTCCGAAGGAAGCTTTCCCTAAGACGGGGATTGGTCGTTTAATCCAAGTAGGGGTATGGATTTTGGGAAGAATTGAATTGATGTGGCGGAGGACGGTAGCGTCGAAGACAATCTCTTCAAGAGGGGGAGCATGCCAGTCTCCATTCCACCCATCATCATTAAAAGGTTCGAAATCATTATCACTTGATGATGTATGATTGGAGAATTCAGCATCGTTAATGGCCGTTCCAGTCTCTTCATCGTCTCTTTGAGATTGAGGCGTGGATGGTTGATTTCGGGGTAAAGGTTCAGAGTACTCAGCCACGAGATTCAAGAGTTCCACTGTACTGATTGGTGGTAATATCTCTTCCTCATTTTCAAGGTCCTTCATTGCCCAGAAACGACGTACGTGCCATGAAGATAGACCAAGAAGTAAATTATGCATTGAGTCGACAACTTGATACTCAATAATGTTCCAGTATTCCAACTCTATCAGTACGGAGTAACGTACTCCATGGGTCTTAAAGATCTTCTTTCGTTCTTCAACGGTCTTTGCATCACGAGCTTCACGTGCCCATTTGGTGTGCTGGCACCATGTACGAGGTGGCCATGTGCTTTGATCAAAATTGTTGATATCTTTCTTATTGAGGAGACAAAAAGAGCAGAAGAAGGTCGCTGTAGCACTGGGGAATCCGAGACATCGACGAAGAGAAGGTATATCAGCAACAAATACAAGTAGTGCTGCTCTGATTAGACGTCCCTGAGGGTATTTTTGAGTTCGAGATAGTAATAAGCCAGTCAACCATAAAGCTTGAAGTTCTGTAACCAGTGGTTGCAAGATCCAATTCATTTGTTCCAGAGAAGGTTCGCGGGGGCCCGGAGCAATCCCTACTACAAATACGTTCTCAGGGCGATGTCGGAGGGCAGGAGGTAGACTGAGACAAACTAGAATGACAAATGTGATTGATGTATGATGACCACTCTGCTTGTTACCAAATGGATTGATAGCATCCACGAATAGCGCAAATGTCAAGTGACTAGAATTGGCAGTATATTGCTTTCCATCGGGGCCTAGAAATTCTTTCCAGAGTCTAGATTGATATATGTCGAAAATTTTGGCATTGGCATCGTAAGGCTGGGCAGATTCAGATGATGTAACTTCAAGTGATTGTTCGATTTTAGGACGTGAGAGAAGCCGTGATATCCAATCAGATAGGCTCTGGAAAGCATAACGTCGAGCTGGCTTCTGAAGACCACGGAAGTGTTTGAAAAGCGGCTCACCGCAGATCTTTTCTGAAAAGTCTGGCTCAGAGTCCTCTGCAGGCGGTGATGAAGTCGTGTCGTTGTTTTGATCAACAGAATCAGTAGGTCCACCTGGAATGTTGGCGACAAGGTGCTGACATACGGATGGTGTACAGCTTTCCGGGTACATTGCAAAGCAAGAACTACAGCAGGTCATGAAGGTGAGTGTTGGATTTACATTCAACCATTGAAAGGCAGTCTCAACAGACTTGGGTATCTTCTTCAACGTGCTGGCCTCTTCTGGCAAAAGCTTTCGGATGTCAGAATTAGTAGGTAATATACCGTGAGTGGTTGAGAGTTCGATGGTGATAGTCTGAACATCCAGCATCCATTTGGTAATCGAATTGGAAGATTGGCCGAAAATGTCGAGAATGGACGCTGTGAGAGCAACATGAAGAATCAAAGGGTTTGCTGATTTTAATTCAAAAGTATGGAAATGATCTATCAGGAGAAGGAATTTAAAAGTAAAAAACATTTCAGACTTGATTACTAACACAGGGATCATAACTTTTTAAAAGGTCTAAAGATGAACGTACCACAGTCATAAATATGTTGACCCGATGCTTTGGCTAAGACAGCTCCTGAGCAAATTTTAGTAGGTGAGTGATAAGCTTCAGGGGTTTCTTGATCAGCGGGTAATGCTGTTGATGAAGCCGCCTGGGTGGGCAGGGTGGAGTGCTCTTCGGCGAGGCAGTTCTCATCATAGTTACTAGAGCTTTCATTCTGGACCGGTCGATTTTGCCTGGACTGATGACGGTGGCTTGGTGATGGTGTTGTATCGATATGTAATCTTCTTAATGGAGACAGGAGGGCTTCTTGAGCTGAAGAAATTGAGGGTTGAGTGGAGTTCTGCGGTGATTGAGAGGGCGTGACTAGATTATTTCGAAAGTCGGCACGTTCGTGTGCCAGTCGTGTTTGAGGTAATAGTTCAACGCCGGAGTGACAGATGCCACTGGCGTCTGTGTAAACTTGATCACAACATTCATAAGCTTTACAAACACACACAACTCTATGAGACTGACTCGCTTGCTTGGGACGTGGAGGCATGACGATGAGTGAATTTGAAAAAGGTTTATGTTGAATTTCAGGCCTAATTTCACCACAGCAGAACGGACACAACTAATTTTTTGATCTTGGTAAGAATATCAAAGTAACAGAAAGAGAAAAGGAAGTGATTCTGAAGAGATTTTCATAGGTCCTTTGATAAAAGAAGAAAACCAGAAGAGGATGACTGTTATATCAAGCGCAAGCAAGGAATAGGTTTTTTTGTTAGACAGGTGAAAGGACGGGTAAGAAAAGTAAAAATACATATATAGATGTTAAAACGGCAAATACAAATCTCGTGAGGTACATATGCATCATCAGCCACCTGGTTAGAAGGGTTTGATCAACATTAATATGTAGATCATCACACGATTGTTTGGTTTGCTTCCTAAAGATTCATAAGCCAAAGAAACAATGTTTTCAATTTCGGTTCTCTTGCAGTATGAGAATTGCGAAGTTTGAGGAATGATAAAGAAGAGATACTGACACCAGTTTTAGTTGTCACTGTGTTCCATTGGGTCCCCAAGATCAGTGGCCGTTAACGCCAAAATAGTGTAATGAAAGCCGGGTATGAGTGGACTACGCGGAGTCTCGTCATGAATAAAATGTATGTACAGATCCATGAGGGTGTCCTTGTTCATGGCCAAAGATCTTACATAAATGCGAGGAGCGTGGTAGCGCAAAGCTAAAACAATATCCTCCATGCTTTCGTTCTTGAGGCGATCGACCGGGACTACTCGAGGCCTTTTGATAAATCGATCATTTGGTGGAAGTTTCATTCCGGGATCAACATAGTACTTGTAAAGAATCAAAACATCGTCAATTGTGGCTCCAGTAGGTACCGTAGCGTCTGCAGTCTTTTGATGAATAGCTTTTACAAGCATTTTTCGTGTAGTCTTGCGGCCGAGAGGGTCAAAATCTTGTTGATGATCAGTATCCATCGAGGCAGGGGGCGGCGGTAGAATGTAGGGTTTGAGTAATGGTCTGACTTCGGTCATAAAAGCGTCTTTCAGAGAATCTTTGAGGTCGTTGGGTTTGCTAGTCGTCTCTGGATTGAAAAGTCGTATGAAATTGTAATATTGTAATTTGGTAGGCTTTTTGCTAACTTTCTCAAAATCGAAAGTAAGAAATATGCGGTCGTCGTTTGAAAGACCTTGAACCTTTCTGGATACTGGGCTGTCGGCGGGTGGTCGCTTGAATTGGTATGTAGAAGAGAACTCAAGGGGAGAAGTTGCAGAAGCCATAGGAGGCTTTGAATCCCGCGAGCCTTCGGCTGTTGGACTGAGTGGTGACGCATTGGCAGCACTAGGGGTACGCTTCTTTGGTGCCATTGAGTGAGTCTACAGAAGAAAAGATTGTTCAGTTGGCAAAATAAAATGATCAAAAAGGGAACTATAGAGTTGAAACTAATGCGCACCTGATCAAGATTACACTTTACAAAAGTATCAGCAAGGTATGCTTGAGTGGTGGATGAAAAGGTTTTGATAAAGTTCATGCAATGACTCGATTTAAAAAGCTTGGTTCGGCACAAAGAGTAGAGAGTGGACCGTAAAGTGAGAAGGTGGGTGTCAAATTATCTGATCACAAGAGGAAACATACCCAAATATACATGTGGCCTTCTGCTTTTTCCTCTTGTTTGCGCCGGAGGCAGGGTGTCGTTGTTCAAGAATCCATGAATCGAACATCGAATTTCTTTGTGGTGAGTCACTGATTGAACAAAGATATGGGGGTCAGTTATTCTTGATGATCGCATAATGTTTGGTTGCTACGTACCTTGATAATGGTCGTTATCAAGATTGGTTAAACCCGGTGAATCCCGAAATGAGATTTGTGGGTCCAACATGAAAGTTCAATTTGTATTTTAGTTACAATATTTAATTGTAAATGAGTCAGACTTCATCATTACATAAATTGTAGCTGTCTAGGCCAAAATGTGGTCTTACTCTCTTTCGATTCTTCCAACCTTCCTACCTACCCATTCAACTCATCAAACACGCGATGTGGACAACACAACACAACGGCAGCTTTGATCACATAGCAAGGACTGAGTATAGTCAAACTCATTGTCACTCATTGATTTCCTTTGTTGATGCTCGTTTTGTTGATTCATATAGAGGTCTATATCAATACTTCTCCCAGTGGGCCATCTATCTTTCAAGCACTCTGACCGACAATCTATTCTGACTTATTCACTTGATCACAAAACTTAGACCCTGTCACTCAGTTCTTTTTTTCTGATACATACAAATTTTGGAAATCTATATCTATACTTCTTTCACTAGTCTATCTGCTTCTCAAATACTCTCTATATTGTGATTTCTCATACAAGCCATCATCACTTCACGAACCTCAGGCTCTCATCACCGTTTTTTCGTTGTTTTTGTTCTTGTCGCAAACAAATCACTTGTGCTGTTCAAACCTCATCTCGCCGCCTTATTGTCACTATCAACATGTTCGGGACCACTAGTCGAGGTAATTCAGAAGTTGTACTTGATCCCGATAACCCGTCTGTCAACAAACAGACAATGCTTGACTGGCTTCGAATTAATCACCCCATGACACCCATCAGTTCAAAGGCGAAGAGAGCAGAGGTCGCCAACATAGTCAGAGAAGTACAACCCCACCGTATGTATAACTTTTTGCTTGTACATTTAGTAGATGATATTCTTATCAGAACAGGTTAACTGACATCGTTTTGTTTGACTAATTGACAGTTTTTGGGGTCCGAAACTCCCCATCCCTTGCATCCACGCATCCTGTTACTTACCCCCCTTTGGAAAACCTTCAAGTATCGTCTCCCATGGCGGAGAAGCCTTCTGGGGGAAGTGCAAGTTTGAGAAAGCGTTCTCCGCCTCAGGAGGCAGAGGTTCCTTACAAACAGATTGGTAATATGAGTTAGTCTTTTGTCTTGAATGCTTCTATCGCCAAATTAACAGTATACATACTGATCGTATATTTTCTATACACAAGTTGTGATACCCCCAAAACGTAGCAGACTGGATCTTGAAGCAAAGAAGCACGTTGGAGCGGATGAAGGTTCAAAGATGCTACAAAAAAAGAAGGTGAGTGGTTACTTTTATTATTTTCATTCAGATTCTATACTCACTGTGTCAATCGATACATTTGATGTGTAGTTGGCAGGCAGGCCAAAGCCATCCAAGACAAAGACCGCTCGACCAGCAAATCCGAATGTGTTGATCGATTGGACTTACACCCCTCCTCAATCTTCCTCGCACATCTCCTCGATTTCAAGTCTTAGCAATGACGACGAAAGGCGTGAACTTGAGGGGCTCAAGCAGTTGCTCTCTACCGCACCTTTGGTTGGTCAAAACCGACCCAGCGAAAACAGAGTTTCGCCAATTGCCCCAGAAACGAAGCCGGAGAATGACTTGGTCAACACTCATGCATCTAATGGTCCTTCTATACCAAACTTGCCTATTTCGACACCAAAAGTTCACGTCAAGGATACAAAGGATCCGATCTCTGACGAAGCTGATCTCATTCAATTCTCCGATACAGAAGTGTTTGAAGTGGGAAACCTTGGTATGTCTTGAAGCTGTGTTTCTTCATTTTATTCTGAGAATGCTGACCAACTCTAGAACTATTCTAGTTATTGGGCGAGACATCCCAGCTATCCAATTTCAAGAAGCTAATTGTCCAAACAAGAAAACAGGTGTAGATATCTTTCAAGAGGAGCAGCGAAGAGAAGAGAGAGGTCAGTTCGCTACAATGTAGTCTTGATCTCATACTTACCCTGTGTATTTGTGTGAGATTTAGTTCGAACATTAGAAGAACGCCTCGCTCAACTAGAAAGCACTATCGAGGTCTTGGAGAAAAGAGTCAGCGCCACTCCAATTCAAGAGCTACAAGAACAGGCTAATGGTGCATAAACTTTCGTATCTACATCAGCCAAACCCAATCAGTTTGCTAACTCATATCTATTTCTAGCCGATAAAATCGATCGACAGACATCTCTTCTTGAACAAGCAAGGGACGATATCAGTGCACTTGAGCGTCAAGTTGATTCGTTACAGTTTGACACAATTGATCTACAGACCAAATTGGATATAGCTTTCGACACAATCCACGCTCATAGAAGAGTTCTGAAAAAGATCTTAGGGCCCGATAGTGGTATAGATATTGAAGCAGAATACGATTCCGATCATGACAATGATCAAAGCCAACCAAACCATACCAACTTGTGTACCAATGACCACCCTGATATCTGAATGAATATGTTGATCATATGACAAGATTCTTTGGGTTGATCTCAAACCAGATTCCTTTTCAAAACTTGTACTTCATCTTTTATCAATTACGATTATAATTGATATAACTAGATTGATCTTTAGCTTTGTATCTCACTCTTCTCTGTCTTTGCTATCTATCATTTTCAATGAATGATAAAAAATGCTCTCCACATATGATTCACGTCAGTTCAGCATGATGATACACTTTTGCTGTATGTAGAGATAAATGCTGCAAAGGAGCGCGCATACAAAATTTAACATTACATAAGCCTCTTCATCACAAGAAACAAACAAATGACTCTCTGTGGGCCAACAATCATTAAAACAAACTCAATCTTTTGAATTCCTCGTGTGCAGAATATATACATTATAAACTTATGTCGTGATATTTCCTCCTGATCCACAAACACCTTGATAATTTCTCATTTTGGCATATACATTGATGAGAAACACACAACTTGTTTTTCTGTGTCCTTCATTTCTACGCTTAGAGACGCACTCTACAAATAGTATTTGTCTGTACCACACCTGAATTTCTTCGTTCTTAGATTTCTTGTTGTCTTGTGTCTTGAGATTACATCACCAGTCAAGTCATTACGGTACAACTCATTGATTTAGAAACCCGTATGTTTTATATAGCAACAACAATAATAACATTGTTCTTACTGTCGTAGTGTCTATACAACATATGACAGAATCAACTTCTCGCCTTGGGGTGACAATAACTTGTCATTACTACACATGATACAAATGCAGAATCTGGAAGAATTTTTTTTGACTCATGGATGGTAGCAATGATGGGATTCTAAGGGATTGTAAGCATGAATGAGCGTTGAGTGGCGACACGCGCGACCCACATATAATATTCCTTCCGAGTTGTTTATGTTGCTTCATAGTACTTGCAACGAGTATGATGAAAGGGTCAGATGTTGATGTCAGGATAAGAAAGGCTAAAGGATGCAACACATAGTTGCATAGATTTGAATGCTGTTCGAGGTGAATCTTTCCACCCCTGATTGCACTATATAAAAACTCTTTCCTCACCTTTCTCTGTGACAGTGTCCGAACTTCAAGCAACAACTTTTAATCTTTTCTTGACTTGTGTTCTGATCTAAATCACTTTTCTTGAGACTTTTTGATCCGCTTTCTTATAATTGCGCTTGGAAAGGTTATGATACTTTGAGACATGCCGCCAAAAAGTATCAAGCCATCCAAAGCTTCGGAGCCTGTCTCTGGCAGTCGGGCTCTTCGTTCCTCAAGTCGTAATCTCACAAATACTCTAGCACGAATGAAGGATAAGGTATCACAAGTCAAAGCAGTGAAGCGAAAAAAAAGCCTTGTTTCAGAAACAGACCATTGTAAGATTCCCTTCCTATATACAACCATCTAGATTTTTTGTGTACCTTAATCTCTGTTCGCTTGGTTCCGTTCAGCTTCTAATGAAGACAGTCTTGAGCAACTCGAATCATCTACCGGAAAAAAAACAACCCGTGAAAAGCTACTCGACATACTAGGCAGACGTGCCAACCCTAAAAAGCCCCGGGCTTCAAGAGCTCTGTCTGTACGGAACCCAAGACCGCGACATTCAAAGGAGGACACTGTTCAGATAATCAACCCACCCTCTGATCACAAGATTGACTACACCCGATTCAACAACAACCAGCTTATTGAGATGCTCAAGGATGTTGGACTAGATACCAGTGGGTTTGAGAGGGATGATCTTCTGAAAAGCTGCAATGCATACACGGAATTAAGTAAGATTAGAATTAAGTTCGAGGTCTTGATCTTAACTAACAACGACTCTCATCCAGTCATCGCCCCCCCCTACCCCTCTCAGGACGAGGTTGGCCTAAATCCAGTACGTTCAAACATCAGCGACTCCTCATTTACGTTCACAGTGGCACCCAACAGAAATATGATTCCCGCAGGTCAGTTTGAGCCAAATATTGTATTGACAAATCTTTCATATTCGATCAACGGTTGACAAAGCTGTGTTTTTTTCAGGAACATCAAATAGGATTCTATCAGACAACACCAGCAAAAGTACACCTGGAGGTGACCAGTCCACCTCACTCCTACCGAGCCTCGAGCATTGCCGGTTTCTGTACCCTCGTCCACACCCAACCATATTGTCTAGCCCTTCATGTCCAAAGCCACCCAATACCAAGGGGAAGGCTAAAGCGAAGTCGCCAACCCCATCCAACTCTGATTGGAATCCACACGATGAAGATTTGAATGACTCCAACACTGAAAATGGCTGCATTAGTGATCTTGAGTCTACCCCCGCTTCCCCAACGAATTTTCAAACACAAACCCCCCATAACACTCACCTACCCAAAGAAAACACTCAACATGGAAAGTAAGTCGATCCTACCTCTGGATAAAGTCTTCAACAACATTGACGTATCTGAGGAAACTTACTTTTGACAACCTTGTGGTTTATTATTGCCCAAATCCAACTTGCAAAGCTCTACCCCATCAGATATGCGTACTTTACACATCCTACTGATTCAAACTAACAGAAAGGTGGATTCACTTGAAACCGAACTGGAAGCGTTGACTCATGTCGTGAACAAGTTGGTGAGAGCTTCGGGTGATAACAGCAGTCCTCAATCAAAGAGGCGTGGCGGCCGAGTTGCAGTGGGTTGTTTGGCCCATACATTTCACAACTTATGCAACATTTATAGCTTCTGATGATGCGTGTTTTTTGAATCGGTAGGATCGTGTTCGGTTTCACATTGATACTCTCATAGGCCTTCCGGAGGGTTCAAAACTCCCAAGTCCAGACGATACAAACAATTCACCCAAAGATCCTTTTGTAGCTGACGATCCCTGCTTCCCATACCAGAATGGACCGGGACACAAGAACGCCACTCCCCAGCAATTGCAAATTATGCAAAAAATGCTCGACACTGCGGGTATCTCAAGTTTCCGACCTGATTTCTCAAAGTCAGCATTGGCAATGGAAAACAAATCTCTCTGGAATCTCAGCTTGAAGATTTTTCACAAGCTAGTTGATTGTGGTGAGTATAATGGAATAACAGTGGGCGGAAAACATGATTCCTTAATCCAGAAATGCCAGGATACCTATGCTCGGTCACTTTCTAAGAGGTATGTTTATAATTTCATGCGTTCCCATTTCTTGGACTAACCTCCGATCCATCCGTCTGTCCTTAGATATCGCCTACAATCCTGGGATCCAACGCGATTAGAAAAATCACAGACTCGACGCCGACAAAGTGCCAGACTTCACACTGTGAGTGATTGTTTTTGAATTGCCAATTGTTCATTATTAAAAACAGCTTTTGTAATTTTGTGACCACACCACAGTTACGAAGTTCGAGGGAAAAAGTAGTTTTATCAAAACCAGACAGACTCCTCAGGCTCTTGAAAATCGTGGAAAACACCTGCAGTGATGACGAAACGGATCCTGAGGAAAGCTGTGAAGAAAAAGGCAAAAAGGTTCGACCTTGCTTGGTCCGAACTCTCGAATGGCGCAGTGAAAAGTTAAGGTATATGTATATTCTTCTGGATGCATACATAGAGCGACAAAGAGCTAGTATCCCAAATTCTGTTGGAAAAGGTGCTGGTCGCCCTTCTCGCCCTCGAATTCGCCAAGATAATGCACCTCGTAGCAAATTACCAGCCCCATCAGGACTCTCTATTGACTGCTACTCTGCAGTGTGGCTCGAGCACATTCAATCTGAAGATCCGCTTGTATATAGCCAGCTGGAAGTTGACCCGGTGCCCGCCCTTGATAATCTTGTGAAAGTTTTGGAAGGGATGTAAGGTTGCAAAACTGAGCAAGAGTATTTTTCTTTTATTTGTATTCTTCATCATATTGGTAGTTATTATGTAAAAGGAACTTGTTTTGTGTTTTTTTTGTCCATTTGGGTGCTGGTAATTCAATAAGCAATTTTTCACCTCGTACAGAATTGTTTATGCCTTCCAATATAGAACTATGGAACACAAGTCTTCCATTGGAAAACTAGAGTATAGAATGTCAAAATGTTCAGACTTTGTTCATGCTCATAAGAATGTAGTGATTGGGAAAAGTCTGTGTAATCACTCCATGTTTGGCTTGATTCTTTCCAAAGTGTGACAGATATGTACAAATTGTTTTTATATCATCTTTGGTTTACTAATCACAGGGGTTCAGAAAATCAACAAGAATTTTCTATCTCAAAATAATTTTCTGAACTCCATGGTAAATTTCTGATCTGGCGTAGTGTGAGGAGATGGGAGTGGTATCAAATACGGATAAGTGGAAAGAGTTCGCGTATGAGCAGAAATATTTAGGGATGATCTGGAACGGTATGGAAAAGACGGTCCGCCTACCTCAAGAGAAAATAGAGAAGCGCCTACGCCAGATAAACGAGTTTAGGAGAGAGAGAGAGCTGTGAATTTCAAGGAGGCGGAGAAGATGGTCGGTCGTCTGTACCATATGACCTTGGTTTACCCACAACTTAGATGTCATTGCATGGCCCTGTACCATTGGATGGCGGAATGGAAGCATAAGTTAACCAAACGTGACATTCTGGAGGAGATTCAGGAGGACTTAGACAGATGGGTATGGGTACTCACTGAGGCGGAACCTAGAAGACTGATACCAAGGAGAGAAGTGGTCAACATCGGCTGGGTCGGCGATGCCTCGTCGTCGTATGGGATAGGAGTTATTGTTGGAAAACGTTGGGCACGTTTCAGGCTTTGTTTCGGATGGGACAATCCAGAAGAGGATGGCTCCAGACGTGAAATTGCTTGGGCGGAGACAGTGGCCGTCCGCGTAGGGCTGATAATGGTGGAGCAATCGATGGAGGTGAGAGGAAGGGACTTCCTGGTACTGATGACGGAAGGCGCCATTAGAAACGGGAAGTCAAAGAACCGGTGGGTAAATCGGGAGTGGAAGGTGCTTCAGCGGGAGCTGTTACGGTTGAACTGCTGCGTAACACAGAGGAGGGTAAATTCGAGCGACAATGCCGCGGATAAGTTATCCAGGGGCCTAGATTCCTCGAAACAAGTCAGAGACATGGTAAGGGTCCAAGTTCCAATCGACCTGAGGCAGAGGGTGATCCAGGAGTGAGCTGGAGTCCACTGAACCGGTGAATTAGAATCCTCAAGCGAGAAGGAGACACACCATGGAAGAAGCACCAAGACAAGAAGGTAGAAACTTACCGGGTCATTTCAAAAAGGCAAAGAACACCTCAAAATCGATTGCAGGCAGGCACGCAGCGTTGAGCGGTTGGGCAGAAGGCACGCTAAAGGGTTACTCAAGTGGGATGTCGAAATTCATAGAGTTCAAGGAGAAGACGGCCAGCGGTTTTGACGAAGAAGTGCCAATTGAGGATGAGGATATTTACGAGTTCATAGCGTGGGCAGGAGAGTCGAAGATTGAGAAGGAGAACGGGCCGAAGAGGGTGGTAGCGGCTGTGACAATTAAGAAGTATCTGGATGGAATCAGAGCCTGGCACATGGTCAAGCACACCTCAAGGCCGACGGCGGACAAGGAGGTAGTAGCGCTCATGATGACGGCAACGAAGAGAAACGAAGAAGAGAAGGCATTAATAACAAACAAGAAGCCAATCATGATTGGTCAGCTCTTCAAATTCTTCAAGCATGCATATGGCAAGTCTGCAGAGCTGGACTTAGCTGCATCGGTGGCGGTGATCGCCTTCTGGGGGATGGCGCGGTTGGGAGAGCTCCTTCGAGGGAAAGCAAGCGATGGGGTGTTGTTGAGACGGCATGTGGAGTTCGGCGAAAGGGATGGAACACGATTCGCGAAGCTACACCTGAGAAAGGTGAAAACCGCGAGGGGAGGCGAGGTACAAGAGATACACCTTCAACAGCAGTTCAACGTGCTAGACCCGGTCAGCGCATTGGAGAGGGTGATGCTAGCAAATCGAGACGCAGACCGGGACAACTTACTGTTCACATGGGAAAGCAACTCCACAAAGGAGATACTCTCGAAGCCACGATTCTTGAAGTTATTAGTCCACTCTCTAAGTTCACTCTTCTTAGACATGAATTATATTCATACATGTTAAGTGATTTATATATCACATCTTTTACTCATGATTGATATATTTTATCACCATCCTTGCTCTTTCCTTGCCTCGAGGTGAGGAAAGAGCCAAATGGGAAAGCGCGCGAAGCGGGCTGTCGGATTGGTTTTCTCGAACCAAGATTATGGTTTGCCTGAACCAAATCTTTGGTTTTGATAACCAAGCGTTGATTTTTGAAACCAATCTCCTTAAGCTCGCCTTTCACTCTGATCGTAAGGATGGTATGTAGGGTGGGTGGGACGGAAATTGAGATTAATTTGATAATTAATAAGAGAAACTTGAGATGGATTGAAGACTTTAAGTTTTGAGAAGAACTGTTGAAGGTGCGTCAAAACTGTAAGAGGGAATTGAACTTGGATAATTTCTCTTCCAGATTGTCGCTCTTTGAGCGTGACATGTGTATCCCACCTGTCACGATTCAGTTCACAAACCGTGGACACATCCACCAAAGCGTGCCTTAATTGGTGTAATCAAAGGAGGCATGGGGAAAGGCTAGTTTAGGAACGTGGTCAGGGCATTTGTTCAGGGTTGGAGGAGCTCCAATACGGTACAATCTAGGAACGTTGATGAAAAGAATAGCCAGTCAGGGAAGGTGGAAGTCTCTAACGTATTTAAGATATTTGAAGACTTACACGGAGGAGGAAGTAGAGGAGACCAAAAGGTTCCTGAGGGCTTTGGACAAGAGGAGAAGGGATGATTGAAGCTGAAGCGCTGAGGAGGTTGAGAGGGAATGAAATGAATAGAGAAGTGATGGTGAGGCATGTGATCGTCAATAGAATGGCTGTGCATGGCGCATATACAGAGAGTCCAAGATTGATTGGGGTAAGTGGCACAAGAGGCGCAAACCTTACCGGGTGATGGATAGCCGGAGCCTCGCCGTTTGGGGTGAGCCTAGGTGGCTAGGCGCCGAGCCCGGCTGCCAAGTTGAGGGGCCTGAGGCTCAGGGCAAACGGCGAGTAGCCGCGATTCCCGGGGGGGGTGTGGGACCGTTGGTGCGAGGCCACCTCGAGTAGCGTGGTTCAGAAGAACCAACTCGAGGCGGGGCTTCGCCACTCACCCAAACCCGACCCTTCTGTCTATCATAGCAAGAAGGGTCAATGGGGGGATTGCTCTGGCTCGAGAACTAGAGAGCAGAGCGTGAAACGTCTAAGGGTGGAGCTTTCACCCGTTAGACATCTAGACAGTGAGCTGAGACTCACCACACTCCACACTCCCGTAGCTGATAGAGGAGTGGGCAGACAACGGTGGTGAATATCTCTCAAACGAATTCAAGTACTACCTATCAGAAGCTGGTATAGAACATGATCCTGGACCACCCCATTCCCCTCAACTAAATGGTGTTTCCGAACGCACTAATTGCACTATCTGTAATCATATCAGATGCTCTTTATCCAGTTCTGGTCTGTCGAAGTCGTACTGGGTTGATGCCCTACGTTATTTAGCACACTCTCTAAACTCCATTCCCTGTAATACACCTGCAGGCTTTCTTTCTCCTTGCTCTCTTGTTTCTATCTCTCCTATAAGTTTATCCAAAAGTCATCCTTTCGGCTGTGAGGTCTACCACAAAATCCCAGAGGCTAATCGTAGAAAATTAGACCCAAAAGGAAGTAGATCTATTTTCCTTTCATACTTGACTGATGGGAATGGATACAACGTCTGGGATTTGACGCGCTCCAAACTTGTAAAAATCTGTGATGTTATCTTCAATCATGATGTTTTTCCAGCTCTTCAAAAATCTCCTTCAGTTAAACCTCTATCGCCTCAGGCCGAAATTCCATGGCCTGTCGAAGAAGCTTGTCTACCCTCTCTCAGACATAGGCACTTGTCAGAATCCATCCATAATCCCTCTTGTCGCCCTCTTTCTCCGTCTAGCTTTCAACAACTAAACACTCCTCAAGTAAACCCATCTACACCAATTCAACCTTGCATTTTTTCTGTCTCAAAACCGTCTCCCTTTATTTCTCCTGTTCCTTCTAGTCTCTCTAAAAATGATTTCCCTCCTCTGAACACTGAACGCACGGTCACCTCACCTCCTCCCTCACAACCTAGTCCACCTGTTAGTGTTGTACCCAGCCGTCAACCTTCAACCCCTCCTGTCCGCTCTCCTCCTAAGTCCAAGCAACCCTGCGTTAATCCTATCCCTTCTTCGCCTACTCCACCACCAGCTCCAGCTTTGCCTACTCCACGACCAGCTCCAGTTCCAAATTCTCCGTCACCAGCACCACCTCCTCGTCCCTCCACAAGAGATCGTTCAGCACCCAAACGCCTTGGTAATTTTGTCAGCTCAACCAAACCTGTAGGAGAGGTTGTTGACGATACTCCAAAGACGTGGAAGCAGCTGTTACGTTCTCCTAACAAGGATCAGTGGCTAAAGGCTGCTGATGACGAATTCTCTTCTCTCATTGGCATGTCCACCTGGAAATTGGTTCCTAGGCCTCAGAAACGAAAGATCATTCAATCAAAATGGGTCTTCAAGATCAAACGACGAGTAGACAACACTATCCTCAAATTGAAAGCCCGGCTGGTTGCGATGGGGTACTCTCAGGTAGAAGGAGTCGACTACAATGAAGTCTTTGCTCCCACCACTCGTCTCGAAACTCTTCGTCTCGTTCTATCTCTCATGGCAACACGCCAGTGGAAGGGTTGTCAAGTAGATATCAAAACCGCATTCCTCAACGGTCATTTGGACGAACCAGTCTATATGAGTCAACCTCCTGGCTATGAGGACCCTCTCCATCCCGACTGGGTTTGTGAAGTCACACGTTCAATCTACGGCCTCAAGCAGTCTCCACGTCAAATGAATAAGGAGCTACATGTTGTTCTCATCGCACTAGGACTCGTTCAATCCAAACACAATCCAACTCTTTACTTCAAATTAGATAACAATAAGCTCACTGGTCTCATCACTGTCCATGTGGACGACTTGTCCGTTATTGGTCCGGACAGTTTTGTCAACTCCTTTATTTCTCGACTATCTTCTCATTTCGACATCTCCTCTAATGAGGAGCTCCATCACTTTCTCTCACTGGATATTCGCCTGGATCTCACCAGAAATCTTGTCTTCCTCAATCAAGCTCACTACATCAAAGAACTCGGTGAGAAATTTCTGTCTTCTGGTCACACCTCCACTCAGAATCCGACGGATGCATCTTTCAAAGATCTTCTCCCTCGACAACCATCAGAAACTGTCTCACCTGGAAATGATCAAAGTCTAATTGGCGCTCTTCTTTGGGTAGCCCAATGCACCCGTGCCGATATCTCCTTTGCGGTCAGCAGGCTCTCGCAATTTCTTTGGGATCCCTCCAAGGCTCACTGGAAAGCAGGGATACGTGTTCTTAACTATCTTCTGACCACCTCCCATCTCTCACTCACTCTTGGAGGTGATGCATCTATCTCAGGATACTCTGATTCTGACTGGGCTGAGGACCGCCACGATCGACGATCCACAAAGGGTTACTCTTATCGATGGGGTAGTGGTCCCATCTCCTGGAGATCCAGGAAACAAGCCACAGTCTCTCCAACACCGCCGGCGCTCCGCTTCGCTTCTCTATAATTGCAAAATTTACGAGCGGAGCGTTTTGGCGCTATTATAAAGCGCCAATCGCTACACTATAATTTTGGAAGCGCTATGAGTTCTCAGAGCGGTGCGGCCTTTAAAATTGCTTCGCTCCGCTATGATGAAATCTCATGATGTTTAGCACCTAAAAGCGCAGTCCGGTAGGGGTTTTTTGCTTTAAGATGTGTTTAGCAGGGTGAGGGTATGACGGATGGAACAAGCAAAACAAAAGAACACACACAATTTATGTGCTGTTACAATTTATTCAACTTTGTAAAGAAATTGTCATACAAACAGATAGATATACTGTGAGTGGAAGGCAAGCTTATGGGACACAAGCATGAAATACTAACACACCAGCATACTTCAGGTGCTTCTCGCCAAGTTCACCTGGTGGGTTTTCATGTTGAGGGACAAGAGTAGACAAGAATGTATGTTTTTTACCCTGACCATATGAACCTGATGATAATAATCGACTCACATTCGGTTTATTTTCAATCGGTTCATTATCTTTACTTGGTACAATCGATCGATCGATCGATTAAATCAAGAAGAAAACCATGATTATCTTCAATGGATCTATGAAATATGGGATTCTGATTCAGGTGGATTTACCGGTCATCCTGATGTAGATTTAAGAATGGTATGTCACCTTCATCTTGGTTATCTCTCTGAAGGATTTGACTAAAATTCCCTTTTCTTGATCGCTATAGCATAGTAATCCAGAGGAATCTCTGGACCAACCTTATATCGTTCATAGTTCTGCAGCTCTTCTATTACTTGCTTTACTCTCTACGCCTCAGTCGGATAACCCAAAGCCTACTAATCCTTACACTGCTTGGGACGTTCCTAAACTCTTGAAATTCATCGTTGATTGCCAACGATCAAACGGAAGGTTCGTAAGCTTACATTTGTGTTCAACGTTCATTTCAATTAGATCACCTGAAACTTGATTTCGATCGTTTAGTTTTGGTCCATTTCCTACTTCTACAGAACAAGATGTTAGATTTGTTTATTGCGCTACTGCAATCTGTGCGATCTGGAAAATCGATCCTAAAACGGTGATCGATGTTCAATCAACTGTAGATTTCTCAGTGTCTTGTAGGGTAAGTTTTCGAATCATGTCAATTTTTTAACCCTCATCACGGATTTCCAATATTGTATTTTTGAAAATCAGCGCTACAATGGTGGATATGGCCAAGCCCCTTTTTTAAAATCTCAAGGGGAACAGCGTATTGTGTCTTAGTAATAGCATCTCTTAATTTGTTAAACAAACTTGATGATAGCCTTTCATCTGAAGACGCTTTAGAAACTGCCAGATCGTTAGTACATACATATGTACAAGCCTCAAGGGAATCTCACTGCATGTCTTGGGTTGCCATGAGGCGCCATGGCGCTAAGCGCTCGTAGGCGCTGCAACACCTCATAGCACAGCGGAATTCTGCTATAGACTGCGAACCTGAAAACCGCTATATGTGTGGGAGGTTTCGCCATAGCTATAGCCCGGCAAAAAAACCGCTGTGGGTTGAAACGGGTAGCGCGGGCGGAGCGCGCGCTCTGCTACCGCTCCGCTGCCGCTATCCCGGGCGGAGCGCCGGTGGTGTTGGTCTCTCTCTCTCGAGTACGGAAGCAGAGTACAAGGCACTCTCAGATTCATGTCGCAAAGGACTCTGGCTTGGTAATCTCCTCGCCGAACTTAATCTTTGACCTCCGGCCGCTATTCCACTTCATGTCAATAACGAGGGTGCTGAAGCGCTCGCTAAGAATCCAACACATCACTCTTGAACGAAGCACATTCACACACGTTACCACTTCATACGAGAATGTGTTGCTAATGATTCCATCTCAATACATCATGTAGCATCGAAGGACATGTTGGCAGATATGTTAACCAAACCATTAGGACGTGTCCTGCTACAATCTCATCACGAGCGCTTTGGAATAGTCTAAACTTCTCTCTATTTCTTACTTCATAATTTTCATTTTCTCTCTTTCATCATCTTATTTAACTATGTTGTGCTTTGTTCTTTCTGATTTTTTTTTCTTTTTCTTTCTGCATGTTGCACGGAAGGGGGGGTGTTGAGATAGTCTCATGACATGTCTGTCTGTATTCTTTTATTCTGATTCACAGTCCTGTGTGACTATCTTGTGCCATGTCAAGTCCTACGTGACTAGTGTTAAACAACTGTCCTACGTTGACATCATTTCATTATTTCATAAAGCATTACATAATCTGTGCTTAGCAACTTGTCAGCTGTGTGATTTCTACCTTTGTTAGTTCTCTATATAACCTGACTGGAACAGCTCAGGAAAGGTGTTCTCTTCTTCACCTTTCCTTCAATCTTTTCTCTCGCTGTTCCAGCTGTTCCAGATTGTCAGAAACCTAAGACATACATCACATAATCTCACTGGACTTCCCGCTAAAATTTCTTGCTCATACATATAACCACGTAAAGCAGAGGTTCAACGTGTTGTTTTTGGCTGCTGTGCTAGCTGAGCGCGGTCTAGCGCAGCTGCCATCAACATATTGATGATTTCTTGATCGTGATCTACAGAATTACTTTCTTCAGATGAAGAAGATTCAAGAAGTAGATCTAATTCCCTCAAAGATGCTGAGGAACCAGACATATGCTCTGATGTAAAAATTCGATGAATGAGAAGAACTGAGAAGATGGATGATTTGAAAAATTGAGTTGAATTTCAAATGGTCAACAAGCTTTTCTGCTTTTGGCTGCCAAACGTAATTCAACTTTTATGTACTTTTAAGTTGACTTTTTCATAAAAGTCAACTTGAAACAAAAATTGACTTTCCGTGGCCGGAAATTTTGTACCTTTCAAAAGGTACAAACTTTTATGCGCCATTCCAAACGTGCCCTTAGAGTTGAATGTCATTATCCTTCATTGTGGAATTGGAATAATTCTATTCATTACACTACAAGAAAGATGATATTTTTTGCACGAAAAAAAAAAGTCTTGACATAGAAAAGTATTCAGGTTGCAGGAGGAGAGCAAAAAATACAAACAATATGCACCTTGTTGCCTACTATCAGAGCTTTAATCCAATTATTTTTTTGGTATTTTTAGAGCCTCTTTTGATGAATGTACTAACAATAAACCTTCATTTTCATCAAATTACAACCTGTAACAAAGGCTGAAATTTGGCTCATGAGGATCAAATAGACATTAGTATTTCTGAGGAAACCCATAACCCTTTCAATTCAGGTCCAAAGGACTTGACCACACTACAAGAAAGATAATATTTTCTGGGCAGAAAATTAAATTATTGATACACAAAAATATTGAGAGGCCAGGAGAAGGGCAAAAAATAAATAAAAATATGCATCTTGTTCCCTGCGGTGAGAGCTTCACTCTCCATATTTTTCCATATTTTTACAGTCCGTATTGATAAGTGTACTAACAATAAACCTTCACAATCATCCAATTACAACCTGTAACAAGCACTGAGATTTGGCTCATTAGTGTTTAGAGAAACTTTTGATTTCTGAAAATACTCATAACTTTTTCAATTCCGGTCCAAAACGCTCGATTTTGGGTGCATTGGTAAGCTGGAATTGTCCTCCAAATAGTTCATAATAGGACCACACAGCATGCTGGTCTGCTAAAAAAGATATAATCTTTTTTGTACATTTGTACATACAGATCCATAGAATGATTGTCATACTAGCTACATAGTTCTTGACCTTATGGAAGTTTGAGAGGAAGAGTTCAGCTTTCTAATGCACTTAAAATCGAGTGTTTTGAGGCAGATTTGACAAAGTTATAGGTGTTTTCAGAAATCAAAAGTTTCTCTAAACACTAATGAGCCAAATTTCAGTGCTTGTTACAGGTTGTAATTGGATGATTATGAAGGTTTATTGTTAGTACACTTATCAATACGGACTGTAAAAATATGGAAAAATATGGAGAGTGAAGCTCTCACCGCAGGGAACAAGATGCATATTTTTATTTATTTTTTGCCCTTCTCCTGGCCTCTCAATATTTTTGTGTATCAATAATTTAATTTTCTGCCCAGAAAATATTATATTTTGTGTAGTGCCATTAGCTCATTAGAAAGCTGAATGCATTCTGGACATACTTTGTTTTGGACCAAGAGCTCTGGCTGTTGAGTGAAAGAAGTCATAGAAGTTTGAAACAATTTACACATATGTCTTCATAACACCTTTACCAGACTAGCTACACATTTCCACTCTCAACAAAAGCTCTGGAGCAGATGTTCAGCTTTCTAATGAACTCAAAATCGAGGTTTTTCATGCCCAAATTCAAAAGTTATGTGGTTTCTTAGAAATCTAAATGTCCATTTGATCTTCATGAGCCAAATATCAGCATTTGTTACAGGTTGTAATTCGAGAAAATTGAAAGTTTATTGTTAGTACATTCATCAAAAGAGACTCTAAAAATACCAAAAAATGATTGGATCAAAGCTCTGATAGCAGGCAGCAAGGTGCATATTTTTTTGTATTTTTTGCTCTCCTCCTGCAATCTCAATATTTTTCTATGTCAAGACTTTTCTTTTCCGTGCAGAAAATATTATCTTTCTTGTAGTGTCAGGGCATTGGAATATTTATTATCCAAACTTTGTTGTTAATGGGATGATAAGTTTATACACTCCACCATTTACACTCAATATTGAGTGTAATTCCCAAGGAGTGTAAAAATCCACAAACGGGGGGCCAATGTGCAATTTTACCCATGGTCTTTCCCAAATCCACAAGTGTAAAAAATGGGGTGTAAATTTACAAGTGTAAAATTGTATGTAGTCCGGGCCAAACTTCAATTTTACACTGTAACTTTTACATATGACATTATGAGTAAAAAAAACCAGTGTAATATTTTGTATGGGGCCGAGATGTCCAATTTTACCCTGCATCATCTTCGCATTCAAAGTTCAACGTAAACCTCTGGAATGCATAATTCCACCATAACCCCCCCAATCTTCAGATTTAGACCCTTTCAAAATACACTCTGACCGGCAATTGTCACGGAAATTGATAAACGACGCCGACCTGAAAACAGATCTGACGCCGGTTTTTCTTAGACCGGATTCCCTTCGAAGATATACAGCTCGGTACATCAGTATAGCAGATGTACAGAGCTGTACCAAATCCAGAGGCTTCAGACGTAGTTTGAAGCCGGTTTTTTATATCGTTTCGAAGCCGGTTTTTCTTTCGGATTGTTTAGAAAGATGTCTTGAAGCCCGTTCTTGAAAGTGTTTGTAGGACTTAAGTCAAAAGTTGAAAGTCTCGAAAGAGTGATTCAACCTTGGTAGTATGTACAGATAGATTGATTGTTTTGTACATCATCTATAGGCAGTTGAAGACCTTGGTAGGCCTTTCTAAGCAAGGGAAGGATCGTTTTGATAGCAAAAAGTAATGGTTTTATATTGCAATTGTACTACGTTATGATATGTCATAGGATCATGCTAAGCTGGAAACATAGCCATCCCATATGCGCAAGAGCTCTCGAGTGTAAGTTTAGCTTTAGGATCCAAAAAGGATACCTTGAGGTCATCCGCGATCAGTCTCAGAGAAACCTCGGGAATCAAAACTGTACGGACCCAACTTTCAGGAGTGAGAGGCCGAGCTTTTGTGTGTACAAGTCGGTTGGGAGCTTGAGGGCGCAGAAAGTGATGATGAAGGGTTTGATAAATGATATCTAGGCCCTTGCCACCGTAGCTGTAGTTTGATATCAGTAATCACCAAATCAGATCCTGAGGTGAAGGAAAAGATGAGAGAGTGAAATACTCACTACCCTGGTTGTTCGAGCTCATAAGTGAGGTCTACATGCAATACACTATCCATTCGACGTGTACCATGATCCTTGCAGATGTTCAGCGCGCCGATCAAGTAAGAACTTTCGATTTGGCGATCGATGATATGTTGAAGATCAGTGATGAAGTTTTCTACACGTCTAGAATCAGGATTGAATGGTCAGTAAATGACATGAAAACCACGGGTTAATCCTCTTTAAAGGTTGAATCAGCTACCTTGATAGGATATCAAAATCGATCGTTGTAGGCCACCCGTTCTTTATTGCTATGGGGGCAAATTCAGTCTCAGAATAATGCATCCCACAAAATCCGATGGTCTCAGACATCTGATGGAATGCAAAAACATCTCGATTAGACTCGATAAGGCATATGTAGAGCACCGAAGCAGGGAAGAGGGCAGCCAATCCCATATTGAACTTACAAGGAGAGAAACCGCATGAAGATTTCCTGGCCGAGGCATCTTTGTGGCATTTGGTCGTTCCAGAAGCATTTTCATGAGGCGTTGGAGTTTTTCTGATGGCTGTGGTGGAAGAGGATCGTCGCAGAAAGGGCAAATCGGTGCATTTTCATTTTCATCCGAATCTGAGTTAGAATCGGGCTCATGAGCTATTCTTTGGAGAGTTTGATCAGATTCTGAGTTGGAATGGTCTTTGCGTGATGTAGAGAGTGCTTGATCCACTTCAGTATTGCCAATGGTTGTGCCTTCATCTGGATCTAGTTGAAGTTCCTCTAAAGTTGGCTCATGCGGGTGAGATATGAATGGACACTTGTCTTTCCGGTGACCAGAGTTTTTACAATGACTACACTTGCGGGGAGCCTTCGGTTTACATTGAGCTTTTGGTGTTGGGGGAGCTAGGTACTCAAAGCCTGAAGGATCTCGCTGTTTTGATTTAGATTTAGACCAGGCCTTCTTAGAACCAGCTGGTCTGCCTCGTGTGTTAGTGATAGTCGCAGGTGCTCCAACTGGTACGAGTTCATATTTACCGCTTTGAACTTTGATCAGTTCATCGTATGCTCTTCGGAGTGCGTTCTCAGGAAGACTACATAGGCTTTCAGCTTGCTTTTGTAAGTTGGCTCGTAAGGCCTCCAAGGACTCCGGAATTAGTTCATCAATAAGTCTCCACTGATTGTGAAAAGATTCGATTTGAATTTTCTGGCCAAGGACAATTTGGGCCTCTAATCGATGTGAGCAAGGAATCCCACGAGAGGTTGAGAATGAATCCGTGCAAGGTTTTCGACCTGGTTTGCCAATCAGAGAAATCTGTTCAGTGGCCAATCTGATTGCATAGTGAGATAATTTGGTATGTAGTAAATCAAAGCATCCGTCAATGTTATTGATTCTTTGTTGGAGCTCGCTAGCCAGTTGACATTCAAAATCAGTCACTTGATGTTTGACTGCTAGTTTGATAGATTTGAAACATGACAACAAGTCCTGCATAGAACCTTCGGGGAAACTTTTGACAAAGCAATGAGAACCCTCGACTCGTGAAGTTGTTTGATTTCCAAAATGGAGGAAATCATTTGCAAAAAGCTTCACATATTTTTCAACTATCGGAAACCAGTTTGACTCGAGATATTGAAGGATTGTGGGTGTATGACGCTTTGCAATCTCGATAAGTTTGGACTTGTTAGCAATAAATTCGTCTTCAGTACAAGAAGCTACAAAAGTATGCCAGCAATTGTAAAATTCATCCCATTCTTTTGTTACCGTAATGATTCGCTGGCATTTAGTTAAGATGGCCTTGTTGATATGCCACATACATAAGATATGGTTGCTTCCTGGGAAAACATCAGAGATTGCATTGATGAGTGCCTGCTCTTTGTCAGTCACAAAAGTCTTTGGTTGATCGATGTTTGGCTTCAAGAGTGTGTTGAGCTGTTCAAGTGCCCATGTGTACTCCTGACGATCTTCTTTTTTCATGAAGCAGAAAGCAAGTGAAAAGGACGAGTTGAAACAAGTTGATCCTACAATGTGTAAGAGAGGGAAGTGGTGTTTGTTTGTTTTGTATGTACAATCCAATCCAAAACAATGTGGAAAGCGACGGCCCATCTCGATTGCACTGGGATGAGCAAAAAAAAGAGATTCAATTGTTCCATTACGTCCAAGCTTCACTTGATAGAACCAGTTTTCTTTTCGGAGTCGTGTAATAAGATAGACCATAGGTGTTTTTCCTTCAAGTTCTTTTCTTCGAGAGCGAGCTTTTTGATTGTAGATGTCTCGCATTGGTCGATGAGAGCTTTCCCCCGGAAACAAAAGTCGAATGGTGCGAGGACGGACATTAGCCTCTGATAGAGTATTCACTAATTCTTCTTCTGTGTCTTTCAAGCGGCGCAGGCGAGGTAAGTCACTTGATCTCTTGTAAGGCTTGTGATTGTGACGAGCATTTTGAACTTTGACCTTCCAATGATCTTGCTTCATCCAGTAGTTGAGAGAAACTCCAAAACAACAGCCAGATTTAGATGTGCTGCTTTTTCGAGGCTTTTTCGAGTCTTTTTCAGGTCCATGCGGAGGTTGAACTTTTGACTTTGATGTATCTAAAGCACGCTTGAGATTCTGGTGACCACGTGTACAATAGAAGTATCGGCTCTCTAGATGAGGGCCTTTGTTTGACTTAATCACAATTGCATAACCCTGATGCTTAGCAACTGCTTCAAGGTATTGTTGCCCCAGCTCTTTGGACTTGAAGATCTTGCCCTCTCGAGGGGGGAGTAGTTCTCGTGCTGGTCTGGCTCCTGGTAAGGCATCATTCAAAATGTGTTAGACTTGGTGCCCTTCTGGAATCAAAGGATTTCAAACAAACCTTGAGGAGGCCAGTCTTCATCAAGCTGGCCATTTTGGCTGATTTTGTCATTTACATCGTCTCTGCCATCACTGGTATCTGAGGAACAATCACAGGATCAACTCCTATCAACTCAAGGTCAGTCTTAGATTCAAGAGTATGTACATACTATTACTGTCCATCCATTTGTCTTGTTCTTCCTCGGACTCATCATACCCTGTCTCTTCGTCCTCGGTGAAATCACTTTCATCTTTGCCTTTCTCTTCATCGTCTGTCTCACCCTCTGCATCATCTTCACTTCCTGTTTTGTTCTCTAGAGTCGAAGTTGGATGGTGAAAAGGTGAGAGAGTAGCAGCATGTGATAAAGGGTTGTCTGTATTCATAAGATGTTGATTATAAGGATCATGATCTCGATATGAAGTTGTATCATTGGTGAACATCGGATCTTGTCTTTGATTGTAATACAATCTTGAATCTTGATAGCTACTTGGAATCGAGGAGCTTTGGTCTTTTGGCGGCATTGGGAGGTTGTAGTTGAGCATAAAGCACATATCCACATATCGCTAGTGGGAGATGATGCGAGAGCAGCTCAAACTTGCAATTTTTTCATTGGTTGTCACCCTCAACTGTACATGTGATGAAAAGAGAGCCCAACACTCTCAAAAGTGGGCTTCAGGAAGACAGTTTTCCAAACATGAACAATCCAAAAGAAAAACCGGCTTCGAAACAATATAAAAAACCGGCTTCAGACTACGTCTGAAGCCTCTGGATTTGGTACAGCTCTGTACATCTGCTATACTGATGTACCGAGCTGTATATCTTCGAAGGGAATCCGGTCTAAGAAAAACCGGCTTCAGTTCTGTTTTCAGGTCGGCGTCATTTATCAATTTCCATTGTCACCGCTTCAGAAAGGTTCCCGGCTTGGCAAACTTTGCAAGACAATAACTGCGACCCTGCATGAATCCTCACACTCACCACCAACCCTTTCCCCCCACCCCAATTGCATCTAGTCCTCTCCGGCCGTCTTCGAACTCTCAAAACTCACAATCCAATCTTCAAACTCCCAAAGATCACGATCCAATGTCTTGATTCCCTCAATGATGTCGAAAATCATCTCAGGAGACCTTCACATCCCATTTTGGCAGCAAGATTCCGAGATGGGACCACTCCTCCTGCGTCTGTTGCCTCATACCCTCAATGGATCCCGCCAACAAACTCATTATCACTTGACCACCCCCTCTGCTTCACCCTTGCTAAATCTCCATTGTATGATTCAGACTCCATCGTGATACTTGGTCACAGCTACAAGGTCCAGTTCTATGTTTTCATCCAGTTCTATGTTTTCATCCAAATCTATGTTTTCATCCAAATCTACCTTTTCATCCGCATCTACCTGTTCACCCAATCCTGCTACCCATGCTACCTCTACTACCAATCGTACCAAACCCATTCCCTTCAACTGCTTTATTTTGTTATGTCAGAATTTGAATACGCCAGCTCTTTTGGAGATTCGACTTCGCCCAAGGTTGATGAGATATCACAACCGCTGTAGAACTCCTACGCAGTGTAGCGTAGGCTGAGCCGCAGAGGGGAAGAATCACCACTCGTGAGAGCGGATGAAACTACAGGCGCTGTGAAGCTGCCCTCGTCCTTCAAAAATGATTCCGAAATTCAGATGAGACTTCTCTACTTTTCACTTCTTTGTCTTTTCAAGGTTTTCCAAAACCTATTTTTACTATGCGGTTGGATGCGCAGCACTGAGCGGAGTCTAACACTACTACACACAACTCTACACAAGTTTGTAGTACTGAGATATGTGAACTCGAGTTTGAGTGTTGATTGTTACGCTTGTGTAACACAGCTGTACAGGACTGGAATAAATTCCCAAACCTGACTCGACCTGGCCTTGACTTGGATCAAGAGGCAGGTTTGGCAAAACTTGATGTAAATCACACAAAGTGTAATTATGATAGTAAAGAGGGGGAAAGGCTTTTATTGACGGTGGGGTTTTATCCGGAGGATAGCGTACTCGGACTCGGGGCCAAATTTCAATTTTTGAGGTAACAAAATATAACAATTAAATAAAGGCGATTGATAAACCACGCCGACTTCAAAACTGGTTTGACGCCGGTTTTTCTTGAACCGGATTCCTTCAGAAGATATACAGCTGCTTACTGATGAGCCGAGCTGTATGCTTCTGTAGCCTTCAGCCTGTTTCTGAAGCCGGATTTTAACAATTTACAGACTTGGTGACATCTCTTTTGAAAGCTTTTGCATCATCCTCACCGCTGGATTTTAAATCTTGTTTTTGAGAAGGTCACTCCAGAAACTGATGATCTACATACTTGGTTTTGGTAGCCGTAGGAAACATTGAGAGTTTCCTCTTGTTGAGGATGGGGGACCATTGGAGATGTAGCCGAGTGGGATGATGGATGATCAAAAAAGCCTGGACCACAAGAAATATGACATAATCTTGTTGCCATTTGCTTGACTCAATTGCTGGACAGCCAAGCGCTTGACACGAGGAGACAGATCATCACATATGGGGCTTCTCACTCAAGAGACACATAGAGTATCGGCTCAGTCATTGGCTTCCTGAAGTAGCCTTCAAAACACTTCAACAGCAAGTGCATTGGGTCAAAATCTGGCATGGTTTCTGTCTTTGACTCATTGTTTCTGTATCTTATTATTATCTCCTCTCATTCCTGCTTCTACATCTCAGTGGATGCTCTGAACATCGACTTTTTTGACGCTACAAGAAACGACTGATGCTTGGTAACACACTCTCTTTTGAAGCTTGAGGAATGCTTCTTACTGCTCGCAGCTCCAAAGTCTCGAAAGTGGCCTCAAGACATTTTTATCCAAACTTCACACATCTTTACATATCAAAATCAAAAGCTGGCTTCAGAAGTGAAATAAAAACCCGGCTTCAGAAACAATCTGAAGTCTGCAGAAGCAGTACGGCAGAGTACGGCTCTACACATCAGTATGCGGCTGGATATCTTCTGACGGAATCCGGTTCAAGAAAAACCGGCGTCATACCAGGTTTGAAGTCGGCGTGGTTTATCAATCACCTAAATAAAAATAAGACCCTTAAAATATAAGACTCTAGACTTCAATCATCGAGCTCAGCAAAACAAAGAAAGACAGAATAAGACAGAACACTCAATAACAACTAAACTCAAGGTAGGATTACTTTTCTTTGTCTCTGTTATCAAAGAAGTTCACTACTAACCACAAAGGATTATACTCTCATTTAATAACTTTCAGGGGTTAAACTTCAAACACACAACACAAACAAGACACTAATAAAAAAAACACTCGATAACACCTGATACTTTAAAAGAAAAGAAGAACACACTCTCAAGACACACTTGAAAGACACAAAACACGTGAACACACACAAATTGATCTACTGATGGATTGATGGATTCCCCTTTTACTGCTCAATCCCTCTCCCTTTTATAACTTTTCCTCATCCCTAAAACCACAACTCGATTATTCTCATATCAACCCCAACGTGTTTTTGCTCTGACCGATCGTTATTGTCTCATATTTGTATTAATGTTTAGTTCTATATGTAAGTGGTTTCCATCTCGTCTCTCATTTGTTTTTTTTAATCGTTCATCTTCTAAAGCTGATTTCTATCAACCTTACTAACTCTAATCGATTCCTTTCTAATTACCTCCTCTTCAAACCAACTCTGCTGCCTCTTGAACTTCTCCCAGGATCCTCATTTCAAAATTGATCTCAGCCTCTTTCCAACTACAACCTTCAGCAATCACATCAATCCCCACATCTCACTTGAAATCTTGACTGTCCCACCCTATTTTCGATCTCAAGGCTTCTTTTTGATCTTGAATGCCAAGAGATGAGTCTCATAACTTCCTCTCTGATTTGTTTTTGATTTCACATCCCACTGACACCTTTCTAATTGTCTTTTCTAAGTATATACCTCAAAATCGATCCTCCTACCAATGCCATCCTCATCATCCTCTATCTAATTTTGATCTCAAGTTCTGATTTCAATTTAGTTTCAACTTTTAGACATCAAAGTGGAACTTTCTTTTCTCTTTCAATTCGGATTTTGATCTTTGGTTTAGATATGAACAAAGCTGAGTCTGGTCTTCATCTTCTAAGAGATGCCACTTCAATCAAATCGATTCCAGCCTCTGATAACTCAAATTTTATATGTATAGTTTCTTTCTTCCTTTAGTTTTGGATGGTTGCTGACTGCTTTTAAATTGTCTGTAATCCTTCCATAGTTTGTTTCTAAGATACCAGGTCAGATCGATCATCTTAATCTCTTCTAGGTGAGTTGTAGTTTGGTATGACATTCCTTTTAACTCATTCTGAGTCGCTTCCAGCCTCTTGCCACCTTCAGACAGTGTAGCTAACTTGTTTTCTTTTTTTTCTTTTTCTTTACTACCTGATCAAACTTTGTTCTAGGATCTAGTTAACCATTGATTAAATCTCAAATATATTGAATCTTGTTCCCTCATGTTTCCTCTTTTGAATTGTATATCTTTTGTTTATTTGTAAGTTAGAACATAGAAATGAATGTACATGTCTTGATGAAAAAGTAACCAGAAACAATATGAAAGTGTTGAATAAAGAGTCTGAGAGACAAGATCCCTGAATAATCCAGAAAGTCTCAGGTGTAGTCCTTGAAAGAAATTTAAACTGTAGATGTTTTGTAAGATTATAAATTGAACCTTTCTGATATTTTGATTTCCACACCGCCCACTCAAACCCAGCCAGCCACTGGCACCCAGTTGTCCACTGATTTACTCGACATCAACTCATCTGCTAGTACGAAGAAGAAACGGCACCACCCCAAGAAGACGGGCAAGAAATTCAAGATTCCAGTTGTGGCAACTGGCAAACTCCAGACCTTCATCAACCACAGGACCACTTGGGTTAGCAAAGGCTATCCCATCTATCCTAACGGCAATACCGTTTTTGTTTGAATGCCTGGTGATCAAGTCATGAATTTCAGTCACGTCTTGTATCCTCACACTCAGAAGTCCCGAGGCTCTAAGAAGGGACCATGGAAGACTATTTGGTTCTCTTGTCTTGGGATTTTACACTGTGATGATGACTTTTGTGAGTATGCTGCTCCGCCACCAACCGGAGAGGGAAAAGCCTCCAAATTGATCCAGGAGTAAGTCTTTCAATTCTCTTATCCTTTGTTCCTTCAATATCTTCCTATATTTCTGGGAGTAGTCTGATGCTTATGTTCAAAATTCTCTTGGTTTTGGTTATATTTGTTTCTCATAGGCACCCAGTTTTTCCTGCTGTAGCGCGTGAAGGAACCCACCTTAGGACCCAATGTCTAGCAACCAACTGTTGAATCGACATCAAGAAAGCTACCAGATGGGGTGTACTTTACCACTTGGGTACTCACAATCACGTTTGGCCCAGTTCAAAAAAGGCGGACCCCTTGGCAATGCGCACACTCACCAATGAGTTGATCAAGAATCCAAAGGCTGGCCCTTTGGTCCTCAAGGTATAATTTCTGATTAGTCTCATCCTTGTCCCGTCTCAAGATTGACTTCTTCCCCCCCTATCTAGGTCGGCCAGGCTGGCGCCGGGCAAACAGTCACCGCACCAGTAACTGAGATCCATCCAGTGTTTCCAAGCTCAGGCCGACTCGCTTACTTACAACAAAAGGTTCTTGTCGAGAAAGGGTTGATGCCTGAAAAAGAAAGCAAGGGAGGAGGTGATTGGTTGATTATGGATCTCATGCACTGGGGCAGGTAAGATCACTTCCCCCTTTCCTACAACCAACGCTGAGACAGCTACGCTACAACACGCTACCGTGCATTTTGTATGTAGCGTAACTGTATGCAGTTAACACATATCTGACCTTTATGATAGTGTAACTTGTCAAGTTACACTACACTACGAGCTACTGTAGCTGAGTTTAGTGCCTCTACACTACGCTACAGGGCCAAAATTTGGTTAGCTGGAGATTTTCTGGGACTCTGCGTAGGGTAGCTGGGATTCATTCATGCTAATTCCTGCTAGCTGTAGCTTTGCGGCATGTTTCTAGCTACGCTATCTTGCGCTATCAGCTACGGGTAGATTAGCTGTCTCAGTGTTGCTACAACTAACACTTTGGGTCATTAGATTGACTCTCATGGGCTCTCAATTTCAGAAACGGGCTTTGGTTGATTTTGACCTCTCTGTTAGGTGCAAATGTTCACATCACCTTCCAGAGCAAGTGGATGGCGGATCAACTTGTTCAACCTGACTCAAACAGGAGGGTCTACTCCGGGGGCCTTCTTTTGGATGTAACATATTGGTTTTTCCACAATGGGTAGCTTATGACCATATCAATGTATAGCAACATTATGCACCGATGGGTCCCTGTTCAACTGAGTTGGTTGTGAGGTCTTGAAGTGAGCCATTATTAGGCTCATTTCACTGCGCTACTTCAACAAATTGCCACCACTGATATCACCTTTCACAAGCGCAACATTTTGGTCCAACAAGTCGTTGACTTCTCAACAGCTCAAAAAAAGGGATTTGTTGCCGCCTACATGGATGTTTTTGATGAGGGAGATCCTGCTAAAGCTTTGGGGAAGTCGAAGGGGTGCCATGAGCACTTCCGTCAATCAATCACTCAAATCAAGAAAAATCAAAACATTGTGGATGCAAGTCAACTGGTAAGTTTACATTCTGATGTTCAAACCTACCTCTTTTGTTCATGAACATGTATTGTTTTGGTAGGCCAAATTTGAGCAAATGGCCCTTGATCTCCTAGAACCCAACAAGCCGGGTGGAACAACCCTAGCAAAGAAGTTTGACACCATCCTACGCCTGTTTCCCAAAGCCAAAGCTTGGCTGGATTGGTGGAACACCTCGGATATCCACGCCATGTTATTTTGCGCGTGTGAATGCCTTCCCATTGACAATCCCATGGAACAAGATCTTCCTGATACTACCAATGGCCAGGAAAGTATGCATTGGTAGTACTATATTTTGACGTAAGAGTGCTTCCAATATAATCAAGTATAATGCATTTCTGACGTCAAATCAACTGACCTGCCTTCATTTATGTAGCTCGGTGTTGGAAGCACCTTCACTAGATGCTTCAAGAGCAAGACACTGTGAGACACAGCAGAGGGGTTTTCTAGAACCTAAGAGACCTGATTTTTATATTACTAATCCAAACGGGAACACGTCTGGTTCCAAAGGATAGAGGGCAATAATTAGTCCTGATATCTCTAAGGATAAACAACAACAATAAAGAGAAAGAAAGATATAACTAAGATAAATGACTATACCTGGTTCCAAAGGATAGAGGGCAATCATCAGTCCGAATATCTCTAAGGAACCATTTGGTAAGATTTGAAAGGAAAACAATTATATATAGTATGTATGAATTAGATCTGAAGTCTTACTAGCTAAGTGTGCGCTTGCGCGTATATGTAATGACCACAGGTCTTACACTTGGGTCACTGTACAAAAGTCAGAGAAACATAACAACAGAAAAAACATCACGCAGGATGAGCATACATAACTAAGAACTATTTGATAACTTTACAAATTATTGCTCTTCAACGAGGAATACCTAGTAAGCGTATGTCATCAGCATGCGGTGACATCGTTCTCAGGCATAGGCGTTGGTCTCTCAGTTGGCAAAATGTACGGCCTGAAATGCAAAATAATTGCACCCAATGCAGCGGCAACAATGGCAACAATGGCAACAACGGTAATAATTTAGCCCAGGGATTTGTACAGTTACTGATTTTTGTGGAATCCCTGAAGAGGGACTTCAACCATCTCCTTTGTGGCATCCCTGTCAAATACAGTGCAAGTTGGGACTTGGTGGTTGAGACCTTGGGGTGGTCCAAGGAACGCACACGAAGTTGTCCGGAGGTCAGTGTTGTGGATCAAAGGATTCAAGGGCAAAGGCAAGGACGTTTGTTCCATATCGATTCAACATTATTCTTCAAGACTATCTTCAGAGATGCATCGATCTTCCCACGTCAAGTCGGTGTTATCTCAAGGTCTCAAGACCATCCAAACGGCGGTCCAAAAAGCAGCCCCACCGTCTTTTGCAACCAACACTTTTTGTTGAGCGGATCTGTTTGTTGACTACCTGCTCACTTCAAATACTACACCACAAACCCTGTTTTTGTTGAAGTTCGGTTGCGAGAAGGTTACGAAGACTCGCGGCTGCAGCGCGGTTAAAAATCAGTCAAAAAATAAGTTGGGCCCGGGTTGCAGATGGGTCGTATCTGAGATATGACCTACGGTTGGTCAACCACTCTGCGAGCAGTTGGCCAGCCGCATCTAAAGTGACCAGATCCTAACCCGAAATTTTGATCACCCAGCTTGTTGCGGTTGATGAAATGGCAGCAAACAATCCTATCCTGTACGGTTTTTTGACCCCGATTCATGAGTCTTCATCAACCCACCCTTCACGGAAAAAAGACTGATGAATTGAAAGACATCCATAAAACTTAAGTTCAAACAACATACATCAATTTAATCAAATAAGTCTAATTGATTTGATGAGTTGGCGTCTCTTTGCCTTTTGACACATCAACCTCAATCTCCAATTCCATATCTCAACTTCACTTCATCGACAGGTTTGGTAAGTCGTCTTCCCCTTCTTCACTCTCCAACACATCAATCACTACCACATCTTATCATCATCATCACATTCACTGATTACACCTCAATCATCTTCATTACCGGATATCATCCTTTTATCAGTTCTCATGATTTATTCTCATCAAACAGGTTCATCAACTAGCCAACTTGTGTAGCATCTCAACTTCAAATTGAAGTGTTTTTAGGATCACCAGCTATCATTGAATTGACTATAACATTTACGTTCTTGACCCAATCAATTTACTTGAAGCATCCAATCATTAAACTATTTTCAAAAATTTATGGTAAAAGACTTTTGTCGTTAAATCAATTCACAAATGATAGATTCAAATCGAGATAATGAAGAAAAACAAACTATCAGACTCGTTCAAAGGCCTATCAACTATTCAACCTTTTTAGCATCTCCACTTCAACATGACTCTTAAACGCATCAAACCTCGAATATCTCGACTCGACCCTTCCTAACTTGCTGATCCAGGGCACTTTAATTTCACCGGAGTCGCTTGATCTCGGCTGCAACCCTCCCTCTCCTTGATCAGCTGGTCCACAGGGCGATAAGATCTTTGAGTAAGACACACTGCATCATGATGAACGAATTGAACCTGGGCCCATGTAACAGTGCTCGACGAGGCCACATGAGGGTGTTACATTTAGTACCATATCTTGTTCATGAATGATCAACTCCTGTCTTTACGTTCTCAATTCTTTTGTCTCGTGATCAATATTATATCCTTGCGTGTATCTTTTCTAAGTGTATCTTTTTTATGATCTGGCTTTCTGCATCTGTTCTTAATGTTATTATCACATATTCTCACATTTGAATTTCATTACAATGTGTTCATTATATACATGCAGCTTGTGCTTGCCCTGTCCATCTGAGTGCATGTGGGGAACAAGAAATGCAATGGGCAATTGCGAATAGAATGCAGGTGCTGTTTTCCAAATAGCTATCGAACAAACAACGGATTTGAAACGGATTCATATTTGGTTGGCAAACCCATGTCAAAAAACTGGTTTGTTAAAAACTTGGTTGGCACACGGGTTTCAAAATCCCCAATTTAAACCGCGCGGTCTAAGCTCGTTGCGTCAACGTAGCCTCTCTGCAAAGGAAATCGGGGTACCAACCGGGGAGAAACCCCGGTGGGAAAACCGTAATGGAGGGTTTGTGGTGTAATGTGCCGGCTTTGGCTGGTTGCCAATTTGCTTTCAACCATTTACGCGACTATCAATGTAGTCAATTTCAAGAGCATCTAGAATCTGAAACGGCTGTGCAAGCTACCGTTGTCATCACCGCAGACCTGTCTCACAAAGCTAACCTGCAGTACTCCGACGTCACTGACTTGCTCTCCCAGTGGCAAACTGACGGGCCTTTCAGTTCAAACCTGCATTGCTGCCCTACCTGATGATACACAAAACAGCTGTACACAGAAGTCCACACTCTATGTGTATGCTGAATAAGAAGAAAGATAGAGTGGTGCACCGAGGACAGAGTTTGAGAGAAGAATGAAAAGAATCAACTACATATTTCATATTGATTGTACACTAACCTGTACACAGAATTCAGCACTCTAGGTGTATGATGAATAAGAAGAAAGATAGAGTGGTGCGCCAAGGACAGAGTTTGAGAGAAGAATAAAAAGAATCAACGCTCAAACTACAACAGGCTCTGGAGAAGACTAGAATATATATGAAATACTACAAGCATGAAATTATGTATAAGCATAAGAATAATGAAATGATTTGAAATATGTAGGAGTAACTATGTGAAGTGTAGTCATGATGTAATAAGGAGTACATGTCAACAGCCCCCCCTGCTCCAAGTGTTTTGTAATAGAAATGCAAAAATAAAAGAAACAATCTTTAGTTGAGATAGAAATGAAACATAGACAAAAATAAAGAATTGAAAAATAAACAAAATCAGAAACAGAAAATAGGAGAAATTAGAAAAATGAAAATAAAGATAGGCCATTGCTATTTGCATCCCACAAAAAAACTATGTAGGCGCTGTCCAAATTACGCCTACATGGCTTTTTCCCACGAAAAAGTGCCTACATTCATGATGTAGGCGCTCAAAACATTTTAAAATGACGCCTACAGGTTAAAAAACCCATGTAGGCGTCATTTGGCTACGCCTACAATCTAAAAATGGCATGTAGGCGCTATTTTCAAGCGCCTACATTCTGAAATTTTGAATGTAGGCGCTTTTTTTGAGCGCCTACATATGCCATTTTTAGATTGTAGGCGTAGCCAAATGACGCCTACATGGGTTTTTTAACCTGTAGGCGTCATTTTAAAATGTTTTGAGCGCCTACATCACATGTAGGTGTGATGTTTTGTAATTTTTGAGCGCCCACATTCCATTTTCTGTATGTAGGCGCTGGCAATTGAGCACCTGCTATGTAGGCGCTTGGAAATTACGCCTACATGGTTTTTAAGGCATGTAGGCGTAAATTACACGCGCCTACATTAATTTTTTGGCTCAAATAAGCACCTACTTGCAGTCTTGCATATGTAGGCGCTACAAATCCAGCACCTGCAACTCCAGACTGGTCTGAAAGGTAATGAAGAACAATTTTCCAGTCAAAATGAGAGTATTGGAAGACAGAAAACACAGTTTGGACTTGAAATGAGAGTATTGGAAGGCGGGCAAAGCAGTTTGGACTTGAAATGAGAGTATTGGAAGACAGACATAGCAGTTTGGACTCAAAATGTGAATATTGGAAGACGGAAGAGAAGTTGGACCAAAGTTCCACGTCGACACATGTGTAGGCGCAGTCCCATGCATCAATACACATGTAGGCGCTTGAAAATGACGCCCACATCCCCAAAAAAGCAATGTAGGCGCTTGAAAATTATGCCTACATGTCTTTTTCTGCATGTAGGCGTCATTTTCAAGCGCCTACATGGAATTCCTTGCATGTAGGTGTGATATTCACACTGCGAATATAATGTATTTTTCCAACGTGAAAAATGATTACATTTATTTCACAAAATGATTCAAAATGCATTAGTTCTGCATTAATTCTGCATTAATTCTGCATTATTAATCATTTTGTGCATTAATGTCAATTATTTTTCACCTTGGAAAATACATTATTTTCGCAATGTCAAGCACCTACATGTCAAATCTTAAATTTAGGCGCTTGAAAACTACGCCTACATGCAAAAGAAGACATGTAGGCGTAATTTTCAAGCGCCCACATATGTAGGCGCTTGAATTTTACGCCTACATTCCAAAAATGAGCTGTAGACGTAAATTTGAAGCGCCTACAACTTAAAGGTGTAACCAAATTACGCCTACATTTCATTCCTAGCATGTAGGCGTAGCCAAATGACGCCTACATAGGTTTTTTGACCTGTAGGCGTCATTTTAGAACGTTTTGAGTGCCTACATCATAAATGTAGGCGCTTTTTTGTGGGAAAAAGCCATGTAGGCGCTGTTTTGGCAGCGCCTACATGGATTTTGTGTGGGCTGCAAATAGCAAGGGCCTAAAGATATGAAAAATTGAGAATGAAGTTGATTTTGTCAAGACTCCATCGGAGAGACCATCATTATGCTGTCGTTGTATCTCAAAAAGCCCAAAAATAGTTGTGTGCTCACAGCATGGCCGAGGTGATGTTTTGACAAATTTGGATAGTAGATAGCCCTGGCGGTGCATACTTTGGGAGGAACTTACTTTGACTCTTTGAGTTCGCCGTAAAGCAAGTTCCCAACCAACCTCCTGCAGTTGTCAATTACCAACTTTGTTGTTGCCTTGGTAAGGTAGTCAGCCGGCATGGCCTTTGTGTCGATCTGTGTTGGTTGAATGATGTTGTTCCTGACCAGTTCACGGATGTAGTGGTGCCTGATGTTGATGTGTTTGGATTGGGAGTTCACTGCCGCTTCTTGAGACAAGAACACAGCCCCATTGTTGCCGTTAAATAAGGACGTGCGAGGCAGATTGATGATTGTTGTTATTGGCATTGAGTGGGTGAGGACAAAGAGAAGTTTGCAAAACCATACCACATGCTTACTGCAGTCAGCCATAGCCATGTTACGGAAGCCCTGAGCGAGGGGGGTGTGCCACCTCATTACGTGTACATAACAAAAACACAACATACAACAACCCATCACCCAGCATATGTACAAACTCCACGCTCCACACATCACACATCACACATCACAACATAACAAAGAACACCAAAAAGACAACTTCTCAAATCAAGATACATTGCCACCACATCTCTCAACTCAATTCAAACATTCATCAAACCTGAATTCAACTTATTTCTCATTTGTTCTCAGTCTCAAATAAAATCAATCAATTTGAGCATGCCACCTAGTCCAGAACTCGACAAAGTCTTGGTAGATTTGTGCCACCAAGGCTTAACAAGAGTTCAAATGTTAGAATATCTCAATACGGAAACCAAACACACTATGAAACTTCGAACTCTTGCACAACACTTGCAACACCTTAATTTAAGTACTATGCAAGCTCAACTCACTGAAGGCAAGAAAGAAAAGTGCCTGCAACTCATGAAGTTCTACCATACTAGACGTTGGCAACAAAAAGAAGTTGTACGAATCATTCAAAACCAATACACATTTCCTTTGTTCACAATGACAATGCTTAAATCACTTTCAAAGCGGTCAGGATTGAACTGGCGCAAGGACGACATTGAACTTGGTATCATTTGACCTCAGGAAGCAGCTGAGAAGCTACTTCAACGCAAGCAAGCTGGTGACAAGAATGCTGGCTTCCAGCAAATGGCTCATGTCATGGCCACTGCTGAATCAATACGTCTCAGTAGAAACTCTGTTGGACGTCTACTGGCTGTGGTTGATGCAGAAGGAGTAGCCCTGCGTAAACAACATTGGCTCAAGTGATGGGTATATAGAGTTGCTGGCCCAAACAAAATATGGGCCAGTGATGGACATGACAAACTTAAGCCATTTGGAATTTGCATCTATGGATTCATTGATGCATGGTCTTGTTGCATTCTCAGCTTGAAGGCGGGCATCAACACCAGCAATCCTTGCAGAATTGGAGTCTACTTTCTTCAAACAATTGCAGCCTGCGGTGGCTTTCCTGAAAAAACCTTGACCGATCATGGAACTGAAACTTTGGACATCACCACTCATCAGATGACACTTTCTTGTATTTTCAAAAAGCTGAGCTATGAAGAAGCTGCGCTGAAACACATCTTCACCACTTCACCACATAATCAAAAAATCGAGTGTCTCTGGTCTCAATTGATGAAGGCTAAGAACATTGCAATCCGTAAAAATATCAAGAAAGCTATTGATGAAGGAATTTATAACCCAGGAGATCGACTTCAAAGGTAAGTCTTATCTTTACCTTTGGACTTATCAATTTCTTAAGCTGATATCATTTTATGATTAGAGCAATATTCTTGCACCTATGGGTCCCACTGGTGCAACGTATGCTGGATGAGTACGCTGAAGAAAAGAACACATATCAAACACAAACAAATAGGAACTCGGCTCTTCCAACTGGTGTACCACCCGATGTATCTTACTTTGCACCTGAGGACCACGAAGGCCAGCAGGGTCTGACACCAGTACCTGACAAAGTTATCCAAGGAATGCTTGAAAAGTTTTCTCCTGATTGTGAACAGCTTTTTGTGGTATCTCCAAAGCCGTTCCACAATTTTCTAAATTCAACTATTCTTGAGTTAGGCTGGTATACTGAGGACCTTGACATCAACTCAGTTTGGACTTTATTTCAAGAGTTGCTTTGGGTTGTGATTCCGATGGAATTAGACCTTGATGATATCAAAGCTGGAGGGGATCCTCAAGAACTTTACCCCATGGTAGATTTGAATGATGAGGATGAAAGTGAAATGGAAAATGGAACTGGTCTATCAGATGATGAATTTTATTATGAAGACGAATTTGTAGATGAGGACGCACCAGATGCAGATGAAGAATATTTTTATGATTCTGAGTGAGATTGATCAATTTCCTAATGTTTTGTAATTTGAAATTAAAAATTGATATGCAGTTTTGTTATGAGTATGATTCTGAGTGAGATATTAATATGTAAACTGTACTTGAGCCAAATCTTTGAGGTCAGAATTCTTTGCACCACAGTTAGACCATGGTGTACTAGTATTGGAAACAGCAGCCAGCTTCTTAATAGTTCATAATCTAGTGGTTAGCTGGTCAGCTTGTTTGCCCACTACTGGTGTGGGTTGTTGGTTCAAGCCCTGTCGTGGGCAGAGAGAACTGGAGATGGTTTCCAAATGTGGGACATTACATCACCGTAGTCTTTGCTGTCAGGGTGGTTTTGCTGTGCCTGCATGACTTTTTAGTTATGCTAGGAGGTCGGCAAAGCCTGAGGCTTCAAACATGTGCCTTTAGCATAGATCTATAATAGGTAAAAAATGGTAATACATAGGTGGTTTTTATCAAAGAAAGCCAGCATCATCAACATCTTCCCAACCAACTCACTCAGAATCAACCTCAAGCCCTTCAGCTCAGTTTGGCTATTCACTTAGCTTTTCCTCAATTTGCTCAGTTTGGATCTTATTTGATCCCTTGGAACCATAGGTAAGGTCATCAACATGAACCATCCCTTCTACTTGCCTTCTTTTTATCGGATTATCATTGATTCTCTTCAATTCTAGTCTCGTCTCTCAGTTCACTGTGACTTTAGTCTTATTGCTTGGTTCTCGACAATTCTAGTCTGATTGTTTGATTCTTGTCTTATCCATTGAATCTCGTCTTATCAATCAATTCAAGTCTTGTTCTTCGATCTTGTCTTATCCATTGATTCTTGTCTTATCAATCGATCCACGTCTCGTTCTTCAATCTCGTCTTATCCATCGGTTCTATTCTGATCCATTGATTCTCGCAATGCCGCCGACACCCTGCCTGAGATAGCGCAGGCGGAGCGGTAGCAGAGCGCGCGCCCCGCCCGCGCTATCCCTTTTTACATATAGCGGGTTTCACGCACTGCTATAGCTATGGTGAAACCCCAAATGTTATAGCGGTTGTGACATACGCCCGGTATAGCGTTTTTCCGCTGTGCTACAAGCTGGCACAGCGGGCCGGAGCGCTTAGCGACAGGGCGCTACCGAGCGCCCCGTAGCTTCTATATCAACTTAGGCTGATACAACCAAACACCCCACCACGCCCTCTGACCTCTCCTTCGCACCCAATCCGACTATCTCAAGGCACCACTTACTCCTATCACACCACCTCAGTGCCTCACAGTAGCAATGCTACTGTTTCCTGGACGAATGGACCCATCAGCTCCGACTATAAAGGGACACAAACTCACAGGTAAGGATTTTGTTTCCTCCATTGATTACCCAACATCGTTCTCCTGCTCTTTCATTTTTTGCTATCGTCAATTAAACTCTGTCTTACTCACCTCAACATATTTGTCTATCCTTCTCTTGTTCACAATTAGATCTAGTCCAAACAATCTCTTTCACTATGAGTCCCTCTGCCGCCGATACCAGACGCCTCACGCAAAGCACACTCCAACTCAACCCGTCTACTGCGCTTGCTCCAACTTCCACATTGTCTACTCGTTCTCTTCGGGTGCGTAGCCCAGTCCAACCTCGACCTGGATTCGTCATTCAGTCGCCTGACTCGCGACGTTCTCTTCAATCTCCATCCCCTGGAGATGATCCAACTTGTGAAGGTGACGGGTTTGAAACCGAGGACAATCAATCAGAGACAGCCTTGATTTCAACCACCTCTGCTCAATCTGCTTTGAAGAACAGGGCACCAAAAGGCTCCAATTGGGCCTTTGGTCAAGGTAAACGCAAAAGTTCTGCATCTTGCAACGTTTCAAATCCTTCACAATCCCGTTCAGCCCCTCTGAAGAAGAAAAAGAAACGTGCTACTACGGTTCTAGAGGTACTTTCTTTTATCATTCTCTTTGTCATCTCATCAGTTTCAAGATTATGAAAACTATCTTTTTTTTCATGCTTCCTTTTGATTTGTTGTTAACCTTTGAATATTTTGTTTTAATCATTTCACACAACTTCATACAGGACTATGAAGTTCCTGAAGGCTTGGACGTTCATCAAGATTCAGATGTCAAAGTGGTTGAGTTGCCAGGCGTGAGACGTGCACAGCTTGGCCGTGTGTCTAAACTTTTGGACCACTACAAACCCCCCATTCATGTGAAAGGCAAAGTAAGTACCATCTTAACTTCTATCACCTTCACCAATATCCGTCTCTCATCCTTCCCTTCAGAATGTAACTAACGTCAAACCATGTCTCTTTCAGACTGGCAATGATCCCCGTTGATATAGATGCAAATACTGTTGTGAATACTTCACTCGAGGCAGGAGAAGTTTCTACAACCTCTACTCCCATCGAGATGGGACCAAGGATCGACCCGCTTGCCCCAAACGTCATATTGCCATCCGAGAGGGAGATGACCTGCCTCGAACTTGGAGACAACAACAAGAGGAAATCGTGCAAGTGGCTGGTTCCAATCCAAAATCTACACTTGACTCCTTCTTGTCTCAATCCTCCTTCAGTGTCGACCTCCTCAACACCGTCCTAGTGATCTGGATTCTTCGGCACGGGCTTCCTTTTGCTAGATTCAACGATCCTCCCCTTAGAGCAGCTTTCAAGTTATCAAATCGGTCAGCAACTATACGAGGTACGACCTGGGCCTCTGAAACTGCCAAGGGTATTTACCAGGAACTATCATCCTCAGTCATTAATGTGATCAAGGTATGTATCTTCCTTTTCTGCTCATCGTCTGTCTGATTTTCTGACTCTTGTCTTTTTGTTACAGTCAAACAAGAGTAAGTTTAGCCTTATTTACGATGTTTGGACAACCAAAGGAGGTCGTAAGGCCTTCATAGGTGTCTCAGCAACCTACATCGATGACAACTGGAAGTTCCAGACCCAGCATCTGCCGCTCAAGTTAGTTGCTTGGCATCATGCTGGCCAACTTTTGGCTCAGCCAGTTGGGAGATTTTTGATATCAAATGGTTTACATACAAAGATAGGTCTTCTTATCTCGGTTTCTTGGTGTTTTCTATGTTTCTCTTTTTGTAATCATCAAGGCTAACATGCAATTACATTTTACATGTTAGCTCAGACGACAGATTTGGGAAGTAACAACAACACAATGGCCTACGAGTTGTCCGGCATGTTCAAGGATGCAAACAAATTGGTCTATTGGGACTCAAGTGTGAATCAGGTAAAGTGCTATAACCACAAGATTGGGCTTGTGGTCAAAGCTGGTCTCAAATCTCTAGGTGTCAGCGCTGGGCACATCAAGCCAGCTACCCAACCAGGTATTACGTTACCCACACCAACCGTGATTTTAAATGATGGTGCAGAGGATGTTGGCTTTGACTCTTCAGAAGATGAGCAAGACGAGAATGACGAACTTGACGGCTGTAAAGTGGGACCTTTATCGATGACATCAGATCTGATTGTGAATCCAATCAAGACAAAGAACTCCATCGAACTGATTTGGCTCGGGCTGTCCATATAGTAAGTGATCTTGATCTTCCTCATTCAACACTTACAACTATCTGACCTTTCTTTTTTCATGTAGGCAAAAAAATTCAACGGACTTTGTACCCAAAGCTCAGCAAGACGTCAAGAGTTCCTGGCCAAGGCCAAACAGATGGACTATAAGGGCCGCTCACCCATCTCTGGGTGGGGGGTCCGTTGGAACATTGATTGTGATTTTCTCGAACGCTTAAGCGATGCGCGTGATGTGAGTTCTATACTTATCATGTATTTCTCCCTCTGTCATTAAATAATTCATCTCTATTTACAGGTTATTGATGTGATTCTCCTCACCGATCGGAAGACTTGTTATTACAAGGGTTTAAACATAACTGCTGACAAGTGGGATTCAATTGAGACCTTGGTTAAAATCCTTCAGGTTTGCTAATTTTTTCTTCAAACTTCCAAATCTGTTTGTTGACCATTGCTGACTATTCCTTCTCAGGTGTTTCTGTATGCCACAAAGCAAATGGAAGGAAACACACCAACTGGATGTGTCTTACTTGCCAAGTACTCACGGGTCATCAAAGATGTCGATAATATTGAAGCAGAATGTGACGACACTGAACTCAAGAGGATGCTCGAGGTGATGCGCAACAAGTTAGAGGGCTATCAAGCTGAGGCAGCTGCCTCAGACGCTGTCGTATTATCAACCATCATGAATCCTCGGTTTCGTCTCAAATTCTTCGACCTCAACTATCCTGACGAGGCTGCTCGAGCCAAACCTATCTTTCATTACGCCTTTGAAGCCGCATTGGCCCAATGGCCTGAAGATCCCATTAATTCAGACCCGATCAAAGCATCCAGACCAGCATCACCTCCCACCTTGCCTGATCCTGCCTGTTTTGAGTATGATGTATTCACCACGCAAGTAACCTCTCAATCAGCAGCTGACAAACGTTGAGATGAATACATTGAATACATTGAAGGTGCTCATTTGATGGTCGCAGGGCAGAGCGAACTCAATTGGTGGAAGGTAACTTACTTTATTCATACTTCCTTCTTGATTTTGAATGATCTGACTGATATTCTCATTTAATTGTAGGAGCACAATAAGGACTTTCCAGTCCTTGCTACAGTCGCTCGTGATTATCTTGGGTTGTCAGGTACATCCTGCCCGTGTGAGAGGACATTCTCCTCAGCCGCTGACATCGCAGTACCTCCTTGCGCTTCCTTAACGGCGAAGATGATTGGTAAGCTCGTTGGTGTACGCGAGTGGTTGAAGTCCAATGTCCCATTATCAGGTATATACGCTGATGCTTGGGCCTATATCCAAGCTTACCAAGCTCAGCACGCCAAGGCCAAGAATTAGTCCTTTGAAATCTTTTGACCATTGTATTTTGTTTTTTGTTGCTCTTATTTACCAACTCTGCCCCTCTACACAATTAGACTGGGCTGGATAACTTTCTTTCATTTTATGTCAAAGTTTTTTTCCTTGTCTCACCCTCTACATAAATACAAATCAATCAAAAAATGACTTGTTTCTCTCACTCTCACCGATTTCTTTCCATCTTTTTGTCTTGAATTACAAATGCTAAAAAAGTGAGTTGTTTTTGTTTTATGTTTTCTATCTCTTTAGACATCCCCACTCTGCCTTTGATTATAAGTAGAATCATGATGTGTAATTCAAAGCGGCTTACATACCGATTTACAGCTTCTTGCGGTTCATGACCTCGCTTTAATGCGCTTTTTCGTGTGGGATTTGTCCATAGCGCAGCGGAGCAATCTAAAGTATTGCTCGGCTCTCAGAAGTCATAGCGGTTTGAAAAAAAAAGCGGAGCGATTAGCGTTTTATCATAGCGCTTAATCGCTCCGCTCGTAAAATTTGGAAATATAGCGGAGCGGCGGTGGTGTTGATTCTCGTCTTAGCAATCAATTCACGTCTCCTTCTTCGATTCTTGTCTCGTTCTTCAATTCTTGTTGTCTTCTTTGATTCTCGTCTTCTTTGTCGAATCTCGTCGTCTGATTCTCGTCTTCTTCGTCGATTCTCGTTGTCTTCTTCAATTCTCGTTGTCTTCTTCAATTCTCGTCTTATTAATCGGTATTTTGTGTTATTCATTGAATTTTGTCTTGGATTCTTCACCTGGAACAATTCCTTATAACTCAAGTTTTTGATCAATTTGATCCAATCAGGTAAGTCTCAAAATTTGTCTATTCCTTTGAATCCTGCTAGCAAATTTGAATTTAACTTCATTTGCTTTGAACTTAACCTCTATTTGTAAAGCTAGCATCACAATGGCTGAAAATAAACCAGGAAAAAAGCGGTCATCATCCGGTGCTAACAATAAGAAGACAAAAGACAAACAACGAAACCGATTCAAACACAATTCTGGATCAAATCATTCTGGTCGGGATAAGATCAGAAATAGTTCATTTGACGCACTTTGTAAAGAACTTTCTGAAAAGCTAGGGATTTCAAAAGACTCTTGTATTTATTTCTTAAAAAAACATGATGCAAAGAAACTTCCAACTGGTCCTCGCCTTTGTATCACCCATCACAATTGTGTCCTTCTTGATGCTGATACTTGGAAAGTATCCAATTGATTAGATTCCAACCTTTCTCAGAAATGATCTCAGATGAAATGAAAGAGATGAATTATACAATCCAGAACATATATCAACATAGCCTAGCTTGAGGCAACTGCTGCACCAACAGCTTGGTCAAGGGACTCAAGAATTGGGGTGAAATGAGATCTGCAGGTTATCGACCTGGTTCAGACAAAGGCCGCAAGTTTGGTAAGACCATCTCCCTCGCTTCCTGTTTTGTTTTCTCTTTGTTAATGATGATCCCCTTCAATTTTCAGGAGTAACTGCATTGAGCGCTAAAACGGGCAAAAGCAAACAGGCTATCCTTGAAGATCAGGAAAGCATGCATATGATGGCTATTATTAACGATAATCTAGCTGAATGGATGTCAACATTATGTTTAAAAGCCTTTCAATCCAACCGCGATCTTGCATTGAAGCATTTGGTTCCTTCCTTTTCCGATAAAAAGTGGTCCCAGTCTCCCAATGCTAATGTCATAGCTTCAAGTATTGTGGTTACAGGAGATGGCTTCTACAACAAATCACATACTGATCGTGATTTAAGTCAATATGCTTATGGGCTTTTTACAAGAATCAACCGAGCAACGCTGAGACAGCTACGCTACAACACGCTACCATGCATTTTGTATGTAGCGTAACTGTATGCAGTTAACACAGATCTGACCTTTATGATAGTGTAACTTGTCAAGTTACGCTATGCTACGAGCTACTGTAGCTGAGTTTTGTGCCTCTACACTACGCTACAGGGCCAAAATTTGGTTAGCTGGAGATTTTCTGGGACTCTGCGTAGGGTAGCTGGGATTCATTCATGCTGATTCCTGCTAGCTGTAGCTTTGCGGCATGTTTCTAGCTACGCTATCTTGCGCTATCAGCTACGGGTAGATTAGCTGTCTCAGTGTTGAACCGAGCAACAGGAGAGCTACACTGGGTTGAAAAATCAGACTACCTAGGTGACATTGAAGGTGTCTACTTCATCCTAGATGATTATCACGTAGAAACATCTTTTGATGCTTGTGACGGTGTTATTGAATCCTGCTGGGCCTCAGATATATCTCATCGTACATCTCAATCTGTAACTTACGATGAAGGATGGAATCCAATGATCCCTGCTGAATCTCCGATTACTCGCTTTGGCTGTTCCCTTCAAATCAATCGAGCTTTGGTCCAACGGATTGATGGACTCATGAAATTGAAGGAAGGTAAAACTGATGAGGAGTGGGAAGCATATAAAGAAAAGGTTATCAAATGTTACGAACAGGATGTTGAAATCAAATTGAATAAGGTACATCATCCTGCTCAACATCACAATAGCAAGAAGAACAAGAAAAAGTAGTGGTTGTTAAACTTCAATCTATACGTTCAACATCACTTCTTGAATTTCTTTTTCTCCACTCTTCGCTGATTTATCTAGTTTATCTGACTCATTTGTGTGTTAGTCATTGTCATTCTTGTATCTGCTCTCATTTTGTGCTTCAACTACAATAGTCAACTGTTTGACATGATCTAATCAGTGTACGGTACATCTAGCTTATGGAGACCAAGGAATTCACAAGGCGGAGGACAAGAATGGTTTTCTAAAAATATCTTCAGACTATCTTCCCCGGGATTGTCATCCCCAATAGCTGAGCTGAGATGATAAATCAATGGTGGGTATTAGTAAAAATTCACCTTAGTATGTTTGGGGTTCCAATGAAAGAGATTATACTCACTTTGAGTGGATCAACTCGACTTGAGTTATGATACGTCCAGAAGCTTGTAGAATACATAGCAAGGACTTGCCTTTATATTCATCTATACGAAAATGAGTGAGGCAATGCATTATTTGATGATCAAGATTGTAAGGTTTTTTAATTGTAAAGTTGACTGCTGTCATGAAACCTTTGGGAGGGGTGTAGGCGCCTTTCCTCTACAGAACCATAAATTTGCAGTGTCTTCTGGGCTGTTGATGGTGGTGAAGGTGAGGCTGAGCGCCATCTGGAAAAGTGAATGAACAAACATAGGAGATATCAGCTTGATATCTTGTGTCTAGCCAAAGCAAAGACCACTAACACGTTTTGTTATACACTTTGTATGTAGTTCCCCTGTAATTTTTGGGTTTGTAATAACCTTCTGGTGAAATTTGCCGATGATTCTTTGTGCTTCTGCAAACAATCTTAATTGAGCATGAGAATTGGGTGAGTCAAATGATGAAGTGGAGGCACAGAACGGTATAGCTATCATATCAGTCAGCATTTGATTATCAACCATCACTCAACAGTCATATTCATCAACTTGGTTTTCATCTTTGGAGGTATCTTCTTTGGGAACACCTTGTATGTCAAGCCATCCCAAGTGTGGTTCTTCACCTAAGACAAACATCCAATCTGAATTGAACAAAGTTGAATTGGGGGACTGGGGATGATAGACTACTGCCTTAGCAACTCCAAGAATCCACAACTTGGGTTGAGGAGGAGTCCTTTGTACAGAGGCTATTGGCAAAGGGCTTTCGATGACTACCAGTTTCAGTTCACCAATGCAGGCTGATGTAAAAACTTAACATATCAGAAGAGATCAAGAAAGACATATGATCAAGCTGACTTACAATTGAAGCCAATCACCGTGGTTAGGTACACTGCCAGCATTAAAGAGGTTCCCAGATGGGAATACGGGTCCTAGTGATCAGATTCCCATTCTGCTACTGTTACACAGTTCCATGAATATTTCCTGAGTAGCCGTTGTGATATATGTAGTCAATATTTTGAAATGTGTGTCTCAATCTGAACAAAGTTACAGCATGTATTACACATGATTTTCTTATCTAGATGAGCAGATAACTGAGCCGACCTGTATGTAGCTGATAGCTAAGGATTTACTCAGATGTTTGCACACATGTAGTGTATGCTTTATGGCTCAGATGTGCAGTGCAAGATGATTTGATTCTCCATTCTTCTCTCAATGATATTCCCAGCCTAGGTCACGTTCCGACCAGGGAACCTATTTAATGCTGGCAGTGGTACAAGTCAGGATTAGCTTGTGATTCTTTGATTTGTCTGATTGAAGATTTGACATCTGCAAACAAAAATTTGAAAGAATCAATATCAATGACTCCAAAAATACTGTAAAGTGGTACTTACTATTGAGCTCAACCATAGGTGTATTTAACAAGCAACCAGGAGTAATGGTTTGATCCACGTGTTCTGTTTTAAACAAGGAACAAATGATTTGTCTTTGTATTCATGGATCTAAATGGGTGGAACTTACCAGTCTCAAAAATTTCATCAGGATCGGGCCGGTAAGCAATGTTGGAATCATCTTCTTGATCTTGATGTGTATCACTTCTGTCTGAGGGAGAATGAAGTCGTTTATGTTTGGGGATGTAATTTTCCTCCTTGTCTTGCAAAGATGGATCGGTTCCAGATTCATCAGTACTTTCATGGACCCTTTTCTTCTTGTTTCTGCAAAACTTCTTATCATCTGACTCCGTGATACGCAGGTATTCATCTGCATCAAACTTCACGTAAAGGCCTTTAGTATGGTTTGAACGTTTGTCAGAGCGTTCCAAAGCATTTCAGAGGTGAATGGCGGAAGAGAATTCAGTCGGCTCGCCATTGATAATCTGGCCTAACTTTCCCCATCTTTCATCGAAGGCTGGAATTGAAGGAATTCCTTTGTTGATTTGATCTTGACTTGGTACCCTATTGTATAGTTTCTGACAAAAGAAATTGTAGGAATCCTCTGCTAGCTTCAAGAACCAAGAATTGTTTGTAAAGTCGCCTCCTTGTGTGGTTGATGCCACCTTGAAATCAAGCAACTCAAAATCATATTGATAATTGAATCCAATTGCAAGAACTATGCTTGATGAAGCCGCTGGATTTTTCAATGTCGATTTTGCACCACAAGAAAGAAATTCCGAGGGTGATTGAGTGGAGCCCTCAGGTGACTGAGTGCGCACATCATGCTTTTGTACTTTTCTTTTTTTTTGATTGACCTATGCTGAGTGAGTTACATATCTTGGTTCCCATTTTTTGACGGTGAGATGCTGCATTGAGAGAGGCTCCAAAAAATTCATTGACTTCTGCCATCACTTTGAGGTGAGTGAGAGGATGTCGGGGTGAGGTGCTAGGTCTTCTGGTGGATTTTGCTAATGAATTTTGAGTCAATTTGGAGAGGTCTCGGCAGGGTTTACCAACATCTTCCTTCATTCGCACATATCCATCTCCACAAGAGCAGCAGTAAATTGTGTTGAAAACTTCTGAGCCATTCCTTTTTTTCTTATCATCAGCACATTCACCACAAACATTGTTTGTTCATTTTGGGAAAACTTCACTACAGCCAGGGCAGGGGGTTGTCTGGTATATTGGAAGGGTTGACATAGTATGTTGTTGATGATAGTGAAAGATTTTAAGTGCTAGAGTTGATGAGAGAGAAAAAAATGTGGGAGGAAGGGCGAGGATATCAAAATTTTTGCTGAAATAAGAACTAACAACATAATAACTGGTGGACACAAGAAAAAATTGACAATGGAAACAGGGAATGATGTTATATATATAAGAGACAGAAATGACAGGAGACACGATCCCACAAAGGACCAGAAAAGTCTGTGATATTTCAAAGTCAAGAGACGTAAATCAATATGTGAGCTTGTCAGGTTAATTATGGAAGTGAAAGGACACAACTTGATGTCAATGGAAAGCTTTTCAGGTTAATCATTAAAGCTAAAGGAAAGAAACAACTTGTCACCAATCTGGACAGGTTAATTGAATGGGAAAATAAAATATGTATACTCTTCAATTTCAAGTTGAGAAAAACAATTGTGTACCTTTCAACTTGGTGATGGGTGTGTGTTGTTCTGAAGTGTAGGGCTGGTTTGACAAAGCGTTTATTTATTGTCTTCTTTTTTCATGCTGTGTTATTTTTTTGTTGATGTGTTGTTTGTTTTTGTTATTTTGTGATGTGTGAAGCGTGAAGCGTGGAGTTTGTACATATGCTGGGTGATGGGTTGTTGTATGTTGTTTTTTGTTATGTACATGTAATGAGGTGGCACACCCCCCTTGCTCATGTGGGTTGTGCGTTGTGTGTTGTGTAATAAATTGGCACACCCCCCTTGCTCAGGGCTTCCATACCATGTACTCCGCTTTGGTGGTGGATAATGCAACACTCTTATGGCGCCTTGTCCTTGAATAGATAGTTGAACCACCCAGTGTGATGGTGTAGCCCGTCACAGACTTGCGTGTAGTGATCCATTCCCCTACTTGCTATGCTTTTAGGGTATGGATTGCGTTGGTCTCCAATTTCTGCTGAACATAAATTGAGACCAACAGTCTCAGTACCTTCGGTACTGTTGATGTCACCCAGTGTGTGTCTACCTGCTTCGAGAACCAGGAAGGCACGGGTTGGGGAAGTGAAGGGGCCCCGGCCCCGAGTTTGGTTTTCATAAACCAAACCGAGGTTGGTTCCCGTGAACCAAACCGAGGTTGGTTCCCGTGAACCAAATCACTAAGGGATGGGGTCCTCCATTGGGCCGGTGGGTGGGACGTCTTTTGCCAGGTGGGCCGGATGAAGCAAAAGAAATGAAACACACACAAATGCCTATGTGATGTGTGGTGGACTGGTGAGGAGTCTTGATGAGGGATTGTGGGAGATCCTTGTGATTGGCTGAGGGTGAAAGATTTTCACAGTGTGCGCGGGTAGAGTGAGAACCATCACTCTGCCGATGAGTCTTTCACGGGGCCTGTCACAAGCCTCGCAAGTCCCTCATGGACGTGTGAACCACCTGTGTTATGGTGGTTCAGTTCATGTCGTTGGCATAGTCTGCATCCGCGTAGGCTTCAATAACATGACTTTCAGTAGACGTGCGTTGAAATACAATACCTCTGTCTAATGTACCTTTGATGTATCTCAGGAGATGTTTCACTGCAGTAACATGATCAGAACCGTAACTAGACAAGAATTGTGCAAGTGTCAACACAGCATGGCTGATGTCAGGCCTGGTGTTTACTGCTGCATGGTTGAGGCTACCAATGATTGCAAGGTAAGGAAACTCTTGGTATGCCGCGTGTTCTTCAGAGGATGCTGCTACAAGATTTGCAGATATCGACATACACTACACCAAATGTAATCTTTACCGGGCGGTAAAGAAAACTACTGACATAGAAAAGTCCTGAGGCAACAGGAAGAGGGCTAAAAATCTGAAAAATATGCACCTTGTTCCTAGATGTTGGGGCGTCATGATGAGTATTTTTTTGTATTTTACACACGGATATTGGTTAATGTACTAACAATAAAGGCTGAGAATCATCAAAAACCCACCTGTAACAATACCTGAAATTTGGCCCTTGATTTTGAAGACAGGATTTTGGAATCTTCAAACATCAATAACTTTCGCAGTTCTGAATCAAATCACTCGATTTGAAGTGCATTAAAAAGGTGAGCCTTTCCTCTACATTTTTCATTGAGACATCACATCTGTAGCTGGTCTAAAAAAGATCCTACAGAGCTTTTCATGCAGAACTGTTTGAACATATGTAGAGTGCTTAAATGACTAGATAGAACCTTACTGACATTATGAAGTGTGAAGGAGAATAGTTCAGCTTTTGAATGAACCAAAAATCGAGTTATTTGGAGCAGAATTGCAAAAGTTATTGAAGTTTTTAGACCACAAAATATTGTCTTCATACTCATGACCCAAATTTCAGGTATTGTTACATGTGCGTTTTTGATGATTTTCAGCGTTTGTTGTTAGTACATAAACCAATATCTGTGTGTAAAATACAAAAAAATACTCATCATGACGCCCCAACATCTAGGAACAAGGTGCATATTTTTTCAGATTTTTAGCTCTCTTCCTGTTGCCTCAGGACTTTTCTATGTCAGTAGTTTTCTTTACCGCCCGGTAAAGATTACATTTGGTGTAGTGATAGGAGTAAGTACAGGTTTAGAGTCAGAAACCCCAAATTGTTCCAGTACGTCGGTTAGGTAGTTTTCCTGAGATAGATGGATAGTTTGAGCAGCCCAATCACTTGTAATGCAAACACCCAAGTGCTCAGTTGGATTATGATGCCATTTGATTTCATAAAGTTGGCATAAAGCTTCCCGAGTGGTTCTTAGAAGTTCAACATCTTTCAAAATAACAGATCTGTCATCTACATGCATGTGAATATGCACTAATGAATCACCAGCCCAGCAAGAATAAAGCAAATCATCAACTTCTGATGAGTGTAATCCTATTGAAGTGTATCATTGTTTCAGCGTGGTATTGAATTGTCTATGTGCTTGAGGTTCATGGTAAACTGCTTGGTCTAATAAGAGTATATCACCTGAACCATTGTTCAACCCCTTCATTTGGCAAGTGTGGACTGGGATGTTGTTTGATCCAGTGAGAAATGACATTTTGATGTCAAATGTCTTGAATTATAAGTTGTCTGATGCAGCTATGGCACACATAGCATATAAAGACTCCTCCACACCAACAGAAGCATAAGTCTTAGTGAAGTCAACACCTTGTATTTGCTTGTTACCCAAAATCAGCCATCTGGCTTTGTATGCAGTAATTTCACCTAGAGTATTTTGTTTGCGTTTGAGATGCCACATTCCTCCTACTACGTTCATCTCCTTTGTTCCCTTTAACAGCCTTCCAACTCGATGTTGCAAAAACAACAAATACTCCTCTTTCATAGCCTCCATCCATTTGTCTGCATCTGCACCCTTCATTGCTTGTTCATATGTTGAATTATCAGGATCTGGCTTGTCAGAGACCACTGCTGCATATGTTCTGAAGTTTCCAATTCAAGCAATAGGCTTGATACTACGTGATGTTCAAAGCATGAGTTTTCTCAGTGTAGGAGATTTGATTGGTGAGTCCGTAGTGTCATCTGATGTATCAGTGGAGCATGTGATCGGAGTGCTGTTCATCAATGGTGAAGTCGTGGTGTTACTTATGTCCTCAGCTCCAGGGAACCACCAGTCTTCCAGTGATTCTTGGGTTTTGATTGAGTTTTCTGACTGCTGTTGATGTTGTAGTGGAAACAGAGATTCGATAAATGTTACATCCCTGGATACCATTACATGTCTGGTGGTGGGAGGATAAAGTTGATATGCTTTTGCAACTGTCTCGTAGCCTACTAATACTCGACATACAGCAGTAGGATCTAATTTCTTCCTGTCCTCATGATGCACATGTGCGTATGCAGCACACCCAAGCACCCTTAAAAACGATAAATCAGCTATGTGTTCACCTCCTTTAGCGATGTTCTTCATCTAGTAGTTCATTGGAGTGTCATTGATGGCTGCCGATGGCGAGCGATTTAGGATGTGCGATGTGGCCATCACAAATTCACCCCATAGGTGTATAGGTAAGTTGGCATGAATCATCTGAGCACGAGTTTTCTCCATAATAGTACGATTGAAACACTCAGCAACGCTGTTGTGTTGCAGTGTTTTGGATGGACCTTGTTCCATGATGATTCCATTAACAGCAGCAAAAGCCATGAATCTTGATGACCTGTACTCACCACCATGATCTGACTTCAAGATACAAATTTTCTCCCCCGTATGTCGTTCTGCTTCAGCCATATAGGTACAAAAACTTTCAAAAACTTGAGATTTGTGAGTAATTAAGAAAATTTTATTATATCTTGACGCTTCATCTATGAATGTTACAAAATAGTGTTTGCCAGAGGAAGTTGGAGATTGAATAGGGCCTACAACATCAGAATGAACACAATACAAAACTCTGTCTGATTTAGGAAAATGAGATGAGAATGGTTTGCAAGTGGATTTTGCCATAATGCACGAAGTGCAGCTCCCTGTCATATGGTTGCCGGTCTTGCAGAATTGTCAAAGCGCTGATGAATGTAAGTGTCCCATACGTTGATGAAGTAAGTCAGCCATTGCATTGAATGCTCTGGATTGAGAAGGAGATTTGCCTTGTGGAACTGAAGTTGAAAATTTGGAAGTGTGGATGACTTGTTCAGTCCTTACTCTGGCTTTCCATAAGTCCATACTTTTGGCATTACCAAACACTTTGCTGCCATCTTGATGTTCAAAACTGATGGTATGAGCGTCACCGTGCATGATGAAACCCATATCACATGGTTTCGTTGCTGACATGAGATTGACTGCGACATCAGGACAGTACATGGCATCAATTAAGGTGACCTGACACATTGTATTGTTTTGATTGTAGGTTTTGATTGGAACATCTCCAGCTTCATCAGCCATCATGCGGCCTCCATTGGCAGATTTAATGATGATTGGCCAAATCTTGTGAAGGTTTTTGAAGATTCCAAGGTTATTGAAGGTGTCCTTGTTTGCACCGGTGTCCATGAAGAAGTCGGCTTTTGAATCGGAATCACCGGTTATTGCAGAGTATGCAGTAGTCAAATTGATGATCTCATCAGCTGGTGAGTCGTCCAATCCTTCTTCAGCCAACACCGCATCCACCAACACAGATTGAGACGGATTCATAGATCGGGCGGAGAATGATTGATCGAGCAATTGGACTTTGTCCACATCCAAAAGTTGTGAAGGTTGTACTGATGGCTGGGATATCTTGGCAGATATGTGAGACGCAGGTGCGCTCCATTGTTGCTGCGTTGGGCAAGAGCTTGAACCAGAGGTGATGTTCTTTGCCTTGCATTCATTTTTGAGGTGCATGGAGAACTGGTGACCTGGATAAGAGCATAATGCCTTGGGAGTGTTACTGGTTCAATCGGATCCTTTTGTTCCAGTAGGAAGTTTGTCAGGCTTTGTGAATATGCTTGGAGCTTTGGAACACGTATCTGATAAAGCACCAGCTAGTATAAGCAACAACTTAGAGAAAACGAGACTTGTCTAATGGGACTTCTGACCTGATAAAGCACCAGCTAGTATAAGCAACAACTTAGAGAAAACGAGACTTGTCTAATGGGACTTCTGACCTGAAGGGTGGTACAGAATTTCAGATAGACAGAATTAGTTATATAGGTATCACTTTGTTTGATACCAATCTTAGGAACTTGAGAGAACAGATTTCTAACACATCAAATAGAGAAATGAAACATAACAGTTAATTAAAGCATTGAGAGAAACAGTGATAATAGTGAAATGAAAAGTGAAAAAGTACGTACTTCTCTTTCCAAAGATGGGGAAAGAGAAGCACATAGGAATTGCTACGGGATATATATGATAGATGATTTAGAAACGAAGAAACAAAAGATTGGGGTAATGTTAATGTAAGTCTTTGTTCTCATCTGATATGTGATTCTTAACGTTGATCTTTTCTTGTCTACTCTTTTACTTCTCTGTTAGTCGATTGGAGAATTCAACAGGCTTCCTTGATTTTTTTACCACAGTGTAGGCTACAGACCGTGAAGTTTTGGATTGACTCATTTGAGCTTCTGTGAGCAAACAATTGACTATGTTGGACATGGACAAAGTCTAAATGTTGCCCAACAATTGTTGAACCAAGCCACTGAATTCATCACAAGGTAAATTGAGCAGCATGAGAAGAGCAAGTCCTTGGTCGGATAATTTGAGACCTGATTTTTCAGATGCGGTCTTGGCAAGTTGATTGTGTAATGCTTGAGTAGAGCTAACATAATCCTCCAGTTTCATAGACAAGTCATATCTATTGTTGACAATCTTCGTGGTGATATTTGCTGCCGCCAGTCCTGAATTAATGCCATGGAGGTTTTCTAGAGCTTGTATGGCAAGAAATGGATCATCCATTCCTGCAATGTGTTGCAGATGGGCTGGCATAAGTGTAGCTTGTATTGCTAGCATGGTTGTTGTTGATGCATATCAAATTTGTCCGGTTCATTAGGATCCGTAGGAGCAGGAACTGAAGCCCAAACAAATGAAACAAGGCCAATCACTTTGATACAACCCTCAACATTGTTCTTCCAGTGATGCACATCACAGGTCCCTAGCTTAGGGAAGGATGCCAGGATGGACCCACTTGGCATAGAGCCTCGGGAGTCAGACATGGTAGTTGATTGAATTTGATTGGGTGGAAAAAGCTGCAGTTGTATAGTACCACCCAAAGAATCAGATTCAGTTGAGTTTTTGGATGCATCCAAAGAAGAGTTGGTGGTGTTGGAGGCTTCCGACGATGAACTGCTGTCCACACTAGGAGTGCTAGCAGGTGTGGGGTACAAAGACTTGGAGGGTGGGTGGGGATTAGAAGATCTATCTTCTGGTTGTTCCATTCAATGAGAATCAATTGTTCAAGATACCTCAGCTGTGCGCTGGGCTCACAACCTGATGATACACAAAACAGCTGTACGCAGAAGTCAGCACTCTATGTGTCTGATGAATAAGAAGAAAGATAGAGTGGTGCGCCAAGGACAGAGTTTGAGAGAAGAATGAAAAAAATCAACGCTCAAACTACAACAGGCTCTGGAGAAGACTAGAATATATATGAAATACTACAAGCATGAAATTACATAGAAGCATAAGAATAATGAAATGATTTGAAATACGTAGGTGTAACTATGTAAAGTGTAGTCATGATGTAATAAGGAGTACATGTCAATACTACCTGCCTCACCAATCATCAAAAGGATTCTTCTGCAACCAAGATGGAGAACAATTGTGACCTGAGGATCGTGATTGATCCTTCAAAGGATGTGCCTAGATTGTATGAGAGGAGTCGTTTAGATTTTTGGACTTTGCCCATGCACATCTATTTTCACCTTGGAAGGATTGCCAGCCCTACCAAGGACGACAGAACCAGCTTCATGGGGAACATGATGTGGCCCAAACGGATGATCCTTCACGAAACCAAGTAAAAGATTGTGTCACGTGGTTTTTGGGGGTACAACCATTATTGGTGCAAGCTGGTAAGGCATCTTGACGGGGCAAAAGGTATCTGGTTTTTTGATGATTGTAAAGATGGTGGGCGTGCGCAGCTCCTTGGTCAAAAACTGAGCTTGATTGCTGGCATGCAACCGGGAACCAGCTGGCTTGTGTACTCACACAAGCCAACAAAAGAGGAACAGAAAATCATTGACCAAGGTGTTGCCACAATCACTCAGAAGAACCCCGACGCTCTTGGGGACAATCCGTTTGTTTCACCTGAGGACCTTGACGGAGTGGACAAGCAAACTTTTGAAGACTCACGTCCAGTGACAAATGTCACTGCACGGCTTGTACATTCTGGTGCAATGGCCGGAAATCTTATCCGCAGCAAGGAAATTGACAATCGGGCCAAGCAGGCCTTCACACCCATAGGTAAGAATTAGGGACTCTCCTTGGCATGATGAATACGGAGCTGACTCGGTGTCTTGCCTAGCAGTCAAAAAAGAACTGCAAGAACCAGTCTCTGAACCAAAAGAAGATGTGCCCAATTCCCTTTCAATCAAAAACCGCACAGGTCAGTTCCATTACCTTCCGTACTGTCATCAATTTAGACTGACTGATTCATGCCATCAGATGAATCACATAAAGCGACTCTCGTTGTAGAATTGAGTGATGGTTCTACTCCCCCTGAACCAATCCTTCTTGTCACCCAATCACCCTGTGCTCCACCGCCTAACTTAAGTGGACACCTTCGCCTGCGTATCAAGCATCCCGCGCCTCAGTCCAGTCCAATCAAATCACCTTCATCTTCCCCGCAGAAGAAATCATCTACAAAAGGTACTAAGGCCAGCAAACACACTAATAAAGGGCAAGGAGAAGAAAAACTTCCACTGGGAGGTGGCAACCAAGGCACAGAGCCTAAATCTAAACACAAGGCTAAGGCTGTTGGGAAGAAGAGAAAATAGGCAAATTTCTGGGCTTGGTTGTTTTCTTTAACTTGTTTCTGTCTTCAGGTTGTGTGCTTCTATTTTTTTCAATCAAATATCATGATCATGATTGCAAAGGTAAGCACGGGAGTCATTATCCATTATCTCTTATTTGTTAGTTGTTGTTGTGAGCTCAAATGGAGGCCTTGGTGAAATACAAACAGGCCAATTAAGTTGTGGACAAATGGGATCTTGTGAGGTAGTGAGAGAGAGAATGCTGAGCCGCCTTGTCAGATAGGCAAAAAGCAGAAAATCTCTAAGTCCAAAGGAATTTGCCCACCTTCTGGGGTGCAAAATTGTACTTTGGGGGGGTGTAAATGCATATTGCCACTCCGTGGCTTTGCACTGCTGATGGAGTGTAAGGGGATCCAGTGCAAAATTGGACTTCCACGGGGAATTGGACAATTTGCACTGGTGTCTTTCACACAGGAAAAGGAGTGTAAAAAAATCACGTGTAAAATTGTATTTTGGCCCGGGGCATTTACAAATTTACACTCAACTTTTTACACATTATTTTTTGCACTTCATGATTTTGCTCAGATCCAGTGTAAAGTTGTAAGTCGGCCCCCCAAATGTTGAATTTTACACTCCACCAAATTGCACTCAATATGGAGTTCAAAATGATCAAGTGTAAAAATCTCCTAACCCGTTGTGAATCACCTTTAGGCATTTATCCCACCTGCAGGGAGCGGCGACCCTTCATAAACACCTTTGTGCAAGCACACATTTTTGGAATTCAGTGTAAGCATGAAGTCATTTAGACTCAAACTTCTTTTGGTTTTGCAACAGCGCCATCCGGACATTCACGGGCCAAATGAGGCACAAATCATGCAAGGGCATGATCGGACTTGCAGAAGTTTGGGAATGTTCCCAAAAAAAGGTTCCTTGAAGACTCCTTAGGAAAATTCCTAAGGAAGTGTCACACACCATGACAAATGATTTGTGAGAACCTCGCCGCACTTGCTTGACACGGTGAGACATCAAACCCAGTTCAAAATCTCAGCACCACCCAGATTTCAAGAGCACTATTTGACAGTAAGCTCACGGGAGGTCTGCCTCACGGCGGCGTATGTCTTGACTTTTTTGTTATACCAAACACCTGCCTGGTAATGTTTTTCACTAACTTAATCCCAGAAGGTCATACCAAGCACACACATCAAAGCCCTTTTGGCTAGCCATTATGCACAATAACCGTGAAGGTAATATGTCACCCATGAGTTTTGATAATGTTTGATTCACAGGCCTCCAAATATTTTCCTATCCTCTTGCAAAGCTGCAAGCCATCCATTATTGAGAACCAACATGGTTGGAGTCCCTCACCTATATGGGTACATACCCTTCCTTTCTCTTGAATATTTCAAACGTTATAAGCTCTTGTATTGATGGTGGTTGATCAACTGGACTTGAGATCATTGAGGGATCATCTGGGCTCAATTGGGAACAGTGTATGTATGCGAGAGAATGTCAGTGTCACACATATGCGGTTTGTAATCTAACTTTCATTTTACAAAAACAGCCTGGGAGCTACGTTCCTTAAGTATTATGGAACATCCCAAAGTTCCTCAGGTCTGACCATGTTCTGAATCATTCAATATCCAAAGCCTTTCAACATTTTCAATTTCTTCAAATATAATCACTGCTTTGCATCATCAAAACCGTATGGTGGCTGTGGAGCACCAAATAAGTTCAAATGACAATATGCACAAATAGCACTTGAAACACTAACAGCCCCATGTACTAGGCTCTGGCAGGCCAGAGACTACCACGACTTCATGGGGACTTCAAAAAATCATCAGAGAAACTTCATGGCAACTTCAGAAAAGTTTCCTATTCTACGGAAACTTTGTTTATCAACATAGAAAGATACACAATTTCTGGCAGATACCAACGGTACTATCTACACCCGTTTATGGAGCTGTAGTGGGGATTTTCTGATTTCTTCAAAAAAGTGCTTGATTCTTGATGCACACCTTTGAAGTCTCATAATCTCCACTATCTTGAAAAAAAATCCGGAAACCTTATTTATCCACATAGAAAGATTCCCAATGTCTGGCCAATCCCAAAAGTACTAGCTACACCCCTGTACGGAGCAGTGGTCCTGAGTTATTGCTGTTTTGTGTCCTGGCCCCAATACTTGATGTGACATTTGTGGGATAAAAAGTAGAAACCCAGAATCAAATCCAGTTTCTTTCCACCTTTTTCCCATTTTTTTTGGCTGTAAAATTAGTTTCCCCAGTTTTCCCAAACTAATTCTACAGCCAAAACAACTGGGGAAAAAACTGGGAATTCATTTGCCCATAATTGATGGCTCTGTGTTGGGATAGTCCTGCGTGACTTCAAATTCCTTATGTAAAAGTCCTGTGAGACTAACCCATGATACGTAGAATCTAAGTGTGCTCAACAAACATATTACATCGTGTGAAAACCATTATGTGAAAGTTTCACTATATAAATCCTACTGGAGCAGTCAAAGAAAGGTGCTTCTTCTTCACCTTTCCTTTGTCTCATTCTCTGACTGTTCCAGGTAGGATTTCTCTCTGTTTTCTGTTTCTCTGTTTTTGTCTGATTTAGTTCGTGAAATTTACATACCTTTCCTTTGTCTCTTTCTCTGACTGTTCCAGAGCTCAAGAGGTTATGAGCCTGTTGTCTACCAACTGAATTGAAACCATATCTCATATTCCTAGTTCTTTGAACAACTCAATTAGCTTCTCGAATATAGTTTTTAAAACTCTAATCATCATCGCACATCTACTTAAATCTTTCTTTGTCTGTATCCTTCATTTCGGAAAGGTCCAAAGGTAAAATGACTGATAGTACAGATAAAACAGTCAAATTATCTGGTATTACGCCACTCCGCCCTCCCGGAGACGACTCAAATTATCTTGCTTGGGAGTTTAAAATCAAACTTGCTCTTGAAGATGCCAAGCTCTCGTACGTTCTGCATCCCATCGTGGCGAAGGACCGTCCATCGGGATGGGAAGTCGACAACACCAAGGCCTGTACCTTGATCTTGAGATATATCAAGCCGCATTGAAGAGATGCAGCAGGGATGTGGGGGTCACTACGTCTTGCGCATGAGGACTCCACGTCTGGAGGCCGCATGCATCTCCTCCATTGTCTCATCACAACACAAATGGATGGTGAGGATGTTATTTCTCATATTGACAACCTCCATCCCGTGTATGAATGACTTGACTCCTTAATCACAAGCAAATCTCCTCTCACTGTCGACAAAATCATCACCACGTCTATTAATTAACTTCTCTCCCAGTTGACTGGCTACCGGTCGTGACTCCTCTTATGCAACGCACCACTGTCAACTCAGCTACTGTCATCCAAGCCATCAAGAATGAGGTCACCCGACGTAAGACTTCCCTTGATCAAACAATGTTATCCAATACTGTTGCAGCAAGAGCACATGCAACTCGAGCTTCTGGTTTCCGCCCTCAGTCTGGTCCATCATGTAACACTAAGTACTGCACTTACTGCAAGAGGCATAATCACGAAGTTGCAAACTGCTGGATCAAAGAAACCGATGAAGGACACCCATCCACTACTTCATCTCAAGCCTCCAACAACTCCTCTCGATTCACTACCAAGGCTGGGAAAACTTTGGTACTCACTCTTGACTGTAGCAATGATGAAGAAGAATTGGTAAACGAAGAAAACTTTGTTCAAGTCAAATCCGCTAAAGTTGTCTCCGCCAAAGACGTGAACGTGTCCGATTGCAACATCGATTCAGGTTGTTCGCTCTCAATGACGCCACACAAATCATCTATCGCCGGTCTTGAAAGCTCGAAGAAAATAATCCAACTAGCCGACTCATCATCTATTAAGGCTACTCACTCTGGAACAACTATCTTACCTAGGAATGGAAACGATCATCATCATTGTACTCTACTTGTTCCAGCGCTTCAAGAACCTCTTCTCTCAGTTTCTTCTATCTGCAATGATGGGTTTATCCTTGTTCTCAACAAATCCTCTTGTTCATTCTATCGCGCTGATGATGTATCCATCACCTCAGCACCAGTCAGCACCGGTTACCAAAAAGGCAACATGTACTACTTGGCTGCTAAGGTAGATGAACCCTGCTCCAATCTGGCTTTGGAAAATAATTCTGATTCCACTCTTCTTCACTGGCATCAAAAACTAGGTCATATAGGATTAAAATTGCTCAAGAAACTTCTATCAACATCCGAAATCAAGCCTGATGTCATGAATGAGATAGATGTTCAAAGGTGTCCTGTGTGTGTCAAGTCCAAGATGGCAAGGAGTTCTTTTAAATCTTGCTCAGACCACAGATCTACTTCTGTTGGCGCTCTCATTCACTCCAATGTGTGTAGTTTTGAAGTATCATCATGTGAAGGATATAAATATTTTGTAACTTTCATCGACGACTACTCTAAATTTACCATCATGTATCATTCAAGTAAAAGGGAAACCATGTTCCCAGATTAAACTCACTTTAACCCCCAAACCCTACTAAAAATTTACCGGTTTTTGTGTATATCACATTTAAACCACTTCCCACACGCTCCACCCAAATTTTGCGTTTTCATTGATCCTTGTTCCACATCCCCATTGAATCAAGCATCCATACTTTACATTTTCATTCCATCCGAGCATGTCATTTTGTTCGAAAGGTCAGCTACCTTTTTATCAAAAGCACCTATACGATTGTATCACAGCAAAGCAAACCATATACTAACCAGTTTCTGCTCCACACCTTCACACTTCAGCAATCAAGTACATCATCCAATTTCAACCCTCAGCCCTGTCCCTTTGAAAGTCTCCATCTCATTGTATCATCGGACATTTGATTACTAAATCATGTCCCGAACTTTTACTCATTTAGTCAGAAAGCATGTTCTTCGATCCCACCGCCCAGGCTTCTCCATCCAAAAGCCTCCATATCATCATACCTAAATCTCCTCCACCATCAATACCGGCCCACACCTCCTCTGTTTCCAGCATGTCATTTGTTTTCAAAGTTTACCCGCCTTCTTTCAAAGCCTTGTTAGCCTCATTTTCCACGCGCACCGTTTTCTCTTAATCTTGGTTGAATGTGCACATGAATGTCAATTGTCAGTCAGATTTCACACTGATCATACCCCAGGACCATTTGCCTATGTCAGTATCTTTGCATTACATCCCTCCTGACCCCTATGAAAGCCTGACAACCACCCCTTACCCATTGCCACCTATCACTTTTCTTGATTCATTAGACCCACCATTACTACCTTTTGGTTTCAGGGCCATCATACACGTTCAGCATTTTCCAAGAAGCCTCCTGCTCATCCAGGATCATGGCTCACCAAGTGAAACACCCTGTTGTCATCTACTCCTTGTTCCATGCGCACAAGATAGTAAGTGGCATTGTCAAATCAAATGAAATGTGTTTTTGCGCGCGGGTCATAATTGTGTTTGCTCTAGGTAGCACGCATCAGCCCAAATCAATGGTGCAACTTGCCAGAAGCAGAAACATCCTTCAAATCAATTGCCAATGACGGTACACCTTACAATTGGGCCTTATCACTTCTTCCTGACCGATCGGTTCCTTTCTTTGTCAAGAGGCCAGGATGGTTTGATCTCTCGGGCCGTTTCCTGCCCCTCAATGACTACCCCCGGCCAATCATGTATTATGACTCCCATTCCACTGGTGGAGTGGCAGATTCGTTCGTTTTGGATGACCCAAAGCCTAGGTGGGTTTGCACCTCCAGTGTAGGGGTTATTATTGGTCTCCAGGACCTGCTTAACAACAACCACAACAAGACTAAAGTGGTTCTCTGTCACACCGATTACAGCTTTCTGGTGAGTATAGTCATCAATTCACAAGGTGGGATCGCAGCTGACCATAATTTGCGTAGCTTTGACCTTGAGTATCTATGCACTAGGACGTAGTCCGCGGTGGTCACTGACACAAGTTGTTCATTGGAAGAAATGTCAAAACCTCGGGTCGACTCTGCGCGTTTAATCAACAGACTCATATGTGGCGCATCATGGTACGTTCTGTATATATTTAATCCATATTGCCTGGTTAGCTCATACATCACTATTCCATTGACCCCTATGATCCATAGGTGGATACCTTGGACGCTGACCCACCACAAGATGGCAATGATGTTGATGGGGTGAATGTGCCAGAGCAAGACGCGAATGATATTGCAGGAGCGGGTATTGTTTAGTGCAGTTCTTTTGTGTAAGACATTTGTCATTAAGCGCAAGTCCTGAGAAATAAGAGAGAATCCTTGTTCACACATCCTATGCCCCAATTTGATTTTTTCCTGACCTCGCTGGCACAACACTAAGTTTCCCACAGAAATTCATCCTTTGGGACGAGATAGCAATGCAGCACAAGTATGTGATTGAGTGCTTTGACCGCCCAATAGGGACTTGACTTGTATCCATCCATCCACTCTCCTTGTTACCCTTGAGGGTATATATTTATATTACATGAGAGGTGATTTATATCACCATCCTTGCTCTTACCTTACCTCGTGGTGAGGTAAGAGCTGGTTTGGGAAAGCGCGCGCCGCAAGTCTTTCAAGTTGGTTCTCTAAAACCAACCGCTTGGTTTGACGGAACCAAGTTTATGGTTCCTTCACCCCAACCCTTCTGATCACTGTGATCGGGGTTGGTTTATAGAAGCTTGAAAGTCTGATAACTTGCTGAGGTCTTGCGCACTCTCTATGTTTAGGGGGGGGTTGTCCAAACTCCCTATCACCAAGGTTGGCAAAGGTCTACCGTGCCGTTCTTGGCCTGGCGGACAACCCCTCCTACGGCATGGTAGGGGTTAGTTACGGACGTTCTTAAACGGTGGGCCGTGCTGCTTCTTGTGTTCCTTATTTCCGATGTCATCTCTACTGCTGCTAGTCTGAATTTCATGTTCCCTGACGTAGTCCACTGTCTCAACTTTAAGCCTTCAACTTAATCGCATCTAAGAACACCTTTACATCTTCCACTTCCTTCTTGGAGAACTCCTTTACATAGCGTTTAACTGAATCTGACTTCCAACGTCCTATCTTTTGAATTACTTTTTCTGACGTGCCTAGATTCGCTCTGATCGAGGCGCCTCCTACCCTGAAAGAATGACCTGTCCATTTCTCTAAAGTTGCTTTACCCCATACCTTTTCAACGGTACGTATGAACACCTTCTTCGAAAGTACACCATCTTTTGTTTGAAAGAAATGAGATTCCCTTCCTTTTTCCGGGTTTGCGTCTCTTATACGTTTTAGCGCCTTCACCAGATCTAAAACCAAAGGTTGGGTCTGGAAGGTAATGACTTGCACTTCATTCGGAGACGCTGTTTTCCCCTTCCGCAATTTAATCTTCGCCCAATCTCCTTTCGTTGACGTCCCAAATTTGACATGATGATTTAAAATAGCTCCATCATTCTTGGTCTGTCTGAAGATTTCACCTAATCGCATCATACCCCAAAACGCCACTAGCGCTACGTCGGCCGCCAAGGTTTGAGTTTCTGATTTACCGTAAGAGTCAATTAAGAGCTTGTACAGCTGCTGTACTGTTACGGGTTTCTTTGTCGATTCCAGGACTACTCCTTCTTCTTCTCTCTTGGTTGCTCTCAATAAAATCTTCACAATTTCTGGGTCGATTTCAACTACTGTGCAAGTGCTTCACCACACGCCACACGTGATGCCATCTACGATTTATGATGTCTGGCCGCCGTTACCGGTTCTTTGGAGAATTAGGTATGTCAATTCTTGTCCGTCCTGCACAAGCTATGAATCCGTACAAGTCCTCATTCTTAATCGGTCTTCCTTCTTCAAACTCCCTTCCCGTAGATTCAACGTAAGCTATATACTTGGAGAGGCCTGAAGAATACCCCGCCAGTGTTGTCTTCGCCCAGCTTCCAACTGCCAGATGAGCTCCTGGTATCGTAGACCTTTTCGCTGCCCGTCCAAAATGACCTGGGACGTCGTACGGTTTTGATATTACCGCTGATCGGTTTACTCTAGGAAGGCAAGGCATGTCTGACGTTTGAGACCACTAGGCAGTTAGGTAGAATGGAGTCTAATTGCTGTCTTTTTCACGTGGACTTCTTCTTCAGGTCTCTTTCGAGCATTACTCAAGCCTTTCGATCCCTTAGGTCGCGCACCTCACTTAGGTTGTGCTCCCTTCGAATCGCTCTCAAGCCGTACCACTATTGACACGCGCCTCTCACAACTCACATCAAGTGGTAAACTTACTTCAATTCGGTCATTGTCTGTCTGTCCAAATCATCTCTTCGCAGAGCTCCAGGACGTGGAACCTTTTACGTCTCTCTAGAACAAGCATTTTGTGCATTTCTTGTTTATTTACTTAGATCCTCTTACAATTCTGCTCCACGCCCACCTGGCTCTCTCGGCAAAAACTGTACTACTTCGCTTGTTTTAGGAATCTCCTCAAGTCATTCGGTAAGTCTAGCCACATCCTGTGCTCTTCTTTCTTGTTAGACCTTTTCCCCCTCGACAGAGCATCTGCTGCATTATCTGCCGACACTACTCTCTTTGCAGTTATTGAATATTGATTCTTTATTAGCCTGTCCTGAATCTTCTTCCACTCGGCGTTTACTAACGGATCCTTGGATTTACCATTAATTACTGCGTTTTCCGTTACAGTGTTATCCGTCAACACCGAATAGTTCCGACCTTTGACGTCTTCCAGCTGTTCAATCATCAACAAACCTATTCGTACGGCCACAGTCTCCACCCAAGCAATCCCACGTTGATCTCCATTCTCTTCTTGAATATCCCAGTTATTCCGAAGTTTGAATTGGGACCAGTTTTTTCCAACAATTACTCCGATTCCGAATGATGTCGACGCGTCACCGACCCAACCTACATTCCTTACTACCGGTCTTGGGATTACTCGTAAAGGATTTGCCGTTTGTAAGGTTTTGAGCCGGATTTCCAGATCTTCTTTCACTTCGTCCGGAATAGTCCTTAACGCGAATTTATTCCCCCAGTTCTTCATCATCCTATAGGACGCTGAGGTGTATACCCTCATCTGTGGGAATACGAAGGTTATATGATTCAATCTTCCGACCAACACCTCTGTCTTCTTAAATGATTGTTTCTTCTCAAGTAAGTACTCTTTGATCTGTGTCATTCGCAATTCTATTTTTTCTTGAGGTAGCCTGACAGTTCTCTCTTCTCCGTTCCACACGAAACCCAAGTACTTTTGTTCGACGTCAAACTCCTTCCATTTCTTCTCATTTGTCTCTACACCCATTTCGCTACTTGCAGTCGCTATCTCCCGCATTGTCGTGGTATTCGATCCGTCTGCTGGTTTGACAAACAAGGTATCGTCTACCCAGCGGAAGCTTTGAAGCAAGTCAAACTGCCTCATTATAATTTCTCTCCAAGCTTCTGCTGCTTCTCCAAAGGTTCCGCAACCCGCTACGCCGCCGAACTGCACCCTCGTATCCACATATACAAACCCGTTGAACCCAAGGATCATCAAGAACCTCCACTGATCCATGGCTACCGGGATCTGTCGATAGGCTTTCGCCCAATCGAACACTCCCAACACTAACCTGCCCTTGTACGTTGTAAAAAAATAAGCTACTGATTTGAAGTCATCCCATGATGTCTCAAAATCGTCTTTATCGACACGCAGGTTTACTGACTCAATATCTGGATTGTTCTTTGGATACGACAGGTTGCTGATCGGTCTGAACGACCCGTCTCCGTTCACTACTGCACCCAACGGATTTGTTCTGAAAAATCCGAATCTTCTAAACGCCTCTTCTTTCGTCCACGGGCCGAAGATCCTTCCTTTACTTATCTCCAACTTCAAATTTTCCTCTATCTTTTCTCTCGCGTTCAAAGCTGAGGTATGATTGTCTGGGCAAAAATATCGCATTCCTCTCACCTCTGCATTCTTAATGCCCTGGTCGAAACCTTTCTCAAAACCACTTAGGATATGCTTATATTTCACCTCAATGCCGTACTTTCGCAAACGTTCCTTCCACACCTTCAGATTCATCTCGCAGGAGGGTCCTTCTGGCCAGAATCTGCCTATTTTGTCTCCTCTTCCTTGTCTCGCTTCGTCTTCCTGACTTGACAACGAACTAATTGACCCATTGGCTCGACTAATTCAATGGTCAATTTTGGTCAACGTAGCGCGGCATATAAGGGAGTGATTAGGGTGGTGTGAATGACGGCAACATAAGAAACGGTGGATCACATGTTAGTCTCGGATTTCACAGAGCCAATTTGTCTTTTTCGACATTTTATTGCATAGGACACATTCTTTTAAACCCAATTAGTCTTAAGGCTTACGCTCGTTTTCCCTTCACAGGACGTCCATCTTTGTCACGTCGGTCAGGACTGCGGCTTTTGTCTCTATGACCGGTGTACCTGTCTCTATTATAGCGGTCTTCTCGTCTCCAGTCATCTCGTTTCCTCCCGTCATCAAACCTTCCTTTGAAGTAACCTCTCCCTCGCTTCCCGTTACCTTTATAATTACTCGTCGAAGCGTGTCGATTTTGCTCCCTCGTTAGTGGGTTAGGATGATTCGAGTTCGTCGCTGACTTCGGTTTATTGGTGAGTGGGCAGATGGTTTCTTTTGGCCTTCCCGCCGCGTACGGATTGGTTTTGTAGTGACGTTCATTAAAGCTTTCGGCCATTGTTTTAGCCTCCGCGAGTAAAACTTCTTGAAGTTCCGAATAGTTGCCAATCGATTTGTCTACCGTCTCGCGCATCACCCCTTGTCTAACTAGCTTACAATACCTTAAAGCCACCATCCACCCGAAATCTTTACGCAGTTTCTTCACAACAGCGATATGTCCTTCGAATCTCTCCGCGACTGGTTTCCATCCACAAGCCACTAAGTGCGTGCAGAATAGCTCCATGCAATCTCCCCACATCTCGTAATCTATGGTAAGTTCTTCAACTGGCGCTTCACCTCCATAGATTCTAGCTTTGCCTGACTCTTTCTTATCTGACTTAGTTGTTCTAGCCGACCAAGCTTTCTGATCTGCAATCAACCATTCTTCGTTAAATACCGTCAACTGGATATAAGAAGTTAAGCCTTTTAGGATGATTGTCAAGCCTGGTGACAACGGAGCTAACGACTGGGTCATTTGTGCTCCGCCTCCTTTTAAAATACGGCCATTGTGAATAACGTCGCCGTTTTCCATCTCTAAGGTGCCTTTCTTTGCGGTGAAAATCGCGTAAGCTTT